CAGGACTGTGCCTGTGATTGAACATTTAATTTGCTTAGATGAGTAATAATCATACTGTAGCTTAATAGCTTTATTCCATTGTGCAACTGTATTTCCCCTTGAAATGCATTGGGAACAATATACTGGTGCACCTGTATTTTTGGTTTTTGCTATACATCCATACACTCCACATCCACATCCATCTCGATTCTAAATATTATTACAATAATAATTACAATTGTGATTATTACAACAACCACAGCAGCAGCAATAACAGCTGTATTTCTGTGTCTCAGGCAAAGAAGGGGTTTCTCAGCACCTGAACCTGAGACACTCTGAAGTTGAGGTACCAGGTCCTGAAGTGGGAGCCATCTGTATTTATGTATCAGCAAGAGCTGATGACTAACAATTTAGCTTCAACAAACTGTCACCATCAAAAGGATCCTTTCAAAGGTATCTAGTGAGTGCACTGTTGAGGTTAGATCAAGGATTATCCTAATGCAGCTATGTCATCATTATGACATCTGTAGGAGTTTGGGTCCACTGCTCTTGCAAAACAGCCTTCAAAGGATATGGGAACAGATTCTGAGTCATAGAAGGAAGAAGGGCTGAAATCCACAACTCAGAAGCAAAGGCAAGTGCTTTCAGTGATAAGCCAGGTGGTAGCTGGACATCAGCCAGCTTCAGACACTGTAGGAAGGGCAAGTGAACCTGCTGAGGAGGGGAAAGGCAGGTCAGTCATCACTAACCTCAGGATCCAGCATCAAGTAAAGACAGCAGACCAGCTGAAAAGTATCAGATGCACCAAGTGATCGTCTCTTAAACAAAATTTCACCTTGAAGGCAGGGCATTAACAATTTGAGTTTGGAAGAGATGAGGCATATTCAGTTTGAATCAATCACTAACCAACAGTTTGTTTCTTTTCTACTTTTAAGCCAGCCTTAACTTGCATTAACCCATTAATCCAGGTTTGAGTTAGGAAGCCATTGTCTAGGACTGCTATGAAGGAGGGAAAGGGGGACAGCCTTGGCAGCACCCCAATTTAAGAAAGCTTAAATTCCTGTTTCTGGATGGCCATGGACTCTCGGGGATTGACTTTCTCTTGCAGCACAATGATTGTGTTCCTGGTATCGTGTCAAGCTTTATTCCCGCCAGAGGTGATCCATTGGTATTGTGAGGGGTAAAGCAAGCGCTTTTGGAGCTCTTTTCTTCCAATAAGGAGAACCATAGCACTGGAAGGCAGCTTGTATAAGTAATCTATTCCAAACCCCATCTTGATTCAGGAAGTCCACTCCAGAGCATCTCCAAGTGACGACTGTAGGACTGGATACTGCATGTACATCTCCAGTGAGGGAAAGCAGGCTGCGAAATAGTCTGTAGAAGATTCAGTATGTATACTCCCCATTCCGAAGTTCTGAGTTCCTCTTTCTGCAATGGCCAGATCTGTGTGCTGATTTCTCTACATGGATCAATCTGATGGGACTGGGGCGAAGGGCTACAGGTCTTTGTACCCCAATTAACCAAAATAGCCCAGGGTAAGTGAAAATCGCCACTGCGATCCCATGAGAGGTTTGGTGCACCAAGGATTAGGGAAAATTTTTCCGAACTGCTCTTGTAATGAGAGGAAATGGAAAATTGTATGGGAAATGCATAGACGGGTGAAGAGAAGTAATGCATTTCACTTTCGAAAAGTTTTGCAGCAATAGCAAAAATCTAACCAAGAAATCACATATTTTTAACATCCAATACCAGTATTTTTCCCAATGGTATCTCACATATTAGATCCCTCTAACAAATGCACATACTGCTATGAAAAACCAGAATGCACATACACAAATCCATCTGCAGAAAATGTGGTCATGGAAGGAGAAAAAAATGTTTAATACCGTGTAAATATAATCCCGTCTATCCCAGCTTGTATAATATAGTGACTTTTTCCTCCTATTTGCATATCCATCCATCCCGCCTTTCTCCTGTTGGAAGGACCTTAACTCTGCATACACAGCCCTCATTTTAACCTCACAACAACCCTGTGAAGTAGGTTAGGCTTTATCAAATGTTTCAAATACATCTTACCGAAGTCTGAAGTTTTTACCCATAAAAAAAAACAATTCCATATAAACCATCAGTTGCATTCCATTGCTGGATGGGGAATTATTTGATCCTCTGCTGCAAAATAAGTGTTGGGTAATTATCATCAAACGCTTTAAAGGCAAATGCTTCAGTGCAGTGAGGCAAAACCATATGAGGAGCGGCTTTGCACACTGATAGGGAAGTGATACCCCTACAGGCATTACCGAAGAGCTGTTTGCATCTTTTGATGCGGGTAGAAATGCTTACTAGAGCTTGGTCAGAGTGCCTAGTGCCACCTCTTTTAATGCTTCAGAAGGATTATGTTCCAGTGAAAATGACACTAGCTTCAAAATCTTTATGAAAACATCTTAAATATAAGAAATGTCATAACTCGAAAGTTCCACAGTTTTATAAATGGAAATATGGTATTTTGTGTTTTGGTTCAAAAGGTTGCATTTAAATTGAGGTATCTGGGTTGGGCCAAAACACTGCTCTCCTGTCATGAACTAAAGAAAGAGCCCTGTGCAGGTGTAAACAAGGCAAGGCCCACGAATTATGCTGGCTGAAGTATGGTGGGGGTGGCTTTTTAACCAAGCTTGCATAGAACTGTGCCTTAAGAGAACTTTGGATCAAATCCATTGTTTCTTTTAAAAAGGATTTTGCTCTGTGACTGACATCACATCACTGCACTGCGCCTACCACTGGGGTTGGGGTGTGTCTGTGTCTCTGTGTATAGGGGAAAAGTTGGCCAAAACATTGTGAAATCATAAACTGTCCACATTTGTAGGTTCATCACTGATGTCTCAGATGGAATATTCCACAAGAAATGAATGCAAATAGGCAGTCATAAAGAGAACTGTTAGAACAGTTTCTGCCTGTAAATGTTTGCTTTCGTTCTTTCAATATCAAATAAACAAACAACCATATGTGAGTATATCAAACTGAGATACTTGGTTTGCACAGTACAATTCAGCATGGGTGATCAGTCACGGTGGGTTGCCATGTTGTACTAGCTTGAAACAGGTCCATTATTTTTCACAAACAAGCCACCCTGAAAAATCATGGGTTGTTCCAGCCGTGAGGGATTCTTGTGTTGGCTGAAATCAGCAGTGCGATTTTATGGTAGGTTGCTGGGAATGGCTAGAGAGTCACGGGGATAGAGTGGCAAAAACTGCGGCAACTGCACACAGTTGTGGCAGACTGGGGGTGGATGGGAAATAACAGCAAGGGAAGCAAAGGAACCGGCACAGGAGTCAGAAAGATGGAGGTGGCAGTGGAGGGAGCCAAAGAAGCGAGTGCACCAAAAGCGGGTGTGGGCAAAATAGCTGCCCTTTCGTGAGTAGTCCTCTCAGTATTTGGTATTCAACTGACACTCTTGGTATTCTCAACGCTTTCCTACGTCTCCAGCTACAGCAGAAAGGAGAGAGATGGTAGCACAGTCTTCTAACTGAATGTTTTTGAGCTCCTACCCTACACAACAAAATGGCAGCAAACGAAAAGGAGCAGAGATTGGAGGAGGTAGGAGTGCCAAGGAATATTGCCAGGAAGGGCATTAGGATGTGTGCCTGAGCCAGCGAGAAGGGGAGGGAGACAGGCCACCGCAGCCGGCCCAAGTCATCTGTTGGGCGTTCCACGAACAAGCTGCTGACTGTACGTTATTCACAGGGTGGCTTTGCGTGACGTGTGAATGCACCCAGTATCAGGTATTTTTAGAGACAGCGAACCTGCCCATTTAGCGTCAGCAGTGAAACAACTGAATCACATTGCATCAGGAAACGATGCAAGCATCAATGAAATGAATGCTACAGAAGTGACCTTGTTGGTATGCTATGAAATACTGCTCAGCCGCACCCTACCTAAAAAATATTTCCAAGAACAATTGTGCAAGGGTTGGGATGGGCAGCTTGGAACAGTATCACAGAGTCACAGAAGAGCAGAGTGGCAAGGGGCCATTACTGCAGGACATGGATTTACACCATCCCACTCAGTCTAGCTTTCCTTCGTGCTGTCTCTCTTTTTAACAAAGATCAACGTCCAAAGAGGAAGCCTGAATGTATTATCACAGCAGGTGGTCATACATCAGGTTAAAGTACTTTCTCCACCTGGAAGACAAAGCTCAGAGCAACCTCTTTAAGAGGAGCAGGCTTTGAACAGCCTCATTGAGTGCATTCGGCTGCACTTGAATCCCCATCGACTGCAACTGGCTCTGGCACTGGCTTGGCTGCATGACTGCCATTTTGAATATCTGAGCCAAGTACTGAACCTCCTGCACAGTTGTCTGCTCATGTTTTGAGAATTCTTTGGCTGCAACAGAGGAGATAAAGGTGATCGTCACCTTTCTGTAAATCATCACGTAGCTGGTGTGGATAATCGCAACCTGAAAATGGGTAGGCAAGGATATGTCCTTGCAGCCCCATCCAGGCCTTTTGTTGCCACTTTTCTCCTTCCTTCACCCAAGTAAGTAGCCAGCAAGCCACACTTTTAAGGAGAGCTTCCACTTATTTGGTTTGTACATAATGAGTAGTCACCACAGTCCAGAACACTTCTTGTTGTAGCAGTGGTACTTCTGCTTGGAGTCTACTGTGAAACTTCTTCACATCTCTCCTTATGTTTTGAGAATTCGCTAGCTCAAACTCCATTCTCTGCTACATGTATGAAGACTGATGCATGCAGCCAGGCACATGGGTGGTGTACAAATAAGAACACCAAGAACAAAAGTCACCTTGACAATAATTGCTTTTATGTTTTAAAGTTTCAGTTTTGAACGCATCACAATATAATTATTTTCCTGAAACTACATCATGAGTCACACTCTTGCAATAGTTATTTTTCATGATATACGCACAATTGTGACACATATATTGAAATTGTACAATGTTAAGATTAGGGTGTTGACCTGTACACATTACTCTCCAGTACATTTTAGAAGGAAGATCTCAGTCAAGAACTTGGAGCGATTCAAGGTTTATTCATAACAAATATATATCATCTTTTACAATATGGTCATGTCAACCAACATTTAAACATAAGGAAAATATTGACTGAAATTGTTCCGGCTTTTTCTTTTTACTTCTGCCTATTCCCTACCTGTAAAACAGTATAAACTTCTTCTGCATTAGCTAATATCTAAAGGTTTTTTTTCTGCATTTTTCTGTTTCCATAAGTTTCCGAGTACAATCCCTATAAAAAGCAAGAGTCCTACTGTACGGTTTGAAGAAAACTTTTTCCAGCAATCTTCAGAATTATTTATGTCCAAAGTGTATATCTGGGAAGAGAGATAAAAGGGTATCTATTATTACTCTTAACTCAATGTCAAGTCAAAACCATCTCTTCCTAGAATATATCTTTTATTTTTCCCTGGACTGCCATTTAGTCACCTATTTTGTTTTACATGCTATAGATTAACCTTCTGTCCTCCAATTCTGCTGTTCTTGATCAAATGCACCCTTCTCTCTCCTGTCCCAATCTCCCCCTCTCTCTGTTGAGACAATAAACATGAACCCAGGTGTCTCATTAGAGTACAGCGGTAAAACAGGGTTAAGAATTATGACAAACTGGTAAAGCATCCCACCTATTTCAAGCTTCCACATAAATACATTAGGCAAACATCTAACCTGTTGAGCCATGTGGATTCCTGCGGAAGTCACAGCTGCATAATATGGGAACGTCTGATCACAATTTATTCCTGTCACAGTAAGTCCCAAAAGCATCAGGGCGCTGAAACCACTGAGCCACGGCTTGGTGTTTTCACTGAACCGGAGTGCCGTTGATTTCACACCTATGGTGAGATCATCTCTTTTATCCTATAGTGAAAGGTTCCAAAGCTGTTAATAAAATTCCCAACTGCAGGCATGTTTCATAGATTCACACAGAGAGGGAATCTATGAAATCTATGGTGAATCTATTGCACCCTTACACTCTTCTGCTGTGGGATAAGGCAGTGTTGTCGGCCTTAACAAGGGCACCCGGACATTTTTGCCAAAAAAAAAAAAAAAGGAAGAGGAGGAGGAAACAGCTGGGGGAGAAGCCACCAAAACACCATGCTAGCTAAAAAGCAAAGAAAGCTGATATGAAAACTAATGTATCTTTCCAACACATGTTGAATTTGAGAGAGAATAAAGCAACTCCTGAAAGGCAATGAGCAGGTCAAAAGAATGAAAGACCTTCAGCAAGTCTGACTAAATTTGCAAATGATACCAAAGTGGGGGCAGTGGCCACACCTGAGGGGCAGGTGATCCATGTCCAGAAGGATCTGGATAGGCTCTGGAAGTGGGTGGGGGACAACAGGATGGCATTCCATGTGGAGAAGTGCAAGGTCTTGCCCTTGGGACACAGGAATAGGTGTCACAGGTACAGGATGGGGACAAGTGGCTGGGGAGCAGCACTTGTGAAAGGGATCTTGGGGGACTTGTTGACAGCAGACTGAACATGAGCCAGCAGTGTGGCTTCCACATCTAGGGAGGTGTTGATACTGCTCCACATGACTCTGGTACACCCACAACTGGAGTACTGTGTCCAGTTCTGGGCTCCACATTATAGGAGAGACATAGCTAGGTTAGAATCAGTTCAGCGCAGGGTCACAAGAATGGTCGCCAGGTTAGGAGAGATGACATATGAAGAGAGATTGAGGAAACTGGGTCTTTTCAGCCTTGAGAAGAGGACATTTTAAGGGGATCTCAACTTGTAGATATGTGAGGGGATGTCATGTGGAAGAGGGCCACATGTTCTTCCATGCAGTGGAGGGCAGGACATGTTCCAATGGGACAAAGTTCAAGGAACCTGGTTTCAGGTTGGGTGTCAGGATGGTTAGGACCCCTAGGATATGAAATAGGCTTCTATGGGAGGTGGTGAAGACCCCATCAGTGAGGGTACAAGTCAAGTCCAACAAGCCAATTCCAACCCATGGGGGGTAAAACTGGCTTGATTAAACAAATTACAGCTAAAATTAACTATGGGTTAAGGTTTGGACACCAAATATGACTCCGTAAAGGAAGTCACAGCCTTGAATTTAGGAGATTTGAGCAGGGCTGTTGTGGATAGGATATTCTGGAGGGTTTTCATACATAGGGTCACCCTAAGTTGGAGAAAACTTGACATTACATAACAACAGTAACAAGGTTTGTACCAAGTTAACTGTGATTTAGAATGATGACTGAATGTGGGTGATCAGTGGTTTTACTGGCAAGCAGATGTCCTTCAATTTTAGCCTTCCATTTATCATATAGCACTAAAAATTGAGTTTTACAAGGTTATAAACAAGGTGGCTAAAGATGAAATGCTTTCAGGGCTTAGTGTATATTATTACTTATGATTACCTGGAACTGTTTATGGGGTTCCTGAAATATTTTCCCCAATCTGTAGTGAAAAACAGGTTTGTCGCCATCCATGAAGCCTCACATTATCAAGAAAAAGTAAGGGAATTCATATGCAGGGATTCCAAGCACATGCATATTATTTGTGGTTTATCTGCTTCTTTGTCAAAGCAGAGCATTTAGGGCAGGTCACAATAATCAGCAAAGTATAAAAATGAAAACAAAGTACAATAAAATGAATAAAAGCACTTGAAACAAGTGCATGGTTTAAAGTCCACTGTCTAACTTAGCTAAAACTTAGCTAAAACTTACCACATTTTATTTATTTATTTCATGTTACTTTTGTGCTACCCCATAACCCAAGGGTTCTCTGGGCAGCTTACAAAATGCTAACCAGCATATAAAAGTACAATCAGTAAAACAGATAAAAGCAATAAAATTAATAAAATGTTATACAAGCGATAAAAGATAATCATACCCAAAATACAGACCAATTACAGCAAAATAATTAAAAACTAAACCAATCAAATAAAAAATCAGCAACAAGCCAAACATTAACCAAACGCCTGTCAAAACAGAAAGGATTTTACCTGGTGCCTGAAAGAAAGCAAGACAGGCGCCAGCCATATGACCATGGGGAGTAAGTTCCAAAGTCTCAGTGCCACTACGAAGAATGTCCCTTTCCTAGCTTTTCCCCTTTAATCTAACTGGAGCGGGATATTCGGAAGAGGACTTTTAGAAGACAATCTAAGTGGGCAGGTAAGCATGTGAGGAGAGAAGCGTTCCCTCAAATACCCTAGTTCCAAACTGTTTAGGGCCTTATATGTAAATGGCAACGCTCTGAATTTGGCCTGGCCTGGAACAGGGAGCCAATGCAGCTGGCAGAGGACTGGCATAATGTGCTTTCAATGGCTCGTCCTTGTAAGCAGCCACATTGCCCTGCTCTGTATTAGTTGTACTGTCCAGATTGTCTTCAAAGGCAGCTGCACGTAGAGCATATTACAGTAATCCAAGCGAGAGGTTACCAGCACATGGATAACGGTGGCAAGGTTCTGCTCATCCAAGTAGGAACGTACACAAATATCAAGGTAGTATAAATCCAATTCTGAGCAGTATAATTAATCAACTCCTGCGCCTCCAGCATCAGATCCTAATTTCACAGGCCTCATTATTTATGCAATTATTATTCCTTAATAAGGAATAAATTAAGAATAAGGAATGCAGTATTAGGAATTTATATACCTGATGAGCATAGATCGTGTCATACATCAATGTCCATAAAACCCCTGAGAAGTACAGGGGTAAACAAACAGACCAGTTGCAAGAGCCTTGGACAGCCGACCACCCAAGTAAGGCTCCCCAGTTGAAGGTAAGACCTAAAAAAGATTACGGTAACAAAAACACAATGGTTTTTATCTTTTTGGAATTCTTCCCCAGAAAGATGTTACAATGACATTCAAAGTGACCTGTAAGTTACTCAGACATGATTTCTACTTCAAAATGTTTTATTGACTGTTTTGGCAGTCAATAAAAGGACTACTATTGGTGTACTGGAAGAGCAGGTGTGTTAGTCTGGAGCACAAAAGAACAATCAAGTTCTGTCAACTTAGCAATGCTGGTCAATTGTAGCATGATTGGCCTCAGCAGTTCCTATACACCATCGTTCCAGCCCAAAGAGAGTCAATGAGCCATAAAGTATGAGTCTCACTAGTACATAATGTGAGAAAGGAGACCGTGCCCAGTAGCCTCCCTTGTGATCAAGGAGAGCAGTGGGCAACTGATGTTCCTCCAGGTGTTTTGGCCTACAACTCCCACCAGCCCTAGACAGCACAGCCAGTAGGGCAGGGTCAGGAGAACTGTACGCCAAGAGATGGGGTAGAACATAAACTGGATGGAAAGGGGGCATGCTCTTACAAATATGTCAACATGTTTAGGGTCACAGGATTTCTTCTTTATGAGATCAGATTCACAGGCAAGGAAATAAACAGAAATGTCAGAGGGCACAGATGATTTTTATTCAAAATGCTATAAAAAGTTTTCCACATTCTGGTTCAGAATATACTGGTCAGGCAGTAAAGAAAGGGACTCCAGTTCATTAATACAGAAGATTGCCACAGTAGTCTCACTGAGCCTTTGAGGAAGGACATCACAATTTGTCTCGCTGCATTTTAGGAACCTGAATCAGGGCTATGTAATGAGGAAGGCCATTCCCAGATGAAGGAAGCATTGCTCAGCTTCTGCCACTCCCATTCCTGAGCTCATCTGTATTTACTCCAGAAAGTAAACTGCAAGCCTTCCATTTGCTCCATTCATGATACGGTGACTGGATGCTAAGGAGGGTAGAGCTCACTTACTTTTAATGGCTGTGTCTCAAGAGGCAAATAGAGTATTACTCATTACCATAAGCCCTCTGGTGTAAAAGCTGCATGCATCTAGCCGACACTCTTCCATGTTTTAAGAAGTGGAGGAGGGCTGCTTTTCCTTGTATCCGATCAACCACAGGGTTTGTCAAAGATATCGACAAATATAAAAGCAAGGTGCGGTGTAGCGGTTAAGAGTGTGGAAATGGGACTCAAGAGACTTGGGTTCTAGTCCCCACTCAGCCATGGAGATTACTGGGTGACTGACAGACCCTCAGCCCAACCTACCTCACAAGGTTGTTGTTGTGAGGATAAGACTGAGAGGAGGAAGAGGAGAATTGTGTAAGCTACTTTGAGTTCCTTGAAAGGAAAAGAGGCAGGATATAAATATAATCAATACAGAAATACTAATGGGCAGGGGGGTGGGGAATATGTCTAAATAATGGATAGATTTGAAAAGTTCCCTTCTGTCTTTGTTAACCCCGGAACAGCAAATTCTTATTAGTGGCCTCTATTACCAAACACAAAACTTACAGTGCAATCCTATACAAGTCTACACAAAAGTACACCTCAGTGACTTCCGTGGGACTGACTCTCATGTAGGTATGCCCAGGACTGTCGCCTTAAGACATCTTTTTTAATGGAAAACATTAGCTGGCTAAGCCTCAGACTCAAAGTATTACATTACACTGTTTTGTAGCAACTAAATTATTTGTATTTAGTTGCTACAAAATAATTTTTCAGAGTGAATATAACAAGGCAGACATTGTTATATTCACTGGGGTGCAAATCTTAAGACATTATTCACTAAGGTTTGCACCCCATCCCTCAAGCGGAGTATCTGGGCTGGTTTCAATACAATAAGTTTAAAATATCATAAAAGGAAGAACAAAAATAAGTTAAGAAACAGCAAATGCAGCATTAAAATCAAAATAAAACAGGCCAGTTTTTAAAAAAGCCTTTTGCTGCAGCCAGGCAAGCCTCTCAGGGGGGAGTGTTCCAAAGCCAGGGTACCACCAGTGAAAAGACTCTCTTCTGAACGGCCATACAATGAACATCCGTTGGTGAGAAACCCAGTTAACAGCCTTGAGGAACAACCTCACATGCCAAGATCAGAAAAACTCCAAGCGTTTGCTCCTTGAACAGCAGTTCTCCACTCCCCCCCCCTGCACAACAATGCTGTGCAACAAATAGCTCAACTGTAATTAAAATAAGCAATTCATCATTAAGAACCAGTTCAACATTAATTAAAGTGGCATTAATTCAGATCACAACTGCATTGTTTGCAGTGAATTAAGTAGCTCTTACCACAAAATTACCATACTGCTTACCTCACTAATTTCAATTCAGCTAACCAATGTTAAATGTAGAATATTATAGCTTCCCCACAAAAATTATCTCTACATGTTCCTATTCAGGCCTGAAGACTGTGTTCTGTGGCTCCTCTCAGTATGTTCCCACCTGGTAAAGTGTAGTGAGCTGTTCACTGATGAAACAGCCTTCTCAGTGGTGGCACCTCAACTGGTGAATCCTCTTCTCAGAAGCTCAACTGGTGCCTCCTATGAGAAGGTCTCAGCATTGAGCAAGGTTATTTTCCCAGGCTGTTTAACGTGCTTTGGTTTTGTATTTTGGCATTCTTATTTGCTAAGCTACTCTGAGAACTATGTTAAAAAGCAGGATATAAATATTGGAAACTGAATACATGAATAAGGCCATTCAGGAGGCCATGGCTGCGGGGAGTGTATGACATTGAACCATGCAGAAAGGTACCATCAATTCCTTTGGCTGCTGAAGTTCAAGTATTGCCCACTGGCAGAGTTTGCTAAAAACAACTGATTAAAAAGGTGAATGGCTTTAGGAGTCAAACCCCTAGGACTCCAAAAGCAGGAAAACATCCTCTACAGAGCTGGTGCTCAAAGAACAAAACAGTAATTGTGATGCTACAATGGAGGAAATGAATAGACTTATTCCTCAGAATAAGTCTATTCAATTGTCGCAAAGCACAAGACTCTCTGAACAATCTACTTGCAATCTAATACAGAGTTAAACCAGTATGAACAACCCATATAAATGAAAAAGACACTCCAGAGCTCACCCAGGAAAAGCTGTGGCCAGTATGTTATTCTCTTCATAAGTGGATAAGTCACTACGAGCAATAAAGAGGAGGCTCCTAAAATGATACTGTGAGAGAAGGAAAAATAAGTTTGTTTGTTTGTTTGAAGTATTTGTATGCCGTCCTTTCGCATAGCCTCAGGATGGCTTACATAAATAAGAGGAATAAAATAAAACATAATGCAAATAAAATCCAGATCCACCCTGGCTGCAGATTAAAACCTATATAGCTAATGTTGAAAGTTATTAAAATATTGTTGGAATAAAAAGGTCTTAGCCTTACAGTTTTAAGTAAAAATGTAAAAATTGGAGTGCAAGCATGTTGCTTCAACATAATTATTTTGTACTGCTCTAGTCTGCCCAGAAAACTTGGGCAGATGATAGTTGTGTTTGTGCTTCATGCTAAGTTACCCTGCCAGTAAGCCATGATCAGTTGGCTGTTCCTAGAAAAACCCATAGTGTACCCAACAGAAAATCGAGGAGTAGTTTTCCCCATTAGTCCTACACTTGATAACCAAGGTTGCTTCACAGCAGAATATATCTTTCCTCCCTCCCTCCACTCTAATTGCCATCTCATTTTCATTCACCACTTGTTTTCCTCTAGAGCCTCAAAACTTGCAATTGGGGTCATTTTTAATTTCTGCTTAGAAATTAGAAAACTGCTTAGTTGTGCACCACTGAAAGACCAACAGCATTAGAAACACAAGTACATACTTATGGCTCTACTAACTATGCAGTCTTGCCTGGTTGATGGCCTTGTAAGTTTCAGCTATCAAAGTATAATTAGTATCACAGATGGGAATTCAGAAAGTGAGATTGCACACAGGCTAATTTGGGCAGTTCCCTAGTCATCAGCTGAAAATAATCAGTAAAGGCAATAAAAGCAGAAGGTGTCCCAGGAAGGAGGTAGCAACAACCTCTTCCCCTTAAGCAATGCAATTCTCAATTTCAAGTGCTGAACAGACAGTTCTTCACATCCTCCACATTTCTGACACTTTCCCAGCCAGGGCAGGGAAGTATTAACTTCCCCACTTTTCTTGGCTCCCCACCTTGGCTCCTCTTACAACTGTAGGTACTGCAGTTCCCCGACAGTCCCAAAGCCAACAAATAACCCTAAGAAGGTGGCTGAATGGGGCAAATGAATGGGGCCACTTGGAACTGCAGGGATGTAAGACACACTGGCACTGGCACCCCATTTGATCTCTCATGCTCTGCTGTCTAAGAGTCTTTTTTATGGGGTTGCCTTGCAACAATCACTCATTTGCAGCTGAGCGTACACTACGGAGTTATTATAAGGGCAGAATGAAAGAACCCCTGCCCCCGCCACCCACCCACACACACACACACACACACACACACACACACAGAGGACAGGTTTACTACAAATGTGCTAACATGCTGTTTAATACAATTTAAGCGTAATGCAAGTGACCCCTGCAACATGATGCTGCAATGTGGGATGCTTTTGCTCAGGATTTCAGCCAGGCAGCTAAGTCCATTTTACAGGATACGTTATTACACGATACTCCCCTCCTTACATTTCGCCCCTCCAAGACACAGTATTCTGAGGCCACTGAGCACACTCATTAATCACTTTTTAGATTTCTACCCTTTCCCCCAGAGGGCTTTCATTCTGAAGATTGTTGTTGTATTTTTGACAATCTTGGGGTTTTCCCAAATCTGTCAACACCCTTTTTGTTTGATGGATACTGGTGTGACTACACAATGAATGACCTCTTCATTGGTATATGAAATATTGATACATTTAAAAATAATTTAAAAAAGCCAGTGTGTTGCATTTACGATGCTAGGGAAAGTCAAAAGCTATGAGATGAATCAATTCCATAAAGGAAACCACAGCTCTGAGTTTACAAGAGCTAAATACGGCTGCCAAGGTGAGGGTATTCATCAATAGGGTTGCCATTCATCAAAGACAACATGACAAGCACATAGCAACAACAACAACAACTGTATTTGTGTTACCCCTAACCTATTATCACTACAATTGTTCCTATCTAAAAGATGGTGAACTGATGAAGGTAACAACCATTTTCCTCTTCAGTGACATGGTTCAGTAGACAATGTTCTTTCCCCTTAATTCTAGCCTGATTTTAAAATCTTGCTTTCCCTAGTATAAATCTACACAGGGCCCAAGGAAAACATTTTCTTTAGAAATCTAGTTTTATTTAAATGTTTAATATTTATCCCTCCACAAGAATAACTCCTGTAAGCAAATGACTCCAAGTAAGCATCAAAACCGAAAAACTGCCTAAGCAATCAAAAGTTCATGTTTAACTTACCTGTAATTATTTAAACATAATAAGACACATAAAGCCAAGCTAAGCTGTCCTCCAAGAAAAACCAAGGATTGAAATCTTGAAATCTCTCCAGCTGCTAGAGGACGGCTTGCTGTTCTTGTAACCTAAGGACAGAGAATTATTTTAGTCGCTATATTGTATTGTTAACATTGAGCATTCACAAGCCAGAGATTTCGGACTTTATAAACCAGAATTTTTTCCCCCTTTCTGCAGTCTATGCACATCATTTCATCATTTTGGCTTTCTGCTGCATGGCGACCTCTTGTTCCACATGGTGAATACATACACAAGCTCAGTGGGATCCAAGACTGGTGGACACAACAACTGTGCTTGTACATAAACTACATATTAGGCATCACGAGGATAAGCTCCTGCAAGCCCCAGCTGTGAGGAGTTCTGAATCTTTTGTTTCTGTTGCAGTCTGACGGCAGCGTGCTGTGATATCCAAAGCTGGACAAACCAACTAGTCTTAACTAAGGGTTAGGAGAAACAAGCCAACTTTAAACTATTGTTTATGAAGTTTTCACAGTTAAGAATAACAGTTGATGGCTTCAATGCAATATGAGCCCTGTAAAATGGCAGTAGGTATGCTGAGAGTTATCCCAGAAGACAGGAAGACAATTGCCTTTGTTAGTTTATCATTACCTGCCCAAAATCATCAAGGAACAAGAGCCTTTTCCAAGGAGACCTGTCACCCATCAAATTGATAAGCACAGCTGCTAGTGTATCTCAGAACATGCAACATTAAGAGAAGTTCAGGGAGCGATCCTGTGCAAGTTTAGATGGGAAAAAGCCTTACAGCTCTCAGCAAGCTCCAGCCAGATACTTAAAGCATGGAAAAAAAAAGAATTTTGACTTTTGCTAAATTCAGAATTCAAAACATAACCACTGAACTCTGATTCCCATAATCTGGTTTAAAACCTCTGGTGAACCTGAGAACTGAGAAAGAAATAACTCTTGACTTTCAGCATCACAGACGTTTTCTGTTCCTTTATTCCCATCATAGACATTTTCTGTTCCTTTAAGGTTATTAAACCACAGTATATGGGGGTCTTAAAAGAGGCTCGGCCATTTTGTATTGGCGCCATTATAACAGAGCTGTAAAAAGCCCCACTGTAGACAATGGCAGTGCTATCCCCCTCACATAGCATTTGAGGGGGTGGAGGTGAGGAAGGGACTTGCTTTACAAAGAGGTCATTTACTTACTGAGGGAATATTATGAGCCCGCCTGTTGTTTTCAAGTTTTCTCTACCTTTTTGTCATAGTCCTGATCCCACATGTCATTAATTGTACAGCCTGCTCCACGCATCAGGATCGCGCCAGTGCCGAAGAGTAACAGCATGTCCCAGGCTGGCAAACAGCCTGGTTCCGCTGCCAGGGCGATGCTCCAAGTGCAGGGCAAATACAGCAGCCACGTCCCTAAAAAATATACATTTTTAAAAGGAATTAGGGAAGGAGAAGAACAGAGGTAATCCGTATTCATGCACAATGTGACCTCCTTATTTTTGTTTATTTATTTATTAAAACATTTTTATGCCGCCCCATTCGCCGAAGCCTCGGGGCGGCTTACAACACTAGATAAAACAATAAGTTAAAATATCCATATAAAATAATTATAATTTAAAACACACATTATAAAATAAGCCGCCCTGGCCAGATAAAATTCAATTGTGTTAGCATTTAAAATGTTGCTTAAATAAAAAGGTCTTTGCCTGGCGCCGAAAAACATATAACGACGGCGCCAGGCAGACCTCTCTGGGGAGCGCATTCCATAACTTAGGCGCCACCGCTGAGAAAGCCCTTCTCCGAGTAGCCACCCTCCTAATTTCTCTCACGGAGGGCTCCCGGAGAAGGGCCTCTCCCGCCGATCTCAGGGGGCGACTGGGCAAATATGGATGTAAGCGCTCCTTCAGGTAACCAGGACCCAAGCCGTTTAGGGCTTTATAGGTCATTACCAACACCTTGAATTGGGCCCGGACTTCAATGGGGAGCCAGTGAAGCTGACGGAGAACTGGAGTCATGTGAACATAACGTCCAGTCCCTGTCAGCAGCCTGGCAGCTCTATTCTGAACCAATTGAAGTATCCGGACCGTCTTCAAGGGTAGCCCCACGTAGAGCGCGTTACAGAAGTCAAGACGGGAAGTCACCAGCGCATGAGTCACTGTTGCAAGGCAGTCGTACTCCAGGTAGGGACGCAGCTGATGAATTAGCCGAAGCTGGTTGTTTGGTTCTTTTTACTCAATGTTGCCTTTCTCTTTGACTAGCGTGTCAAATACCTGGGAAAATATGTTTCATCTCACATGAGCAGAAAGGGGAAGGAAGGTGGATGTATGACATTAGGACAGTGGTGGTGAACCCATGGCAGTCATGCCACAGTGGGCACGCGAGTCAAGTCTCCCCAGCATCGCCCCAGCAGCCAAACGTTGGAAAACAGGGCATGGAGGGGCCATGCGCATGCTTGGAAAGGCGTAGTGGCGTCAGGCAATGATGTCACAAGCTGCGACTCGTCCAAGCTTTTGCATGGCCCATCAGTGCGCTTCCAAGGATATATATATATTTGCTTGGACTGGCTGTGAGGTGTTATTTCTAAACTAAAACCTCAGTTTTCAGGTTTTATTGCAGTGTTGGCACTTTGTGATAAATAAGTGGCTTTTGGGTTCCAGTTTGGGCACTGGGTCTCTAAAAGGTTCGCCATCATTGCCTTAGGACGACACTGCTCTGACTTTGCCCATGACAGCAAAACACTCCCCCTGGAGGCCAAAGAAAGAATTAAACAGTGCAGACCCCTGTGGCACACCAGGAAATGAGACAGCAATACAAACAGAAAAATTACACAGAAAGCTGAACATTTTATCTTAATAACATATCCTTGAAATAAGTGCTTTGTTTGCAAAAGTTACGTCAGTTACTGACCCACACATATACACACTCATTTAATGTCTTAAACACTTTCAGAAATAATTGCATACTGATGAACAGAAGGAATAATTTTATGAATAAAATAACATAACCCACCTAAATGAATAGGTTTAATCAGTGCTTTTTTTGTAAAAAAAAAAAAAAAAAAAGGTGCCGGAACTCACGTCTTGGGGTCACACTTCTACTCTAAAAAAGATTTTCAATTCACCAACTTTTTTTGAAATAAAGAACTTATTTACCTTTTGCATGTAGCCAGTCACTCTACATACACATAAACATAATGGTCGCCACTGGCAGTAAGCACTCAGCGCGCGACCACACGACCAATCCCAAGCCGAGCAGCATCCCAAGCCGAGCAGCGCCCTCACAAGCAGTGCCGACAATTAGCGCTGACACACAAGCAGCCCACAGGCACTATGTTAATGATTTTTGCCGCAACCTGCTATGCCCAACAGGGCAATTCACAATCACTTGGAAAAATCCGTCAAAAAAAGGTGTCGAAACGTCATTCCGGTGCATTCTATGACAAAAAAAGCCCTGGGTTTAATCAAGGCCCATTGACACTGGAAGTGACAGCAGGTTGCATAATCTCTTGAGCTCTGACCATTTCAATGAAATACCTGCTAAAATGCTGTGACCACAGTTGGCACCTCTTCCTTGGATCTATCTATGTTCCTAGGAAGCAAGTTCCATAACACTCAAACCATCATGGGCAGAAGCATCAGGAGGGGAACCTAGGAAACTGCCCTGTGTTGACTCAGCCCTTTGGTCCATTTATCCCACTACTGTTGACACTGGCTGCATACACACAACACAAAAAGCAACCCTTGGTTACCTGACAGACAATCAAATGGTTTCTACCTTATCATGGTTTCTACCCGCCCCACTCAGTCCTTCCAGTGTTGGCTGTCCCAGCTGACCTGCAAAAACAGTCCGGTCTTGCTTTGTGCTTTAACAGCCTCTCTTAAAGGCACAGTGACAAACTGAAAAAAACCTTGGCAATCCCAGTTATCTTTCAAAGTCAAGTTCTCTTCTTTGGAGTCAAAAGCATGCAACATACACGTCACCCCAGAGAGTCACAGGTATAAACATCATTTACGTGGGTGGGTATGTTCAGAATGTAGCTAGCAGAAATTAGATTTACCAGAAAAGTCATACGCATTCTTTAATCCCTGTTCGACAGCAGTAAGTAAAACAATGGGGTAGGAACCTTAAATCTCTGTCTAAAGACTGTTACAGCATTCAGCATTCACATATTCTTCCGAACATAGTGAGAAATGGGATTATATTGCACCCCATTTCTTTGCATTCAGTGAATGTGTATGCAATCTGTATCCTCTTTCCTATCCTAGCACATTTATGGGCCAGGCACAATTCTATACATCCTGGTACACACATCTAGCTGCATGTTAAGCTAGTACTAACACCACCATTCAGGCGTCAATTCCAGTCACAGAGAAGCCAGCTATCAAGAGTCAGGCACAACTTCCAGTGTTTTCTTTAAATTAAAAAGAAGTACAGATAGCTTTGTTAAGTGCCCAGGGTGTTTCAGCTATTATCTGGTATATCAACACTAAATTAATAAATGAATTGTCCACAAGAAGCCCAGCTGTGCTATTTTCCCCAAAGATGATTACTCAGACAGAGAGGACAGCAAAGGAGGGAGTCAGAAACCCGACTAAAATCAACAGTATAATTTGAAAAGTGGCAGGATCTTTCAGCCAACCAACTAACCATATGTCTGTCAAGGATTGGCAGAATGAAATAGCTAGATGAGCCCTGAATTTTATACTGATTTACAGACCTATTCCATTTATGTTTCCTGGGGAATGTGAACCTACCCATATGCTAAGATCTTCACTTGAAGCCCTCCTTCCAATGCCCCTTCCAAGGGAGGTTTGGAGTATGGCAACAAGTGGGCCAACCTTCTCACTGGTGGCCCCCAATAATGGAATGCTCTTCCCAATGACGGAGGGCTAGTTACCCTTCTGGCACCAGGTTAAGCTTTCCTTTGTTGTTGTTGTTCAGTTGCAAAGTCACGCCTGACCCACCATGACCCCATGGACAACATTCCTCCAGGCTCTGCTGTCCTCCACCATCCCCCGGAGTCCACCCAAAACCTCACCTACTGCCCCAGTGACCCCATCTAGCCACCTCAACCTCTGCTGTCCCCTTCTCCTTTTGCCGTCAATCATTCCCAGAATCAGGGTCTTCTCCAGTGAGTCCTTCCTTCTCAACCTTTTGTTTACTATCAGGCATTTGACACCATATGGTAAGATTTTTAAGAGGTCCTAGAATTTTTACTCTTGATCGTGCAAAGCTGTTTGTATGTAAATGATTCTGTATTACCATCCTATTGCATTTCTAGGCTCTTAACCATTTAAAAATTGCCCAGTGATCTTTGACTATTGGATAGTAAATAAGTGTTATTTAAAAAGGAATAAATTAACTCAGGGTATACTTAAATATACTCCAATGTAAACATGCAGGTTCAGCAACCATAACCTACTGTAATTTATCTATTGATAAAGTATTCATATTATCCATTCCCTAATGCAATATGTAGTTATACTGGAGATTGCCTGTAGCCATCAGGACGAGTACCCACTGAACAGCCTACTAGGACCCACTGGTAGCTATAGATTACCTCCTGTTTCAGAGGTGGAACACCCATGTTCACCACTTGCGGGTTCATGAGGACCAAGCAGTTCTGCCTGCTAAGAACACTCACTCACTCACTCTCTCAATTCCCCCCGCCCACGAGAAAAAGCAAAGGGACGGGGACGAAGCTCCATGCTTCTGCCCGCCCCATGACCGTTGACAGACAAGCAGGCTCACCAATGGGCTTGTCCAGTCTCATGAGGCGCAGGTAAGGCTGGAGAGGGCCGGGAGCAGCTCGAACCAAGGCCGCCGCGGAGAGCGTCCCCACGGGCCGCGTGCTTTGGCGCGACGGACGAGGCGGGTCATGGTTCCAGGTGCGGGTAGGCAAGGCGCAGAGCGGGCCCGCAAGGAATCGAACCGACCCTCCTCCGGCGGAAAGAGAGCGTCTGAAGTACACCGGCCTAGCTAGGCGGCAGAGAAACCGCACAGCAGCCATGGAGAAGCTGGTGCGCGTGCGCCAATTGTGGCTACGTCACCGTGACGCTACGTCCTATAGAAAATTTTAGATATAGAAAATTGAAGCAGAGTCTCTCACACCTTTCTACACTTCCAGCAGTTAGGAGGCTGTCTTCCACGCGGGCATACCATCGAAAGCCCATTAAGGTTTCTGACATAGAGATACGAAAGTAGGGAGCGACACCATCATAGCCTAAAGCTGCATTCAGTTTGTAGCGGGAGCTTAAATGTAAGTCCGCTGTTGTGAATCTCTTAGTTCGGGCCACCATATAGGACTTCTTTCCGTCTGAAAATGCACAGGATTGTGCCACAAATTGATGTCCCTCAGATGTATTGAACTGCAGTCCCCATAATCCCCAGTAAGCTCGGCATACTCGTTGGGGACAGTGGGCATTGTCCGATAAAACTGGAAGTCGCGAAGTTAGGGAAGGCTAGATTAAAGATTTTCCTGGTCGCTTAAAGGCAGAACAACAAGGATCTTTGTCTTACTTCTAGGTTATTCAATTAACCGTAAGGGTGGGGAACATGTGGCCCTCCAGATGTTGGACTGCAAGCCCTGTCATTCTTAACAATTGGCCATGCAGGGTGGGGATGAGGGAGTTGGGTCCAATAACATATTGATGGCCACTGTCTTGGTGTATAAAGATATTCAGGCCATGAGAGCCAGTGCAATGTTGTGGTTAAGGATGCAGGACATGGACTCATGATTTGGGTTCTAGTTCCTGCTCAGCCATGGAGCTAACTGGATGACTTTGGGCCACTCACAGACTCTCCGCTCAGCCTACCTCACAAGGTTGTTGTGAGGATAAGATTAAGAGGAGGAGGAGGAGACTCATGTAAGCTGTTTTGAGTTCCTTGAGAAAAAAAGGTGGGATATAAATATGATAGATAGATAAATAAATAAATGCTGACATCAGCTTTGTTAAAATACTGGCACAATAAAAAGAAAATTAATATTTGATGTCTGTGAAAAGAAACAGGTTATCAGAGGCTTGAAGATGGTATGCTACAGCCATCGTTGCTCATAGTGTACACACATGCATTTTTTGGCATCATAGCTCACATTTTCCAGTCAAGGTGTTACTCTTTCTAAAGAGGAAGAATGTGCACAAGAACTGCAATGCATCCTCACTCCTTAACAGTCCATCCTGATGCCAAAAGGCAAGGGGCATATGTACCAAGCTCCTTCTAGAAGGTTTAGAAAATAATCCAGATAGTGCTCCATGTGTGGTCACAAAATCTATGAGCTCAATTTAATTCAGTTTAACTCATAGACCCATTTCTGTTAATGGCTGTACCAACCAATAAACTATTATATTACCTCAGCAAAGGTACTAGTTTTGGCAAGAAATAATAACTGTGCATTTCCTGGTTATTTTCCATGTGAAACAATAGTTGTCAAACAATGAATGCCAAGGCAGGTGTGGTGGTGAGAGAAACAGGGTGTTTTTTCCTAGCTCTTGACTGCCCTCTGCTGAAAAAAATAACCCTTCTTTTCCATAGCCTAGAAGTAAATTAATTTCCTTGTTTTAAGTTGTGAAGTTTCCAAACTGATCTTTCACTCAGGGCTCAGTCCTATTGATTGCACCTTTGTCACTCAGAAGCCCTCCAACTTGGAGGCTTCCACATTTCCTGTGCCCTGCCCAGCTGAAGCTGGCTGGCAGCAGAAGCTGCTGCATCAAACTTCACCTCCCTGACCTCTGGCTCAGGTGATTCTTGCTAAGCAGCCACTTGGGTCCAGCTAGCTCTTGACCCAACTAGCAAGGGTGCCTTGGAGGCATCTTCTTAGGCCTAGTTTCCTCAGGGGAGAGTGGCGAGGGGCTGGATACAGCTGAGCAAAAGCTAAAAGTACACCTGTACCCACACACTCCTCATGTACAGATTTTGCACAGGCTCTGAGTTGCAGTGAATATTGATGCTGTGGAGCAGGACCATAGTGTGTGGTGGATAATGTATGTTTTACATTTTCATTACAAGCTTGGCTGTAAGACAGGTTTTATGCAGACCCAGTCCTCTGCATGTCCTTCTCTTAGAAACCATAGCTGAATGGATCCTCCATGTACAGATATAATGTACCGTGCACACTTGATTGTGATGGTAAGAGAGAACAGGGGAAATCTTGTGCGGACGCAGAGGCAACTGGCTGGTCACTGCTGGAGCACACATTTCTCTACTAAATTGATGTTTTCTCTGATCCAACAGGCTAGTTCTTATGTTCTTATTAGCATTCGTTCATTAAATGTGTACCTAGGACTGGATCTGGCCATAAGGTCTTTATATCTGATGTTTACTTCATAGAAAGCTAATTGAATGGTACCCTTAATACCAAGGGCACTGTATGACAATTTAATTTACTTGCTTTTTTCCTTAAATTGCTTAAATTTGGTTCTTAATTTTCTGCAATAAAATGTTAAGATTTTTTAAATTGCATTTGCCTTTTACACTGTACTTTATTGTATTTTATGAATCACTGTAAACCACCCAGAGAATTTCAGTTACGGAATCATATAGTAAATAAATACATAAAATGCTGAACATTTGCAAGAGCAAAAATCATGTGAATTCCTTTATTTCAAAATATGCATATAACAAAACATACAAAACTGCATGAAAGCATAATAAAACGAGGTTTTCAAAGATTGCATTTGGGCAGGTTTTGTACCAAAATATAAGGAACACTAGAAGGTGCCTAGGCAAAGTATTATCCAGACCTAGTCCAGTATTACCCGTACAGCCCATGCTGGGAGGGAATGATGGGATTTGCAGTCCCAACACATCTGGCAAGTACCAGGTTGGGGAAGACTCATCTATATTAACAGGCAGCAACATGCTGTTTCTCAGCCCTCTGCAGAGATACCTGAGACTGAACCTGAGTCCCTTAAAATGCAAGAACACCTGAGACTAGTTGAACTCAGGCCTCCCAACAGGCCTGTGAAACAGGGATGCATTGTGACCCTTTGGATGCTTAGGTTACAACCAGTACAGCCCCTCCGTTGGCCATGCAAACTAGAGCAGCTGGGACTTAGACTGCAGCTCAAAACATTACCGTCCTCCTGTAAAAGGAAGTACAAAGCATCTGCTTCCATCATTAGTTCTTATTTCCTGCTCTGCGGTAGTGTCTGAAATTTGCACGGACATTTGTTGTCCCTTAGATCATTTTGCGCTGATATCTCTAAATATGGACTCAAGTGCCTGCTTATTTTTCCTTAGTATTTTCATAATCAACTAATGCCCCATTTATTGGCTCAGATGCTTCCTAACTTCATCTTCATTGTACCGCTAACCAGAATCCTTCCTGCAGCAGTATTTTTGTTTTTGGGACAGCCACGGGTGAAACACAGTGCTAAAGTAATTCTTTCAGGCTAGAGAGAGTTGGAATAAATTTTCAAAAAACAGAACAAAATATGCTGAGTAAATGAAAGGCCCTTTGCTTCTGACTTGCTTTGTTGCTGGAGCATGTGAAAGACTCAGTGCCTGCTAAGATTCTGACTTTCAGGCCAATAGTGGAGAAGTGCATGGATTTACTACAGGCACGCCCTCGATTTGGCATTTTGTATGACATAAAATCCATATGAGAAAGCTGGGAGCCCAAGCCTGCTTCCTGGACGAAGAGGCCTCCCCTGAAGAGGTGGCAGCGTTTCATCGTCCAGCATCTTGAGAACGTGACCATTCAGCTGAACAGACCTACAGGAGGAAAAGACATTTGAGACACAAAATCTGGCATGAAAAATTGGGAATCGTAGAACCGCACCTTCCACCTGACACCCTCCGGATCTGATGGGCTACTGTCAGGAGGCCCAAAACATTTCCCATCGCTAAACTGGAGAAGAGCGCCATAGAGCAATGCATCATGAGATACGCTTGAACAGGGTTGTATCGCTGTTTTTAAAAACCAGCATTTCTCAAATGCAGACCATAGGCTGGTCATGGGGAACATAAAGCAGCAGACATTAATACTACAGGACAATAAAACAGTGACTGTGAAATGCAGGACATGGAATCGCAGGAGAGCAAACTAAGTAACAGGAATAAATATATGATTGATTACAGAGTGCACCTTTCACCCTTTACCTCCTCACTGGTATGTATTTTCTTTCCTATGGAAGGACACTACAACCGCAATCCTATATACATTTGCCTGGGAGCAGTTCCAGTGATGACCGGTGTTGGGAGAGAGACGGGTGCAGCCCTGTGGAGCCTCCTGGCTTTCTCAGTGGCTTTTGGTTCCATCACCCGTGGGATCCTTCTGGGACAACTGCCTGAGCAGAGTCGTGGAGTGCTGCCTTGCCGTGGCTCTGTTCCTGCTTGGATGGCCAGCCCCAGAGGGGGTGGCTTGAGAAGTATTTCGCAATCCTGTGGATTCTCCAGCATCAGGTTCCTGAGGGGTCTGTCTTATCCTCTGTGATTTTTTGTTTGTTTAAAATGTTTTTATCCCATCCTTTGCGAAAACTGCCTCAGGACAGCTTACAAAGGTTATGTACCTACCCTTCTCAGGGAGCCCCCTCCTGAGGAAGTAAGCGGGGCGATGACCAGGGGAAGGGCCTTTTTGGTTGTGGTGCCCCATCTCTGGAACAAGCTCCCCAAAGAGTTATGCCTGGCACCTACTCTTTCTTTTTGGTGCCTAAGGTAAAGGTAACGGTTTCCCCTTGATGTTAAGTCCAGTCATGCCTGACTCTAGGGGGCGCTGCTCATCTCCGTTTCCTAGCCAAGGGAGTCAGTGTTTGTCTGCAGACAGTTTCCGTGGTCGTGTGGCTGGCATGACTAAACACCAAAATGCACAGAACGCTGTTACGCTGTTACCTTCTCACCGTAGTGGTACCTCTTTATCTACTTGCATTTTCACACTTTCGAACTGCAAGGTTGGCAGGAGCTGGGATGGAGCAACTGGAACTCACCCCGTTGAGCGGATTTGAACCAGCGACCTTTCAATCAACCAGCCCAGCAGCACAGCGGTTTAAACCACTGCGCCACCTGCATCCCATGATTTGGTGCCTAGTGAAACCCTTTTTATTCTCCAGCTATTTTAATAGTTAACCTTTTAGTCTTAAAATTGTTTTAATTAGCTATTGCTGCTGTGCCTGTTGCCAACTTGAGTAGTTGTTTGTTGTTGTTGTAGCTGCTGTAGTGACCTGCTGCTTTGTTTCATTGTGTTTTCTGTTTCTTTGTTTATACATTTTTAACTTTGTAAACCACCCAGAGAGCCATGTGGCTATTGGGTGGTATAAAAATGAGATAGATAGATGGATGGATGGATAGACAGTCTTCTACTGACTTTGACAGGTGGCTCAGCTATGCCCCCATCTGAACAAGGACAGTTGTAATCTGGTACATTAGTCTGCTCTGGTAATCTCTAAATTAGATCCTTAACAAGTTTAGAAAGAGGAAAAGTCTCCTCCGAAAATTTCCTACTTGTAAAGATGCATGCAAGTGCTGTTTAGAATAACAGGGCAAGCGGGACCACTTACCTGGAAAGTATGTTATTTCCATGAGGGAGCAAGAGATACTCATCCACCTGCTTCTTGGATAAAGAAAGGGGCAAGTGCAAATGTTTTGTGCTGTTGCAGAGGTTTAAGGCAAATAAGGTGAGGTCCCCATCTCTGTACTTTGGGCTGGAAGGGAAAACATGCCGCTCATAAAGACAATCATATATAAGAATCAAACGATACTGCAGGTATTTTATATTGAAACTTGGGGAAATTTATCCTGTATAATGGAAGCCAGGGCTGGCGTACGTAGCCAAGAACTGGATCAGTTTTCATTGAGCTTGATGGAGCTGCAGTCCAGGCCAAACTTGAGAGAAGGTCAAACTTGACTCTAAATTCACTAGAGTTTTCTGGATAACTTCTGTCATCTCAGCCAGCCTTCTCCAACCTGCTAGCCTCCAGATTACAACGCCCACCATCCCTATCCAGCATAGGCAATGGTCAGGGATGAATGGAGTTGTAGTCCAATGCATACAGTAGGCACCAGATCAAGCATCCCTATGATAGAATAGCCAATGTAGTACAGCAGTTAAGAGGGCAGGACTGGGACTCAGGAGTTCTGGATTTGAGTCCCCACTTGGGCATGGAGCCCAATGGGCCAGTCACTGGCTCTCAGCCTAAACTCCCCCACAGGTTTGTTATGAGGACAAAACGGAGAGGAGGAGAACCTTGCCAGCCACCTCAAATTCCTTGCTAGTGAGAGAGAGACAGGTTCTTAGATACAGTGTCATAACAGCATCGATAAATGTGAGCAGAAGCAAAAGCAGAAGCAGAAGGCAGGGTTGTGGCTGTGTTCCTCCTGTGTCTTCTTGCCATCTTTTCTCCACCTCTGATGTGTGTAAGGCTTGAGACGAGCCAATGCTCCTCAGGTGCTACTCCAGGAGAAGTGTTCTACCAAGCAAAGGACATTGCGCAACTCTTCCATCTTTCCCTCCTTAACAGTTTTTTGGGGATAAGAAAATAGAAGGTACAGAGGGAAGACAAGGAAGCTTCTACATTCAACATCTGGACCTCCTGTACAGTTTTGGGAATGGGGTGGTGTGATTACAGGATAAAGCCTCAGCTAGCTGGAAGAATCCTAGCAGCGTTTGGCATGGGTAAAATTTCCAGACTGGACCACCTGAGTTTCCTGATGTCTTCAGAGCCTATTAGACTTTGCACTTACTGGTGCTCATTTGTACAATGCAGATACACTCGCAACTTCCTTGGGTCTTCACCTGTAATGTTAACTTGTAGGACTTTGGTGCCCACCAGTTTCTTGTACACCAGAGAGAGCCAATAATCCTGCATTGCATTAAAAAAAAGCCCCAGTTTTAATGCATGGTGAAACAAACAAAAAAACCAGCACCCCCATCTTAAGAAAGGATGCGACATACTTGATAAACGATTGGCCCAGTGTTGACGTCACAGCTATCCAGAGTTTGTTCAGGGTGTAGCCTACATTTGCGGATCTAAGCAACCTAAGAACACTCTGTCCCTGGGTTCCTTGTTGTGACATCCAGTGCTTTTTTTGTAAGAAAAAAGGTGCTGGAACTCATGACATTATTTACCTTTCACACTTAGTCAATCACTGTACACACACCCACACACGTCAGTTGTGGAACGAAACATAACGGTTGCTGCCCGCAGTAAGCACTCAGCGCGCGACCACACGACCAGTCACAAACTGAGCAGCGCCACCACACCCAGCGCGGATGAAGTACGCATGCCTCAGATTCAACACACAAGCAGCCCGCATGCACCGTCTTAATGATTTTGCCGCCAACCTGCTACGCTCAACAGGGCGATTCGAATCCATGTGGACCAACATCAAATTTTCAAAAGTTTAAAACTTGGAAAATCTGTCGAAAAAAGGTGCTGGAACTCTGTTCCGGTGCATTCTATGACAAAAAGAGCACTGGTGACATCCAAACGCAGGATTGTGGGTTGTTCAGGGAGGGAGGATGCAGCCCAGTAATTTGCTCTTGAGATACAAGTCTGACTTGTTGCTCTTCCTGTCAGCGGCAGGAGCAAAACAGAGAGTGAGAACCAACACCGTCAGTGTAACAAACCACAGTTTTAGTGACTTGTGAACTGGATGACAGTCCTTAAATAATAGCTTGATATATAACCCACAGAAAGAGTTATTCTGTGGACAGATGCTCAGGAAAAGCACAAAAGCCAGCTTCCTTCTGTTCTCGTTAAACAGAGGACAGACCTCGGGCTTACAGGATGTAGTTTGTGGTTGTTTTTAGAAGAACCTTGAGATTAATATCTTGTTGCCAAGGGCATACATTACAATTAAAGAATGTGGAGAACTGCCATTTGTTTTAGAGAATCAGAAATGAGCGTTTCTGCATGCACCCTTCCTCACCTTTATTTGTTTCTTTGTTTGTTTATAAAGTTTTTCTATGCCATCTTTAGTTAAAAACTTCATGACCATTTATAAATTTTTTGAAAAACAATCAATTCAAGCAATAAAACAACTAAAGACTCCTTAGAGCCATTACTTGATGCTAAAATAATTAAAATACCATTTAACAGTATGAAAACTATTTCTCCTCCTGCTCCTCCTCGGGGCAAGAGCTAAAAGGCAGCTGGACAAGCAGCTTGCTATGACTGAAGGGAAGTGCCAAGCTGCTTTGCCACTGGGTTCCTGCTGAAGTGTGGGAAGCCCCGCTCACTAATTCACCCCCCCCCCCCCCCCCCGCAGCAAAGCTTTCTAACTTCTTCCATTCCAGTTCTTTCTTTGCTTGCTTTCCCTATAAGGCTTAGCAGTTATGACTTTGCAAGCATCAAGTAATCGATAAGTTCTGCACTGAAGTCATTCTTTTGACTCATAACCACAGTTTTATGGATTTTGACAAGGATGAACGATATCATCTAGCTAATGCAAGGCACATGGTGCAGCTTTTGTGGTGCAACTGAGTAAAGAATGGATGGGCTTTGTTTTTCAGTTTCTTTTCAAAGAAGGGCAGGTGAAGGGTGGAAGGCACAGTTCAGAGCTGGACACAAACTGTGCATGCAGAGAGCCTGGTTTAACCGCTGGCTTCCCCAGTGAAGGCAACATGTAATGCAAAAGACCTGCCAGGGAGCCTGAAGAAGCCTTTCCAGGCAGAGTAGTGCAGGGAGCTCCAATCGCTTTTGGCCATTGAGCACATTTGGACTGTTGAAAGAATGTCATGGGCCCTCTCACAAAATGGCTGCTACAGGGCAGTGGGATGGCTGGTCGGGCTGTCCTTTCACAAAACGGCTGAGGTGGACCCTGAGCTCCAAAAGGTAAAACCACCCTTCTGAACCCACGTTTCGTTGTGCTAACTCACAATTCACAGAAGACACACTTCTGAAACTGAGAGACGTGAGACCGTAGGCAACTTTGGAAATGGTGCTGGAGGCTGCCATTTCACTTTGCAATATGTGAGTCTCCCAGTCAATGAATAAAATAAAATAAAATAAAATAAAATAAAATAAAATAAAATAAAATAAAATAAAATAAAATACGGAGGGGCAGAAAGGTTGTTTTGTCACCTAAAAAAGTATCCCCAGTCACCATGTTGGAGACTCCAAGAACAGAAGACAGGCATCCAGATATCCTCCAGATGCTTTGGACTACAACTTCCCAAATGCCTGCCCCTTAGTCATGTTAGCTGAGGCTGATGGGAACTGTAGTCCAACATATCGGGGCTAAATGGACAAACGGCAGATGGGGAAATGACCTTGCATACATACTGGCAGAGGATCGATGTTGGAATCCACCAGATGGTAGCTTCCTGCTCCCAGTAAAACCTGCCTCATCACCACATCGATGCCCAGCTGGGCTGACAGTCCCAGTTTGTCCAGCCACCTGCCAAATAAAACAGGAGAGAAACACAGCCTGTCTGAGAGAATTATCGTATGGGGGAAAGAAATACCTCTTGGCCAAAGCAATGTGATATTTTCTCCTAGGCATGTGACAGAAATGAGAGCTGTGACAAATACCATGCATTTTACACCTTATGTGCTTTCCATAGAGAAAAGTTAATTCCCGGTTGTTCACTGCCAATGTTGTAACAATGCTCCCCAAGAACTGTAACTGAGAGGAGCAGAGAGCACCTTGAAGAGCAGCCTTCTCATTTCTTGGCAGGATCAAGAAGTCAAAGGTGCAAGCAATCTTTTCTGCAAAGGGGCTGCTTGTGGGGACTTGCACTCCCTTGCCCCCACACCCCCTTTAGCTTCCACATAGCTGCATGTTTTGCACTTTGTTTTGAGGCTCCAGGCCAGGGATCGGCAACCGTAAACACTCAAAGAGCCATTTGGACCCATTTCCCACGCAAAAGAAAACACCGGGAGCCGCAAAACCCTTTTGACATCTAAAATGAAGATAACACTGCATATATCATTTTTTACCTTAATGCTATGTATATCTTCATTATGATTTGTCTTGTTCAGTCACTAAAAACTGTTATTTTTAATATTACATTATAAACCAGTAGGACTCCTTTCATATATTTTGAATAGGAGAACAGCTTCCTGAAGAGTCAAAGTCAGTGCTAAAGGGCTGCATGCATTAAACAGCAAACCCCATAAGTTCGTCAGCAGTAAAAGCAAATGAATCTACCCACATACCATTAAACGTTTGGTTTTCTTCAGAAACTTTTCTTCGATTTATCCATGGTTGGCCTACCGGGGGGGGGGGGGGGAGCTCAGTAAATCAGTGCAGGTCCCTAGCCTGCTGGAGATATAGGAGTGGTTAGTGACTGATTAGCAGATAAACAGTCAAGTGCTGTGAACTGTGACAGGTCCAAGCACAGCTTTTAACATGCAGAGGAAGGAGATTACATTGGGACAAAGAGAATCTTTTCAGCAGGTTTCCTGTAACGTGAAAGCCAGCAGGAAGCTTGTTCCAGTCTTTCCCCGAAATGTCGCAATTTACTTAACCTGCTAGCGCAGCCTTTCTGAGTGGATGCCTCATCATCACCTGTATTTTGTAACTCGGGGCCTCAGTCACAGATCGGAGGCTGTGAGGTGTATTTTGGGCGACGGAGCCGCAGCACAGGGATTCAAGAGCCACGTGCGGCTCCGGAGCCGCGGGCCCCTGCTCTAGGCGCTCATGACTGCACAGAAGTGCACCTCAGCCCTTTTTCCATGAGCAAAGGAATTTTGATTGCTGTGCCAGCTATCCGTCAAAAGTCTGAGTACATTTAAAAAAGGGGAGGGGGGTTGAGTGGAACTAGGGTTCGGGGGACAGTGCCCACTCAAACAGCACTTTTTAAAGGGACCCGCGGCTTCTTGCAGGCTGAAAACGCAGGAAGGGGGATGTATTTGAACCCTCTTCTGGGAAATGTCCATTTCACAGCAGCAGCCTCCACCCCTGCTTGGTAGCCCAGCCATGGCTTCTAATGCCCACAGGTACACTAGTGCAAAAGAGTGCATTTATACACCTGCGTTAAAAAAAATGAATAGAAGTATTCTTGGCACACAGGGAGTCGCTCCAACACGCCACTGGGGCATTTTGTAGGGACTGCTCATAGCAGGGGTTGTGAAAGCTGCTTGACAGCCAGTTTCCACAATCCTCGGGGGAGGGGGGGTGAAAAAGCAACCACAGCGAGCCCAAAATGGCTCCTGGCAATGGTGGCAGGGAGCCAGTACCCTCTGCCCCAAATGCCTCCTGGGCCCTTTGGGGTGGCTGTCATTGGCACTCACCTGGCAGCTCCATAGCTCCATTTAAGCATGCATAAATGCAGAGAAGACTCTTTTTTTCCCATAGAACATTCCCTAGCCTTCAGGACTCACCTCCCCCATTAGACTTAAAACATATATGAGCAATTTGTTTGTTTAGTTGCAAAGTCATGCCTAACACATCGCGACCCCATGGACAACATTCCTCCAGGCCTTCCTGTCCTCCACCATCCCCCGGAGTCCACTCAAGCTCACACCAACTGCCTCAGTGACTCCATCCAGCCACCTCATCCTCTGCCGTCCCCTTCTCCTTTTGCCATCTATTGTTCCCAGCATTAGGCTCTTCTCTGGTGAGTCCTTCCTTCTCATTAGGTGACCAAAGTATTTGAGTTTCATCCTCAGTATCTGGCCTTCTAAACAGTAGTCAGGCGGACTTCCTTTAAGCTTGACTGGTTTGATCTCTTTATGAGTTATACACTGACTTAATTTTGCAATACTTACAGAAAACCAGCAAGATACGAATTGGATACGTGAGGCACGCCACCCGAATAGGCTGAGCTTGTTTCTCCCAGCCACACTTTCTTCCCCGGTACGGTGTCATCCACAATCTAGAGGAAGTTGCAAAATTGAAGCAAAGAGAAGAGAGAAGAGGCGAATCAGTGTGCGGAGTCGGGCCTGGGAGATGAACCCTGGCACCTCGGGAACTTCAGATGGGGTTGGACAGAGAGACTGCGGAGGTGCCAAGGGCCTATGTACACCGCGTTTGCTATGTGGTAGCCGCGCAAGGGGGCTGCTCTGGGGCTCGTGCACCCAGGGCACGCGTGAGAGGCATCTTCTGCAACATCATCACCATCTCCAAGCTAATCATAAGCCAGGGAACATGATACAAGGGTAAAATGGAAAAACCATATGGCCATATGATGTATAATAAAACTTTAAAATGCAAAAATCATCCATATCTTAAGTTATAATGGAGTTAGTATTTTCAAAAGTTCTCACTTCCCTAGCCACACAATAAAACCTCAGTGAAGCAGCAACATGAACGGCCAATAAAGTACATATATTGAAAGCCATTTGCAACTGGGTTTCCAAAGGCTTTTCAAACACTGCAGTTGCAAGGGCCAGCTCCACATATTGTTGGAAAGGGAATTCTGTATGGCAGAGAAGAAGGTTCTGTCTCTGATACTTGCCAGTGGGATTGCTCTTCACGATGGTACAAATGTAGAGTGTCCAGTGTGGAGTAATGTATGACGATTAATAATAATAGTAGCAGTACATTTATACCCTGTGTTCCTTCCTCTTGCAAGGAACCCAGGGGGGCTGGCAAGTGTCTCCTCTCCATTTATCCTCACAGCAATAACCGTGTGACGAAGTTTAGGCTGAGAATCTGTGACTGGCCCAAACTATGAATTTCATAGCTGAGTGGAAATTAGAACCAAGATCTCTGAAGTCCCAGTCCAGCACTCTTAACTACTACATCACACTGGCTTTCAGATGATATATAGACTAGTCTGTATGAATTTCAAGTTCTCCTTGAAATAACCTGACAGAAAACCTTTTAGGATAGCCTTCTCCAACTTCTTGCCCTCCAGATGTTTTGGATTTCAGTTCCCATCAGCTCTAAATTGTATGGCCAGTGGACAGGTACTATAGGAGCTGTAGTCTAAAATATCTGGAGTGAACATTTGGGGAAGATTGTTCTATGCACTGTTCTACACCCTACCCACCCATCCCCCCATTACCTGGAGCTCTTCTTTTGCAAGTGTGATGAAGGTGTCCAGCACATCCGGATTCAGGAAATCTTTCCTGCTAGCATTTCGTCCATCTAAATAGTAACTGCCAAAACAAGTGTAGGTAGAAAGCCTGTAACCTGTAATTTTAATTCATGCCACAACTGTTTTTCTTTTCACCTTTCTTTATATGTTTCTCTGTAGTTCAAGTGGAAGAAAAATTGTGGCTGTCTTTTATTTAATTCATCAGGTGCTTAGAGTGGTGTAGTGGTCAATTTTGGGCTCCTAGACCCCCAGGGAGAGTCCAAAATGCCAGGCACCTGGAAGTCCAGGCAGCAGAAACTTTGATCTATATCAACTCACTAGCTTTAGCAATTTCATTTCTACCAGGAGCAGGTGTAATTGTTTTGTAAAGTCTGAGTTGCCCATTCAAGACTGAACTTCCCCGATATGATTTGCATTTGAACAGAGAACAATATGTTTTGCTGGGAAAATCTAAAGGGAACTGGGAAATTTGAAGGGGTGGCAGATGTCCCTGCTATTGCAAAAGTCCCATTGCCTCATTCCTGTGAGCCCTGGCTCCACTACACCACCAAATGTCTATACTCCACAGCAAATTGCAACGTACTGGGTCATTAAGGATGCAGGCCTTTGCATGTTTAGACAGACAAAAGTCCTACAGCTCCCAGCATTCTCCAGGTAGCACAGCTGGGTGGAGAATGCTGGGAGTCCAAATGTTTTTCTCTGTCTAAACATGCATCAGATTATGCCCTAACTTATTATGTGGAACATAGCTGTAAAAAAGTTGAAGAAAATCAAACTGATTTTAAATGTAAGGCCTAATGGTTCAGAATTATAAGAAGCAGAATTATTACATTTAATTCTGAACCTGAAGTTATCCTTGCCTTAACAAACATCACAGAAATTTGCCTTGCAAGGACTTGGTCATGAGAGGTGGGAGGGCAGGCCATGTAGCTGTGTGTGTGTGTGGGGTGGTACCTTGTTTAGAAATTATTATTATTATTATTATTATTATTATTATTATTATTATTATTATTATAACATTTCTATGCCGCCCCTTGCCAAAACCTCGGGGCGGCTTACAACACAATAAACTACATTGAAATACAATAGAACATAATAAATTACCATTAAATACAAAAATACAAAATGACTCATCAACTGACAAGCAACATTCTTCTCACATTTGTTCATTGATCCACTGGGAACAACCCTGTAATTTGCCCTAACTGAACAAGCGCAAGTTTCTAATGGACATACAGAACCACATTCATCGATTGACAAATGGTTTTGGTTTATATATTAGGTAAACAGTAATACTTTGGTACAGCATTTCTTAGACTAGTACAGACCTTTTGGGAAGGACTTAATTCCTGTGCAATTTATGTGTGATGGCAAATTCTGTGAAAATAGCAATGTTTTGTTTAAGTTTAGAAATGTCTGTTGACCTTTCTGGCTTTTGGATTTATGCTTAGGTTTGGTTTGGCTTGGCTCTATTATTTCTTTAAACAAAATAACATAAACCTTACTTTTTTTAAAAGGAGCAGACTATGTTGAGGAGGGGATACCTTGAACAGCTTTGTACAAGGCTTCAGGTAGTTTATATCGGTGTTCTGGGAATGCGTCTTGAACACAAAGGAAAAAAAAATAAGCAATATTCTTTAAAGCTATGAGTAGATCATTGGACAGAGGAGGACCATGAAGTACCAATTTGGGGGAGTTTTGCCAGCACCGCCATACAAATTGCATGCGAGTGCCCATTCTTGCAACGGTGCACTTAATTGCGTGTCGCAGTCCCATTCACTGGAAGAGCCCTGTGAGGCCTCGTTGTTGCAGGCTGCCATTGGATTGTGCAGCACAAGTGCGACTGTACAGCTTCCTGCAGCCCCTAAACCAAACTCTCACCCAAGAACCCAGACCAGGTCCCAGGTTAAAGGGGCCCTTGGCCAACTGCCCTCCCTCCTATGGAGATGGGTTCCAAGATTCCTGGATGGAGCTCTGGACGGAGGTTGGAACTGCTCTTTAATCTTTCCAGCACTCCCAGGATGAGGAATTATTTTGCCAAGGATCCCTTGGCTATGAGCTATTGCTTCGAAGACTCAGTGATGCACTAAGTGAATGACAAGGTGCTCAGATGTCCTTCTTTACAGAGCCATCCTCTCTTTGAATGTGTCTTTTATATGAAGGTCCACTTCAAGTTTGACTATGAATAACCCAAGAGCCGTTGCCCAACCTCAGTGAGCACCTGGGCAGCAGACTGAGCGGGAAGGAGCCCAGCTCACCTGTTCGGGGTCTTCCACACTTTGGTGAGATGTAATAATAATGATAATTGTTGGATAATAGATATTGATAATTTCTGAATGTGCACCTGGGCATAGCAATCAGCACAAGCGAATGTTATGCATGACACTGCCCTCTTTTGTCATCCTTCCTTGCCGTGCATGACTGGCTCCCCATGGCATTATGGGATTTTTTACAATGCGAGGTTATACATCCCAGGCTCCTAGTATGAGGCGTTCGGGATAGGTGTCTGAATCAATGGGTCTTGTATGGTCCTGGTAGTTGTACGAGGGGGCTGGAGGCGGATGCCAGGTCTGGCCACTCCAGAGGGCTCTAAGGAATTGAAATGGCAGGTGGTCTCTGACCAACAGCCTGGTGCAGGGCAGGGGGCACTAGGTTTCTGCGCCTTTGGCAGCTGCCGCCAAATCCCCTATTCTGTCATCAGGCCAGAGGACAGTGGGAATTGAGGGCTGGAGTGCTGGTGCACCATGAACAAGCATACCAACATTTCAAGTTTGGTGCCAAGAAGTCTCGGGCTTTGTGAGAACTAAGAGAAAATGGTTTCTTCAGCCTGCACTTGACCCAGAAGAGAAGATGTTGCGTGTGACCAAAAGGTGCTATGGACTCACCACGAAAATGATGTGTGTTCCAACAGGAGTGATGGCTACTGACTTAGGAGAATGGAGGATGCTTCCAGCACTTTGTAATTCATGGAAGCACCGTGGGCCAGGCAGGGTGTCCTTGAGTCCCAGATGCTGGGAGGAAACCACAGAGGATGGCCAACACCTTTGGACCTTGTTTGGAAGTCTCCATTGGCACCTGGTTGTCTACGGATGCTGCAGTCAGAATGCTAGAGACCCTCAGAGCGACACACGTGATGTTTTTACGTACTACGCATGTTTTCATGCTTAAATAATTAAGTTGCTGGACACGAACTTGATACTTACTGATGCCATGTGACGGAATCAATTGCTTTCCCTCCTGATTTCAGAAAGCTGCAGAACAACAATAGCAAAGGTGGTTCCATGACTTTAATTATTTCAGTAGCCTAAAACAGGGGAAAATGCTTTGCTGTTCCTAAACTGCTGGGAATTAGGAAATTTTGCTGATTTCCTGCAAATTATGCAAATATTTTCTGTGGTAAGAAAAGAGATGGAAGAAGTGAAAGCAGAACATGGCGGGAAAATGGATAATTACAAGTGAAAGATGTCATTGTCCAGATCCCCTGTAAAATTAAGGGAAATGGTACCATGAAACCCTTGCCTGGAAGCACATCCATTTCCTGCTATCTATTTCTGTCAGCCTTTTACAACCAGGTGACTGCCAGATATTTTAGACTACAATCAATATTTCTGACTACTGGCCATGTTGGCTGCAGCTGATGGGAATTGAAGAATGTCTGCAGGGTACCAGGTTGCAGAAGGCTGCCTTATACGGTCTGGCAAACTAAACCAGGATCTTAACCAGGGTTAAAGGAACGAACCATGATTAGAGCTACTCGTAACTATGGTTAAGTGTAAAATCTGCACTGGAACAAAGTCTCTGTTTGTTGGTTTATCAAGCCAACAAAAGCAAACATTTTCCTTTTACCTCCTCAGCATCAGTGGAATGTGCTTCTGTTTCTTCCGAGGCTGGCCTATGTCGGGGCCAACGAGTTTGGAATTCCTGTAGCGAGTGTAATTGTCCAGAAGGCGACGGAGGTGCAAGAAATCCTGGCCTAACTGGGAGCCATTGACAAAGATGCCTGACTTATGCCTGAAGCTGTTGGGTTCTAAAGAAAACAGATTAAGTAAACATACTTAGATGGCTCCCAAGGCATTGTAACTTGTGATTTATTCAAAATTTGCACAGTGGTAATAATTAACTACAAGTACACAATGTTAAATATCAAAATGGCTATTAGATCAAATGAAAAACATGTGGAACTCCATTATCTAGGCCAAGATTTTCATCGAAGCATTGCTCAGAAAAGTACATTGCCTAATTTTTTGTCAGGCTGTCTTATAAAAACGGAAATCAGGGTTTGGTGGCTGGGGAAAGGAAAATCTTGGATTTTATTTTTTAATATTTTGATAAGGGTTTCACATCGTACATTATGAAGCCTGATTGTTGTGGCTTCTGCAGTCCCAAACAGCAGATTGAATCCACCTCTATCTCTGCCTGAAATCCTCTAGAGCGACCGCTGCCAGTCAGTGCCTGCAATATTGGGTTAGATAGACCAAGACTCCAACTCAATATGAGGCAGCAGCTTCTGCTTCTAGTTATGTGTAGAATGACTAGCCATCCCCTGAAACCTTGCCCTTGTGACATCAAATCACAAAGAAGACAGGCTGTACATAAACCCTGGTAGCTTTGGCATGTGACATGAATCTTCAGCATTGACATGCAATTTAAAAAAAGAGGATCAGCTCTCCTCAGTCCTTTCCTACCCCAGCCAAGTATGCATTTGCACACTTCCACATGGGAGCCTTTCTGTAAGCCGTCCCGAGGCTGTGTAGCAAGGGGACAGCATATAAAAACATTAAATAAATAAATGCCCCCATTCAGCACATACCATTTCCAAGTTCCCAGGACATGAAGTAATTCTGGGAGTCAGTATAATTCAAAAGTAACTGAGCATTTGAGCTGTCCCATTGGCCATTTCCTTTTCGCAGCAAGGCGTTGAGTCCAAAGATCAGGTGGAAATTAGCACAGTGGGCAAAGTGGTATAAAATATCCAGTGTGCTTCCTGTGAACAGGGTGGAAATAAGAACAAGATTTTGTATTATGGCAGGACTGACCTGCTAGAAAACTATTCCCCCTATTCCACAATCATGTAAGCTAACTTAACTCATCCAAAATCCACAAGCCAGATAACATGCAGGCTTGTCTTGCACTGATATCATGCAAACAGGCAAAACGGGAAGTACAAGAATCTGGTGAACAGACATTTCTTAATGGTGGCCACTTTTGCATGTAATAAGCCAGGAATCCAGGCTTATTAAACCACAATGCAAATTAGTAGTGCCTTCCTGAATACAACCTATCACTTCTGCTTGCATGAACAGGTAAACAAGCAAAGCAGAACAGCTTAGTGTGATGTCTGAACCAAGAGCGATGGTTTACTGCTCCCAAACATACCAGGATCATAAGCCAGCTTTAAAACTGGGTTTGTTGTTTGCTTATGAATCCTGACTTTTAAAAATCCAATAATCCAGCATCCTGGGTTCAGACATCATGATAAATTGTCTCTGCCTCCCTGGTTTGCAAGTGGGAGAAGCAAGATGGGAGCAAATCGGCTGCCTGCATCAGCATACAAAGCATTTGTGCTGTGATTTAAGAAGCCAGGATTTGTTTGTTACTGCTTTGTGAAAACTCAGACAATATCTCAAAAAGGCCAAGAGGTTTAAGTGCTCATTGTTACTGTGCTACAGAACCAGAGCTGCTTCACAAATGTGTTAATCTGCAAATTTCTAGCCCCGGCACCTATCATTTTGAATTAGTTCAAGTGTTCTAGTTAGGGATCCCTCTAGCTAGAAAACCTATATGCCATTTTTACACAAAAAAGCAGGCAGGGCAAGAGGAAATGAACCACCCTTCCCCTGCCCCATAAACTGCAGAAATGGCTGCACTCTCCTTCCACAGGTTTCTCAAGTAGGGTCACATCTATGCAGCATGCCCTTTTCATAACAGTTTCCCATAAAGAATGTAGGGAAAGCAGGACAGCCTGTTTTGGAAACCCCAGAACCTATTCCTTTGAAACTTGGCAGGCAAGATCCTTCAGAAGGAGTAAAATCACCTGCAGTTTTCATCCAGTTGTGGTGGGAGGAAGGCAGAAGTCTGGCCTGCTTTGCTGGCCCTTGCAATACCCATGGGAGGGCTGCGGGGAAGGAGGAGGGGAACAACCCATGATGAACCCAGGCATCTTTGGGAGCACCGTGAGTTTTTTGCAGAACAACCCACCCAGCAATGCACTGGACACACAAAGAGCTCTTTCACTTTTTTGTCCCCACGTAAAGGACAGGACAGGCATGGGCGAAAGTACCCTTTGTACATCAAGTGTTCCAAACAGATGAACCATGGGCAGCTCCACATGCCTTGTCCAGCAGCCCCCAAGGCAACACTTTGCTGCCACTGGGAAAACTGGGATCGGTGGCATGGCGGTAGTGGAGGAGAGAAAATGCGTTCCAAGGAACAGGTTCTAAGTTTCCTCTGGAGAAGCCTCGCTCCTAGAGCATCCTAGCAAAACATTGCTTGAAGGTTCCTACCCACATCCTAAGATACTCTGGGATGCTCCAGGAATGGGGTTAATATGGCAGGAACCAGAAGGTCTGAATAGGTTTCTTCTCTTTTCTTGATGCCATGGAATAGTTGCAGTCCAGGCAAACCAAGGCCGGTTGCTACAGCAATGTATGTGCCTAGGAGAGGTGTGTGGGCTCCAACAGGCACTCAGTGCTGCAAAGTCGACAGACTCCATCCTCACCTCTCAGTCCCATCATCCTCTCCTTGTGACTCCAGCACAAGCACTGCCTGTCAAGCAAGTAAGTGGGAGAGTGGCAACCCCTCACGGTATTTCCTGGAAAAGACGGGCAAGCAGCAACTCCCACCATGGTGGGTCATGCCTGGAGGGCCCACTGCAGGTTTGGGAATGACACAGTGGCTGTGCATAATGGCCCCCCCTTTGGACTGGGGTTATACTGCATGATGGGAGGACCACTGGTCACCTATCACCGCTGTTCTGGAACAAGTCGAGTCCAAAGATTCCAGGCAGCAGCCAAAGACAGACCATCTGATTTGAGAATAGCAATAACAAATGTCTTACGTGTAATGGTGTAGTTTTTGTGAATCGGCTTGTTCTCCTCCCAAAGAATGAGCCTCTCCTGGTAGGGCCATAGGAACTGCAAGTGCTGCAGGACATCCAAAGGAGTAAACGCAAATTCACAGATGTTTGCAGAATCTGTAGCGTGAAAGAAGGGGCGGGGGGAGAGTGGGGCCAAAGGGAGGGCAACATTTCAGGGATGCTTTGAAGGCGGCAGGGTTACCGTGACCAATTAAAGGTCTTTGTAGTGAAATGCAGCTGCGTTGCTCAGGACTGTCCTTTGTGCCGTTGGAGGCTCTTTCAAGCTGACATCCTCTGGATGTGCTGGACTACAGCTCCCATGATCACAAGCCAGTCTGTCCGTGGGGGCGATGAGAGGTTGAGGAAGGGCAAGAGTAGAGAACTTCTGTGCAGGCCTCAGCATCACGGTCAGCCCTCCAGGTTTCCCCAAATAGCCACACTCCCTTCTCCTGACTGTGGATCACTCAGTGGTTTCCTGGTGTTTACACTGATTGGTTTGGCTTATTTTATTGTTTGTTTATTTGCTATATTTTTATCCTGCCTTTTTTCCTTTCAAGGAACTCAAGGCCGCTGACATCATTCCCTTCCTCCCCTCAATCTTATCCTCACAACAACCCTGTGAGGTAGGTTGGGCTGAGAGCCTGTGACTGGCCCAAAGTCACCCACTGGGCTCCATGGCCGAGTGGGGACTCGAACCCGGGTCATCCGAGGCCAGGCCAGTCCAGCGCTCTTCGCCACTGCACCACACTGGCTCATCATGTGCAAAGTGCCTACATAAGCCTGCAAATGAATCAACCGAGCAGCCCCAGGTGAGGACTGCAGAGTTGTCAGCAATTCTCGTGCCGGGACAAACAGGACAAAACCGACATTTACAGTTAGTATAATAGGACTGCTGACACTCTCTTTGTGAAGCTTGAGCAGGAGTTCTAGAACAGTCTTCTTTTTTCCCTTAAATGTAGGGGAAATTAATAGTATTCAGTCACACCATTCCACATGGAGAGGGGGGTTTGCTTTTAGGCGATCTGTTGTTCATAGAGCTATGGAACAGAAGAGCTGGAAGGGGCCAGGAAGGCCCTGGGGTCCAACCCCTGCTGTTGCAGGACACCAAGTCACACCATCCCACTCAGAGGGCTGTCCAGTTTCACCTTGAATGTCTCTAGCATGGGAGAGCCCACCACCTCTCCAGGCAGCTGACTCCACTGTTGTATTGCTCTGATGGTGAGGAAGCTTTTCCTGATATCTAGCCTGAATCTGGGTCAACACAGTTTGACTTGATTATTCCGTGTCCTGCACTAGTGTGGGAGAGCCCACCACCTCTCTAGGCAGCTGGTTCCACTGTCCTATTGTTCTGACACTGAGGAAGTTTTTCCTGATGTCCAGCCTGAATCTGGGTTGTTGCAACTTGAATTGATAATTCCGTGTCCTGCACTCTGGCATCAGTGAAAAGAGATCTTGTCCTTCCTCTTTGTGACAGCCTTTCCGGTACTTATAGAGTGCTATCATCTTCTCTTCTCAAGGCTGAATGTACCTAGATTTCTAGTCTCTCTTCATAGGGAAATGTTTCCAAACCTGAGATCCTTTTTGTTGCCCTCCTTTGGATTCTTTCTAATTTTTCTGCATCTTTCTTAACTCTTGGTGCCCAGAACTGGACACAGTATTCCTGATGAGTTCTGGCTACTGAGTATAGAGGAACTATTACTCCTTGAGATATGGAAGTAATATTTCTATCAATGCATCCCAATGCATTCCAAAACAGCATCCCCCGCCCCCCCGCCCGCCAACTCTCTAGAGAGCAGGTCTTCTTGCCACTCACGTTTGCTTGTGAAAAGTCATCTCCACTCCTCTGACCAGAACTTCCTAAAATGCCTCAACAGGAAGATGCCAGGAACCAGGGGGACCGGAAGGTCAGGGCTCGTATCAAGGGAAGGCATGGTGGGGCATTTGCCAAGGCCTGCAGCTTAGCAGGGGGCGATTAATCCCCCTCTGCCACCATCCTTGCTTCTTCTCTTTGCTGGTGCAATCTGCTTGCTCACCTGCCTCTCTCTCTGACCCAGAAGGTGAGCAAGAAGAGGAGCATGTGATGCCCCTGCAACTTGTTCCTGGTTCTTTGCCTGCCAGGCATGGAAAGGACAAGAAAGAGAGCCAGAAGGTGACAATGATGGTCAGAAGGCCGACTCACTGAGGATGCAGGGCAGAGGCTGGTTTTCCTCTACTGGTGCCCGGGAGAGTCTGCAGCAGAACATCAAAGACCGGGAAGCGAAAATTTTAAAAGTGTGTGGATGCAGAAATGGTTTTGTTGTTCCATGAATGTAGGGCATTATAGAATCATAGAACAGCAAAGTTGGAAGGGGCCAGAGGGCCATCAGGTCCAACCCGCTGCTCACTGCAGGACTCCCAGTTCAAGCATCCCTCTCTGATGGCTTTCCAGCTGCATCTTGAATGCCTCCAGTGTGGGAGACCCACAACCTCCCTAGCTGGTGTGTTCCATTGTTATACTGCTGTATCAGTCAGGAAACTTTTCCTGGTATCTAGCTGGAACCTGACTTCCTGTAACTTGAGCCAGTTATTCCATGTCCTGCATTCTGGGACAATCAAGAAGAGATCCTGGCCTTTCTCTTTGAGACAGCCTCTCAAGTACTAACCTTGTCTACCCCTCAGCCTTCTCTTCTTGGCGTTAAACATGCCCAGTTCTTTCAATCTCTCTTCATAAGGTTTTGGTTCAAGTCCTTGGTTCATCCTTGTTGCTCTCATTGATTAGGACATTTTGAAGAGAAGCAAGATTTTAAAGAGGGAATTCAAGCAGGTGTCACAGAGTCTCTGCTTTAGAATATATCCATTTCATCTCTCTTGGAAAAATAAGTGTTCATGATCCACTCAATTCTAGGGAAGTGTTCATGTCTGACACTCAATTCTAGGGAAGTGCACCTAGGCGTATGTGTGTTTTGCAATTTCAGGTTCAACCTACCTTGTTTTGCTAGCAAATCCTGAAAAATCTTTTCCTCCCATGTTGGTTCCTTTTCAGGATCAAAGATGAAGTAGTCTGTTTTGGTGCCACCAAATCTCAGATAACCAGGGGATAAGCCTCTTGCTAACGTGGACAGTTTCTTAGAGCTGGGGGTGTGAATGCCAAAAATGTAAGAAAAGAACTACCTTTCTAGGAAATTGACTTGAATTAATTATAATTCATTCATTTTTATCCTCACTATTCCCAAAATGGCATAATCTATGAGTTCCATTTATTTAATCTGTGAGTTCCATTTATTTATTTATGTACATAAGCATTTTGTATTGCCTTTTTCCATATGCAACCTCAAAACACAGCAATGCTGTAAAACAATTTCAGAGTTACAACCATCAGCAGCTAGAACTTCTCAGCACAGTAAATGCATTAACCACAGAGCAGTGTTAAAAATAGAAAAGCTAGTTATTGTTTTCCAAGCACATCCAAGGCAGACTGGAACAAAAATGGTTTCAAGGTTCTTTTAAAAAACAGCAGGAAAAAACGCCATATGTACTTCCACGGAGAGAGCATTACAGAGAGGCAGGGCTACCACTGATAAGGCTGGGGCCTGCCAAAAGAATAACTTTTACTGCTGTTCTAACAGGGTTTCTAGCTCTAACCTCAGAGCTTGGGAAGGCTCATACCAGTGCAAGATTCCTCAGGGGGTCTTCATTTTACTATTGTCCTAAACAGTTTAGGACCAGGTGATCAGAGGGACTGTTCATACCCATATGGGGCTTCCTGAGCTCTGAGGTCAGCATTGGAAGTCTGGCTTACAAGCTCACCAGGATGAGTTGTTAGACTGACAGGCACCAATAGCAGGGCCTTGTCAGTCATGGCCCCTCATCTTTGGAACAGACCCAAAGGGGGATCGATGCACCTGTTGGGGACAGAGCAGTTGTTTGCTCTAGTTCTATGGTTCCTTCATTCATATTCCTGGGGCAGAATAGGGAGAATCCACAGAGAAGCTTTAATTGGAGCGTTGTTTGCTCCTTTTCTACTGTGCTGTTTAAAGGAGGGGCAAAGGTTAAGGGTACCTCCTGCAGTAGCAGGGCTTCAGTCAAAGCCAGAGATCCCTTCTCTCTGTGGCTGCTTTAAAGTAGGAATGATATGGTTGAAAATCAAGTCATAGACCTCCCCTGCGACATTCTTCTTGTTGCCGTTGCATACTTTGGTCCTGGGCATTTCATCAAGCAAGTAGAGTTAACATTACTGTAACTGGAAACCAAAGATCCAGGCTGAGAATTTCCTTCCACTAACCCAGTGGAGCTGCAAGGATTCCCTTTCGTTTTCCTGCTCTTTTTCTTTTAATATGCAATAAGCAAGCCATGCCCACTCTGGCGGTCAGGGCAAGAGTTCGGACAAAGGGCTCCAAAGAGAGACGTGGGTTCCTTCTGGGTTTACACAAAACATTTCTAACTCCAAATAAGGAGGTCATTTTAAAAAGCGAAGCGTGCTGAAGTTTGCACCATCAAAAACGTAAAAGCCACATGGAAGTGGGTTGTGTAAAGCCAGCTACTCTTGAAAGCCCATTAGATTCTTCACAGCTGACACACGGCAGAGACAAACAGGTTTATAATGTGTGTGTTTAAGAAATAAAATGGTGCAACGTGCAGGCTAATTGCAGCATAGGCTTTTCCGGTTGCCTTCTTTACCAACAACGTACCTCTACAGGTTTTGGCTGAGCTTGACATGAGACATTGCACAGAACTCTTCCCCTGAGGATTTAATCCAAAGCAGGGTCCCCACCAGAATTATACCTTCAAATATATTTTTCTTACAGTCTGCTGTATGTGAAGAAGGGGTGTCCAAGTGTCCTACATCCAGTCCTCCGGCATTTGGAGGACTGTTTAGTCCAAGACTGGCCTAAAGATAAGGAACCATACTGAGATGGGAAAGCAGGCAGGTGCCTTGAAGGAACAGTTAGCACCTGGACCTGGAGGTTGACAAGAGATGTATTTTAGTATAATTGAAATGTATACAGGTTGGGCCCATAATCCTTGATGGCAGACCTCTCCCAGCAGCAATCTACCAGACTCTACAATCTACACTGCCACCTTCATCCAAGGGCCAGCTCTGAAGAAGGTTTGAAGCAAGTCAGCAAGGGAGGGCTTTCTCAGTGGTGGCCCCCAATTATGGAACGATCTCACCACTGAGATTCACTGAGGTCCACCTGGCACCAACTTTGTCATCCTTTTGGCCCAGGCTAAGATGGCCCTGTATGCATTTAGAGACAAACAAAGATATTCCAGGGCTGGGATGGATTGCCCATGTTACATTGTTTTATTGGCTTAGGGTTAAAGCTATTAAAATGCCACCCAGTTAACCAATGCCCTTGTTTCCAGCAAAATTCAGTCATCAGAAGGTTCCAGAAGAACTCTTTGTCTGTTTTCAGAATCTCCTTCTTTTGGCAAAGTCAAGCCAAAATGATTCCATTCAGACATCAGACCAAAACATGGTTTGTATTAACCACAGTTTATAGCTTAAACCGTGGTTTGAGTTTTTGAACATAGAGGCATAGAGGTTTAGAGACAGACTGCATACTTGCATTTTGCGTCAGCTCAGCATTCCACTCAATAGGTACGGTGGCCTTCTGAGGACAAGCATTGGGCATAGTTAGTTTGCCAGTTCAGAGCACAAGCCCGCTTTGGAGCAAGGGTTCCAGTTCTGCTTTGCTGGCTGACTGCAAACTGTGGTTCATCAATGTGGATGCTACTTCCTTAACTGTGGCATGGTGCGGTATCTCAACTGAGTCAAAGGGCTTTGTTCAAATGAAATGCCAAACCAGCCACTTACGATTTCTAATTTCCTTCTTCAGGAGCCCTCCTTGAAGGAGATAAGATGGCTACCTGGAGAAGGGCCTTCTCTGTGGTGGCACCCTGGCTATGGAGTGGGCTCGCCAGAGAGGTGTGCCCGGCACCAACAGTTTATTCCTTTAGGAACCAGGCCAAAACCTTTTTTATTTTCCCAACATTTTAAGTCTTAATTGTTGTTTTAATTGGGTTTTATCTGAGGATTTATGATGCTGTGCTTTTCATTGTATTACCATCCTGAGACTTTTGTGATTGTTGTTGTTAGTCGCGAAGTCGTGTCCGACCCATCGCGACCCCATGGACAACATTCCTCCAGACCTTCCTGTCCTCCACCATCCCCTGGAGTCCACTCAAGCTCACACCAACTGCTTCAGTGACTCCATCCAGCCACCTCATCCTCTGCCGTCCCCTTCTTCTTTTGCCAATTGTTCCCAGCATCAGGCTCTTCTCCAGGGAGTCCTTCCTTCTCATTAGGTGGCCAAAGTATTTGAGTTTCTTCTTCAGTATCTGGCCTTCTAAAGAGCAGTCAGGGTTGATCTCCTCTAGGACTGACCGGTTTGATCGCCTTGCGGTCCAAGGGACTCGCAGGAGTCTCCGCCAGCACCACAATTCAAAGGCCTCAATCCTTCGGTGCTCAGCCTTCTTTATGGTCCAGCTTTCACAGCCATACATTGCAACTGGGAAAACCATAGCCTTGACTGTACGCACTTTTTTTGGCAGGGTGATGTCTCTGCTTTTTAGTATGCTGTCTAGATTTGCTATAGCTTTCCTCCCCAGGAGCAAGCGTCTTTTAACTTCTTGGTTGCAGTCCCCGTCTGCGGTGATCTTGGAGCCCAGGAAAATAAAATCTGTCACTACCTCCATTTCTTCCCCATCTATTTGTCAGGAAGTGAGTGGACCAGATGCCATGATCTTAGTTTTCTTAATGTTGAGTTTCAAGCCAACTTTTGCACTCTCCTCCTTCACCTGCATCAAGAGGCTCTTTACTTCCTCTTCACTTTTTGCCATGAGAGTGGTATCATCTGCATATCTGAGGCCGTTGATATTTCTCCCAGCAATCTTAATTCCAACTGGTGATTCATCCAGCCCTGCCTTTTTCATGATGTGCTCTGCATATAAGTTAAATAGGCAGGGCGACAGTATACAGCCTTGCCGAACTGCTTTCTCAATTTTGAACCAATCAGTGGTTCCATGTCCAGTTCTCACTGTTGCTTCTTGACTCACATATAGGTTTCTCAAGAGACAAATAAGATGGTCAGGTACTCCCATCTCTTTAAGAACTTGCCACAATTTGTTGTGATCCACACAATCAAAGGCTTTAGCGTAGTCAATGAAGCAGAAGTAGATGTTTTTCTGGAACTCCCTAGCTTTCTCCATGATACAGTGTATGCCGGCAATTTGATCTCTAGTTCCTCTCCCTCTTCGAAATCCTACCTGTACTTCTGGTAGTTCTCGGTCCACATACTGCTGAAGCCTAGCTTGTAGGATTTTGAGCATCACTTTGCTAGCATGTGAAATGAACTTTTATGATAGGACGGTATAAAAAAAGCTTTAAATAAATAAATAAATGTCCTTCAACTCAGGATTGCATGTCAGGATCAAGCCCTGCTTTACAGTCCTACTTTATAAGGCAATTACAGCCGATGGTTCTAATTACACAGTGCTCACAACAGGACAGAGAAGAGGGGCAAGAGAACATGACTCATATTATTTATTATATTACCGTTCTGCCTTTTTTTCCTTTCAGGAAACTGAAGAAGGTTTACACCTTCCTCTCAATTTATCCCCACAACAACAGCCCTGTGAGGTAGGCTGGGCTGAGAGTCTGTGGCTGGCCCGAACCCTCACAGTGAGCAACATGGCCAAGTGAAGGCTCGAGCCGAAATCTTCAGAGCCTCAGTCCACCGCACCGCACTGGCTCTCGCTGTGCCAAAGCACGGCTTGGCCTGAAATGGAAGGTGCGTGCCAAACGCACTACGAGCCCAGTGCAAACGCCACGAAGAATCCCGAATCCTCCTCCTCATGCAGTATCTGCTTCTTGTTCCTCTTCTGAAATACCACTATGTGGATGCACTTGCCGTTGCGATGTTCTGGCTGGCTGTATTGGCAAGTACAGCCAGCTGACTCGACCGACCGCATGGGAAGCGGGATTCCCGGGAGACCTATCTGGCAAGCCAAAGCGCCAGGGGGCAACCACAGGAAATGGCGAAGCAAAATACTTAGCTGGGCGGATGGGTAGAAGTGCCAGTCCCCTTAATCTGGCGGATGCCTGCTCAGTCATCCTACAGCGGGGGGGGGGGGGGGGGGGTAAAAGAAAAACATTTTGAAAAAAAAAAAAATATGTAGCTCAAAGAAAGGGGGGTTTTCTGCAAACTCAAAATCACTTGCTTGTTATCCATAATAGTTTTTCCTTATGCTAAGGAAAAAGATAGAAGAAGCAGTGGGAAAACACGGGAGGGTTATGTGTGAAAGGTGATGGAAGAGGGCCCATAAAATTCTGGGCAATTGCACCATAAAAGCCTCATCCGGAAGCACTCATCTGTTTCCAGCTTTTTGCACTTTGTCATTTTCTTATCCCTCCAATCCTGGACCTCCAAACCTCCTACTCCACTACCTTTTCACCGCGAACGCTGGTAGCCCTCCATCAGAAAACACCCCTAGTCTGCCACTGGGTTTTGCAGAGAGAACTATAGTGCAACACTGTATTTTTCCTTCTACGCTTTCACAACGTGCTAATGAATGAAATAGCATCTCTTTCTCATGCATTTTGGTGATTGCCTCAATGGGGACTGTAGATACCCCACATAATTAATCACCCACAAAAGTGAGACCTTACATAGCTATCCAAAGATGAGATGATCTTAATTCACACAAAATTAACAGGTTCATGCTGTAGCCTGAAGGAGACCCCTGACATGGACTGGCAGCAATCCCTTTGCAGGATTCTTCTGGACCAATTCAGGGAGGCTAAGGACTGAACCCAGGACAGTTAGGTGTGCAAAGCTGGTGGTCTCTCACTGAGCCACAGCCCCTAATCACAATTAGGTTCAGGTTCCCAGGGGTGCTGCGGGTTATCTCCCCCCACCTGGGCTTTTTCAGTCCCAGAGGCAGACCCTGCTAACTAGTGCAAGGGCGAGGGCATCGTCTGTTGGACCTGTTGTTTGTAGACAGGGAAGGCAGGGAAATAAATTTAGTTTTCTTTAGCCTTACTTTAACTGTGCTTGGAAGAGTGGAAATCCCCACTACTCTCTCATCCAGATCTCTTTATTAAAAAGAACCATCATTTTAAGATTACTGTGATCATTGGTGGAATCATCTAAATTGTATTTTATGGAGTGTTATAAGTAAACAAAAGATAGGTCTCTTGCCTGCAAGGAGCCTGCAGTATAAACTTGATAGTGAGGGGAAGACAAAAGGGAAGAGAGGAGAGGCAGAGAGAAGAGATGAGCTGATGCAGAAGCACCGAATGCACCTTGGAGACAGTCGGGATTAATTCAAAGGTTCCAAGGGAAAGGCGAGTTTTAAGGAGGCATTTGTGGGCATCACTGAAAGCATATTTAGAGGAAAAGATGAAGGTAAAACAACCAACGTTCATGGAAAGCATCCTTCTTTTTAAAGTTCCACAATACTTTCTGGATAGATTTTGCAGGCTTTGGAGAATGTGCAAGCTCATGAGTTTTTTTTTTTTTCTTTTTTAATATCACTGATGAATGTTAGGAATTCTGGGAAGAGCTAGCGTGGTTTATGTATTTTGTAAATCAACACCAGAGGTGCAGAGCAGGCTACAATGTTGTGATACAATCTTATCACCAGAAAACTATCCAAAAAGTGCCAACACTTTCTTGGCCATTGTGGCCGGATCAGGCTTAATATAATCCAGAAAATAAAACTGGGACCTTCCCTTTCCCATCTGGCCAGTTTCAGAGCATCATGTTTCTTTCTGTACGATGTTCTCTGACCATCTGCAGAGTGCACTTTGCCTTTGAGATGTCACAACCTGCCCTAAATGGAATCAAATTTTGCGCGAATGCCGACAATAGACTGGAACTGCTTTAAATGGAGCAAACGGGCACAGCACATTTCTACGAGGAAAGTTTTCAGCTGCAGGAAGTAAAACGACGTTTAAAGTACTCCGTCAAAAACGCAGGACAAAGCCAGCAACTTGTTGCCCCTCCACGCTCATCCCCGAGGGAGGTTCTGCCCCTTTCCCAGCTGGCGCGGCAGGTCGCCATTCGAATGGTGCGGCTTATTGCTGGAGTTGCACGGGGCGGAGGGGAGGCTCTGCCGGTTGAGCGTCCGCCTCGTCTTAAAGGCACCGGCGCGGCGGCCCCCCCGACGCCGGGAGATACAAGCGAGCGGCACCTACCCCAGGAAGGCCATGAACCGGGGACTGGTCGCCAGGTTGGCATCGATGGTGACGGAGAGGAAGAAGGGGCTGACCTCGCGCGCCGGCGGGTCCGCCAGGGGCGGGAAGCTCAGCGCCGCCCCGTCGGCCGCGGGAGGCTGCTCCGCACGGGGGCGCGCCGGCAGCAGCGCCGCCACGAGAAGCGCCGGCAGCAGCATCGCGCGCCCGCCCGCCCGCCTGCGCTGCGCTGCGGAGCTCCGGGGCGCCTCCCGCTCGCGCCCGGCCGCCTGTGCGCGCGGGGCAGCGGGCGGGCGCCTTTATCGTCCCCAGCTCTGCCCTGCCTCCCGTCCGCGGGCGGCGAAGAGCCGCCCTCGGCTTTGGTCGCCCGGGAGGGCGGCGCGCAGGCACGCGGCTCCTCCCAGGGGCTGCCTTTGAACCTGGGCGAGCGCGAGCCGCGGAGGGAGAGCTGCTCGCCCAGCCGCTCGCCGCCGGGAGGGACGGAAGGCCGCCTCCCGAAGGACCCTCCCGCACCTGCTTGGGGCTTAGCATCTTCCCCCGGGGGGGGGGGGGTCTGTCCCCACCGCCAAATAAAGCAGGCGGGCGGCTACAAGGGACGGGGCCTTTCGGTGGTGGCACCTGCGTCCAGGAATCATCTCCCCGGAGATGCTCACCTGGCACCAACCTTTTTGGTCTTTTCAGTCTTGGAAGCAAGTCCTAGCTATTTCGCCAGGCTTTTTTTGCACTTCTGTTGTAAAAATGGCATTAGAGCACCAATCTGATGCAAGCTTAGGGACAAGACCAGCTTACAACAGGCAGCTGGAACACGCAGCGAGCTGTAGGTCTTTTTTTCTGCCTAAATATGCATAGAATTGTGTCCTTAGTGTGTTTTTACATGTAAGCACTGCTGCTGGGTTTTATCCTGTTTACGAGTTTGACTTTATTATTCTGTTTCAAATGTATGGTTTTCAGCAGGACAGGAGTGAAAGAATACCCTTCTGCCCAGTATCTGAGACGCACAGCCTAATTTGCGTAATCCCCCTTTAAAGCCCTCCAAATAGGTGGCTGTCCCTCTCTCCTGTGGAAAGGAATTTCATGGTTTAACTATGTTCCTGTGAAGTCTTTCCTTTTATCCATCCTGAATCCCCCACCAATCATCTTCATGGGTTCTTGTATAAAGAGAGGGGGAGAAAATGTCCCACTCTCCACTTTCTCCACACCAAACATCACTTAGTATACTTCTTATCATCTCTCTACTTTCCTTTTTCCTAAGCTAAACAAGGCCAAACTTTCCTGTTAGAACTGCTTTTCTGCATTTTTTTTTCAAACACTGCAGTATCTTTTTGTAGGTGTAGTGACTAAAACTGTAGGCAGGATTCATATGAAAAGACAAGTATAATCTTAGCAGTTTATACTTTCAGTTCTGTTCTTAATTCAACCTAAAATTGAGTTTGCCTTTTTCACAGAAGTTCAAAATTTCCATCAAGCTTCCACCACAACCTCAAGAACCCTTTCTGGTCGGTCACTGCTAGTTCCAATCCCATCAGCTTATACTTGAATTTGGGAAGTTTTGCCCCAATATTCATTGCTTTATTCCTCACTTACATTGAACTTCATTTGCTATGTTGGTGCCCCTTCTCTTGGTTTCGAGATATCCTTCTTGTGATCACTTACTTCCATATTGTCCAATAGCCAAAGCTATATAGGCTGTTGACAACTCACAAAAATACAGATCATACAATAAAAATCAATATTTTTTCAATATACACTCAATATATTTGCTCATTTTTTCAATATTCAATATTAAAAAAACACAGAAAGAGTTAACCCAATTTCAGTACAAGCTAGACCAGTTGAACACAACTGGCAAATACCTCATCCTTCTAGTCAATAGGAGAAGAGTGGAGATAATCTGGTATTGAAAAGGTAACAGAATTGGCATCAAGCAGGTCTTGGTGACAAGACCAGTGTACACCAGGGGCCACCACTAAGAAGAATCTCTCCCTTGGAGGAGACCATTCAAGGAAGGCCTCAGGTGTTGACTGCACTGTCCAGGTAGGTTCAGGTCAGGACAGACTCAGGTAGCATGGCCCCAAACTGTGAAAGGCTATAAAGATTAGAGCTGGCACCTTGAAATGGGCTCAAAAGGATACAGGCAGATAATGTGAGCAGGCCAGAATTGGTGTTACAGGATCTGGGTCCCAGTTATTAATCTGGCTGCCACATTTTGCACAAACTGCAGCTTCTGGACAGTCTTCAAGGGCAGTCCCATGCAGAATGCATTGCAGTAGCCTAACTAGAAATAATGAACTCATACGTAACTGAATCCAGGGTATTCCTGTGTCGATAGTGACAGCTGAGTCACTAGCCAAAGCAGGTAGAAGGCTCTCCATGACATTGATGCCACCTGAGCCTCACGTGACAGAACCGGGTCACTGCTCTGTTGCAAATTTGTGCCTTTGCAGGAAATGCAGTCCCATCCAGAACAGGTTGAACTTTTTCCAGCCAGTCAGAAAAGCCACCCCCTAACATCTTGGTCTTGTCTGAATTGAGCCTCAGTTTATTAGCTGTCATTCAGTCCATTGTTACTGCCAGGGACCGATATTTGTTTTACTCAATTATTTTTGTTTAAATATAACTTGGTGTTGTCAGCAAATGTGGTCATTTGACTGCTTCCTCCTAATTCCAGCTCATGTATAAGCCTAAAGCAGAGTGCTGAATTCTAAACATTATTACTTTATTTCTCTACCTGCAGCTGAAACCTTCCAGTTTAGACATGCATTGTGCTTGCTTGCTTGCTTGCTTGCTTGCTTGCTTGCTTGCTTGCTTGCTTGCTTTCTTTCTTTCTTTCTTTCTTTCTTTCTTTCTTTCTTTCTTTCTTTCTTTCTTTCTTTCTTTCTTTCTTTCTTTCTTTCTTTTGAACAGTGAGGTGCAATTGTTTCATTCTGTTTTAGGTAGTTCATTCCACTAATTCCACTTAGTTGTGAGGGTCAGTTGTGATATCTCAAAGCAAAGGGCCCTCTGCAGAAGTACAGAGACACTCTTTCACATAAGTGAAAAAATGGTGCTCTGAAACTGGTGGAAGGACAACAGGCTCCAGAGTTCAAGTTTGGCTTATATTAAGCCCTGATCCTTCCACAAAGTTCATAAAGTTTCTGTCACTCTGGGAATAGTTTTAAGGAGGTAAGTTTGCATTGCAGCTCTGTTGCCTGTGCTTATCTCTCTGCTGGTTTTGTTTACAAACTTTCTAAACTAATTAGGTCTTAAAAGATTTCCTCTCATTGCTCATTCCCTCTCATGGGTTAATGATTTTCTGTCATTTATTATCAATTGAATATTATTTCGGTGCTTTGAATACTCTAAACCTCCTGCCAATTCCACAACAGGTACAAATTACACCTTAACACAAAAAGGGCCCTGTGAAATGGCTACAAAACATGGAGACCCTACAAACTTTTGTGAGTGAAGAACCTGACAGCATAATAAATGCCTCGTAGAAAAGTCCTAGATCAGTCACTTCAGAATGTTCTTTCAAGAGAGCTTTATAAACCCAAAATCCATTCAGCTCCTATAAAAATAAATTAAGAATGACATGCTAGGAAAATTGTTCTTTGTTGGTTTCATTTGGATAATTGCCTACCCAATCCTGCCACATTCTTCGAAGCTGAGCAGATATAATAGGCATGGAAGAGGAGGCAGATGAACCACTTTGATTTCTTCTTAAAATGCAACAATGAAATGACAATAGAAGCAGCCAAGACAATGTCAATGAAGTATTTGCTAGTAGTCAATGGACGCCAAAGCGGTTCTTTAAAAAAAAACTATTTTAAAAGGTTTTTAAGTGGGGATAAAATAAAGTTCTGTGACTAATTCTGCTTAAGAATTCTCTATGACCCAGTTTGCCTACTGTAGCAACCCACATGGTTCAAACTCTGAATTTTTTTTTCACCCAGACAATTCAGAGTCTCAGACATCTCAGAAAAGCCATGAATCTGTAAACCAGGATACACAGGGAATATGAGTGGAAATGGTCCTGTTGCACCCAGATCCTACTTCCAGACTTCCCACAGGCAGCTGGTTGTCCACTGGGTTCAGGTTTGGGATCACAGCTCTTCCGCTGTTTATGATACCATAACAAACATTCAAGACAGTCTCAAAACGGTCAGATAAAAATCTACTATGTTCCCATGGCATGAGATGGCTCAAATTGCATAAGGTACCAATCACAAACCTAACTAAATAAAACAATTACACAATGCTTCTTTCAATTATTGGTAATTGCTGGTTAGGCAGGAGGATGACTCAAGGGGCAACAATCCACCAAGGAAGTACATAACAATGTTTATTGTTTTTTTCATTTTGCTTGACGACTACGGTGCTCTTTTAGAACTCCTCAGTTTGCTGGTTAATTGTGTTGAAATTAGTTTTATCTGCTGCTTTAGGGTTTCCTGCACTGATATTCTACTTCAGAATATGTTTAAAGTTTAAAGTTATTCTTCTGAGCAATTTGATTTTAGGTTCTTGCCTTTGAAAAGTGGTCTAGAAATATTTCAATATTTCAATAAAAATACAAGCAGCTAGTAGAACTTTGTTAAATGCAGGCGCTATTTTGAAAGCACTAAGAGTAAGAATCATTACACCTTGTAAACTGACTCAATCCAATTTATGAATTAAAAGGCATTCTGTACTGGGTCATTTATCTCTTTCCTTTAGCACCCCTTGGGAAACATGAGTAGTTTATTGAGTTGCTTAATTACATAATTGAGTTGCTTAATTACAAGTTACATAGCTGTGTTCTCAGTAAAGGATGCTCAAATTATTTTGGAGCGCAGGTTGGCTTTGAAGCTATCCTATTACTCTTTGCTATTGGCAGGTATAATTCTGGGAGAAACTCTAGCTCATTACTTTGGCATTTGCCACTTTCGTAGGTCATCATTCATTCATTCATTCATTCATTCATTCATTCAATTTGTATACTGCTCCATCTCCAGGAAGTGGTGTGGTGAACAGTGAAGAAGGATCTTGCAGGTCTGTCCTACTGCCCTAGCTAATAGGGGTGGGTAGTGAAGTGGCCCAGTTTGCTGATTACATTAAACTTTATAGGATGGTTAAAACCAAGAGAGATTGTGAGGTGCCCCAGAAGGATCTCTCCAAACTGGGAGAACGGGCATCAAAGGGGCAAATGCATTTCAACGTAGGTAAGCGGAGCCGGCTGAGCCGGGGGTCAGACTAGATGGCCCAGGAGACCCTTCTGACTCGCTCTGTTTTCTATGTTTCTAATGCATTTTGGGACAAAAATTCCAACTTCAAGTATGTACTGATGGGATCTGAACTAGCAGTGACTGAGCAAGAAAGGGATTTCGGGGTAGTAGTGGGTAGCTGGATGAAAACATTGGCTCAGTGCTCAGCTGCTGTGAGGGAGGGAAACTCCATGTTAGGCATTGATTATCATATATAGTGACGTATAAGAGGACCCTTGAAACTGAAAATTGCAAAGCAAAAATCAGGGGGTTGTCTTACACATCCTGCGGAAAAAATTCCCTTACCATAGTTTGTCTTCTGTGTTGGGTCACAGGCCTTGCTTGTGGCCACACACCCCGACCGAAGGCTGGTGTCAGCTCTTGCTGCTACATACTGCAGTTTTCAGAGGAACTGGCACAAAAATAGTAATTTTAAGCATCTGCTGCCCAATTAATTGGGAACAGTTTTAGTTGAAAGCATTTTTTGATAGCTTACCGTATATACAAGATACCCTGTGAAAAATTGGGGGGTTAATATGCCTGACATATGATAAGCACCAGGAGACAACCCAAAATATTAACCTTATCTTATATTCAAGCCACCTTATACACAGGTATGTATGATAGGAATGGAAAACAGAACTGCCAAAATCTTCCTTTCCTAGTACAGATCTTTGACGTGACCACACTTGGAATATTGTGTTCTGTTCTGGCCACCTTATCTGAAAAAGGAGGTTATTGAGTTGGAAAAGGCAACAAAAATGATCAGGGTGCTGGAGCAGTTCCCCTGTGAGGAGGAGCTACAACAATGGGGAGTTTTAGAAAAAAACAAACACTTAGAAAAAGGGTGTTTAAGGGGAGAGTTGTTTAAAATTACGCAGGGTGCAAAGCAGAGAGGGAGGCATTTTACTCCCTCCCTGGGTCATCACTCAGACCTGGGGTCATTCCCTGAAGTAGATCGGTGGGAGGTTTAGGAAAGGTAAAAGGAAGGGCTTCTTCACACAGTGTATAGTTATAGAATTCATTGCTACAGGAAGTGGTGATGGCTGCCGATCTCGGTAGCTCTAAGATTGGATTCATGAGGTAGGAGCTATCATGGTTTGCCGCCGTGTGTACAGAGTGGAGGACAGATGGAACTTGAGTCTGATCCAGCATGACTTTTCTTATGTTCTTAAAAATATCCAAGAGTTGCAATCAAAACAGAGGAAGTTACGATTAAAGACAAATGTTTCCTACTGAGCTGTTTGCAGTTCAAAGTTGGACACAATCTGCAGGAAGGAAAATCATCTTCCACAAACAAGTCCCTTGTTCACAGCCAACCGTTTGCTCTGCAGCAGGCTTTTCTAGAGCTGTTGCAGGCCATTTAAATGGCATGTTAGATCCTAAAAGCATTCTCACAGCTTTTACATTGCCTTTGAGTGTTCAGAAGTAAGCCAACTACCCATCAGTAGAGTCTCGTGGTGACTTAAAGATGAACAAAGTGTGCCTTGCAAACTAGATGGTTTTTCTAGTCTAGAGCCTTCAGTCTAACTGAATTGGTTTTGCAGGCTGTTCATTATGAAGGAGTTTCTCACTGGCATTTGGTTGGTTTCTATGGCCTAAATAAATAAATTCTGGACTAGATGTACTGTGTTTCATTACAGAGTGCATTTTCTGTGCCTTGAGGCTTTTTCCTGTCTTACTTGGCCCTTCAACAACATCAAAATGCCATGGTGTGACAGAGAAAAGGGTTACCTTTAAAGTAATTTGGTCTGTATTTTAGGGGCACAATCCTATACATATTTCTTCAGAAGAAAACCAGTTGTGTTTAGCACTGTAGCCTGTTAGTATTCTTTACTAATAGAAGTTTGTGCAATGATTGTGCACAGGGAGTTGGTGAACCACCCAAACAGTAGCAGCTATTAAAATACATTTTTATTGGATACTTTGATTTCCACAGTACAGGCAAGTCATCTGATTTTATCTGATATATTCAGGACAGCCCAAGACACTGATGTTTGCTCTGGAAAGCCCATCTTCCCAACAAGTTCATGTTAGAGCCATGCTTAAAGAGATGAAACAGGAACAGATTTAAGAATGAAAAAAAATGATAACAGGCTAAGTTGACAGTCATCATTAGGCATGAGGTCAATAATAAGGTGGTTGAAAATGGCAACAATAACAAATCCATTTTGGTTTGTAATGGGACAGGAAATATATAGAAGTATTTTGAGTGTTTATTATGACCAAAACAAATTTAATTACATGACTATATACTGCAAACTATAAGCTGTTAGGGTAGAAGATGATCTTTAATTCTCAGATTCATATGGAACAGTGATCAGGAAGCCTCAAGGAATGTCTGTTGGTATTTTCAGTAATTCATCGACTTCTTCTTGCAAAGCTTCAGCCTTTTCAGCCAGGAGCATCTGTACCCATACACACACATTTTGAAATCAAATTACCAAGAAATTAGAAATATATATATTAATGGTAACGAGACAGTTGAGGGTTCCAAAAATGATTTTTCATCCTGCTCTAGCAAGAACATATACAGAGGCTAGTCTGATCTATCTAATCATATACACATCCGGCAGTTTCCATCCATTTGACACTTTCTAGTGAAGCAAGAAACAGAACCTAGCAAGGGGCAATGCAGATGAGAGGGGGAGGCTGGATTATATTTAGCTCTCACCTTTGCCTCCAGCTTTCTATTTTCTCCCATTCAGCCATGCAATCCTGTGCAAAACACGAAAGGCTGCACCTTAAGGATACACTTGCAATGGAAGTAAAATCTGCCATCCATTTCGCCCTTGTTACCAGGAGACTTGCAAAACAGTGCAAGAGGTCCCTGCATACCGATGGCACAAACGGACCCTGAAGGCCCAGGGACCCTTTCAGTATATAAGCCTGCCTCTCCACAGTGGTCAGTCATTACAAGGAGAGGCTTTTGCTAGATGCTTAATACCTCAGTTCATCACATTCTCCCCAAAGAGCAATTGTCAGCAACCCACTGCTCGGTGCCTCTTTGGCAGTCAGAAGGCAGCATCAAACGCAGGGCTCGTCTGCTGCAGGTAGTTATGCAAACTCTACGATCAGCACGGCCACATTTCAAAAGGTATGAGACTCTCAGTTGCTCTTGTTATCCCTCCAGCATTACTTAAGATGGTTCCTTTCTTTGGGGCGTTCCATAGCAGTTTTACTCACCTTTGCAGATGAAACAATCTGTTTGGCCTGACGTCTGGACAAATGCTCAATAGTCTTCACCAGCACTTCTGCATCTGCATTAGCCAAGTGTGCTAAAGTTTTGTATCCTGCATTGTATAATTGTTTAGCTCGAGCCTGTGAAAGAAAACACCCTTCAAGAAGACAGCTAAAGAAGAACAGTTGTGTGTCATCACCATGCTTCTATTAGACCTAGGGCCAAATCCAACCTGCTGCATTTTCCCAGATGACCGTGCCACCTTCCTCTGGCCACAGCTTCTGCTAACTGTTTGGTGATTTGCTGACTTTTGTGCAGCATTATTCTATTTTATCCAATGTTCAAAAGTTGAAGTGCCTCTACTAAAGTGTAGCTACTAGCAAGAAGAACTTTAAACTAAACTATGCAGGTATTTTGGCCCACCCCTTTTGCCATCTTCCTTGGGCCCTGCCCACCGCTGGAATACACTGATTTGAAGCTTCTCCTGATTGGAATTCAGTGCTTTGGTTGAAAGCCACTCTTGCTCTTTACTAACCTCTCCTAATTCTAAGCTACCTTTTCTGATAACTAAATCTTTCCTCATTATTTTCATGTTTTAGCTTGCTGTAGCATTCCAGTTCTTGGCAGAGAGATACGTCATCTTCACTGTCATAATTTTTTCAGCTCAACTTTCATTCACCTGATTAAGATTTGTTGGACGCATTGATCTGGTTCACCTGTATTTTCAACTCACAGACCGTCTAGCCTGGCCGTGAGCAAGGGTGTGTGCCCACTGTCTCGTGCGTGCTCATTGCCACCACTCTCTATCAGCATTAGCCAAAAAATCATGGGGTTATTTGATGTGAGGTCTACATCTAGAACTCTGGTTCGCTGAGGCACAGACAACACAGAATTTTAACCCAACAACAAACCATGGGACGACTTAATTTAACTGTAAACAACCCAGTGTTTGAAGTTTAGTTATTGCATTTATTAATGCAGAAATAGAGTACTTTCGTGCCGTTGATTAGTGTACATTCAAAAACATAAGTGGCAAGAACATGGTAGTCAGTGGATTCATTTTTTCACTCACAGCCACAACAACCTATGGTTTAAACAAGCAAAGGTGTGTCATTACATGGTAACCAGACCACTGTAATACAAAATGGGCATATTACTTCTAAAGTAACCTTCGGAAACAACTATTAGTCTAATATTCAGAACTCTTGTACATCTTTATTATGTTATTTCCATGAATTAATATTTATGGTTCACATTATAAGATTATAGACACACATGTAGTAATATATATAAAATATTATTTTATCAAATGATGACTATGCTTTTAACTTGTCTTTGCTGATCACTTTATGTGAATTTTAAAAACTACTGTTGCATAAAGTGGGTAAAGCAGACCTTTATAATTGTAGAACTGATGGAAGAAAAGTTCAGTTTTACAAATTTCACTGCAGAATCATCTCCAACTTGTCTGGTCCATTCCCATAAAAACTAAAACATCTTTAAAAATGGCACCATAAGGCTTTTCTTAACTGGCTTACTGTTTTGGCTGCTTGGCAACAAGTACTACAAAGTCCTACTGCAGCAGCATACACTCCATAATTCTATCACACTTTATTTAAGGCATTTTTCTAGCACCCTTCATAATATTTATTTGATAAGAGAAGTTATACAACTACAACTGGTGGAACACAAAATACTTTTAAAAGATTATTTAAAAAGAGAACAGGAAAAATTAGAAGGACCTCCTCAGTCCATCCTACTGCAAACCCACCATGGTTCTCCTTCAAAGTTCATATAGAAACAAGGATCCCTATATATTAATATGCAGAAAAGGAACATGATCTCAAACAGATAACTTGGCAAAGAAAGACTTTCTGGACCAATAAAAATGTGCAAGACCACAAAACAAGAAGTTCTAAATACTGCTGCAGGAATTGCATTTTTGAGTGCTGTGGTATGTGCCATGCCTTTGCCTGGCATTGGAACACTGCCAATTTTAGAAGCCATTCTAACTGGATTTTTGAAAAACCTAATCAGGTTTTCTTAACAAAGAACTCAGAATGCATTGAAATATTTGGAGATGGATTTTCACAATGAATTATTTTACTAACCTCTAAAACCCCTGACACCTCCATAAGAGGAACAAGCTCTGCCTTAACGCAATAGGTCAGTCTCTTGGTGAGTTCTGTCAAGAGAGCTTTATAAACCCAAAATTCATTCAGCTCCTGTAAAAATAAATTTAAAATGACATGTTAACAAAACTCTTCTTTGTTGATTCCATCTGGAAAATTGCCTAGCAAACCCTGCCATATTTCTAGATGATAAGATGTTTTGCATCAGCTGTTGCAATTCTTCACCTGCAGTTAATTCAGTGTTCAACAGTGGGAAGACATAGGGTGATAGTCCAAGATTACAAAACAGATGATCTACTTGGCCACCATCTGTAATGCAAAGATTAAATAGCAATAGAAGCAGCCAACAAGTTATCAGTTAATTAGCTGCTACTAGTTAACTGTCAAAACAGTTCTTTTAAAATGGGATTTAATTTGGGATATACAAATCTAAAACTTCTATGAGTCTGTTATTTTTCTGTTTCAGAATTTTGTATGGCCCAGTCTGCACACTGTAACAACCCTCATCGTTTCGAACTGGATTCTTCCTCCTTCCAGCAACCCAGGGTTCCAGATTCAGACATCACAGAAAAGCCCCACTACAGCAGCAGGAGTGGGTAGGTGTACAGGGCCAGGTGTACAGGGCCCGCCACGCATGATCACTTCTGCTTGTCTTCTCAACAACTCATGATTTGCTAATTGTGCTCTGTTACGATATCTAACCTAGGCCAATATGTGAGTGAAGTAAAAGCGAACATGGTGAATGTGGGCTACTTTTTATGCAGCATTGCTTTGTTCACAGTTTACAGATCAAAGAGGGAAACAACATGAGACAATATGGAAAATTTCATTTGTGATGTTTGTGTACCACTAATGAGGCCTTTGGCATCCATTACCTCGCAGAAATGCAGCACTGAGGAGGAGAATGAAGCAGCTGAATTGAGAAGGGTTTGAACAAATCCTTGCGATGTGTTAAATTTTTCTGCCACGTTCCACACATTGGTCTCTTTTAGCAAGGCATGAAGAATGAAGGACAAGTACAGTCTGCCCACAGCACTAGTCTCCACATCCTACAAGAATGTCAAACTTATTTAGAAACTAAAGGCATAATTTAAAGGAGAAAAGTATTTTGTATATTTCAAGTTCTCCTACTGATGGAATAGACAGCTATAGTCCTACACGTATAAATTCCCAGAGGAATCTAAGAGGATAACTTACAGGCAACATGTTAACACACATTTCCAGCAAAGATATCGGGCACTTCCTCCTCCCCTGCAGCCTTGATGAAGAATTCTAGAGAGCTGCACAGTAGTTTGTGGTATTTTGGTTAGCTTAATAAAAGTATGGTCCTAATATAGATTTTGGATTTGTTGCTTCCTATTTCCCACACAGCTACTTTTTGTTTTTTGTATGACCTCGGGAATACCCAAATTAGCAGAATTCTAAGTGGAGGAAGAAGATTCCATGTTACCTGAACAGCCTCTGTTCCCTTCAACTACTAAGCAAAGCTACCCAATTTGGTTTTTACTGACTTTTTAAAAATTAATACACCACATAGAATTATCTCCAACTTTTTAAAAATAGAAAGACTGCTTTGTTACTTTCTGTTTTGGTTTTTTTTTAAACCTACCAGAGAACCTGAATGTTTCATGTAAGGGTAGTCACAGAATTGGGTATAGCTGGGTTTTATATTTACAAAATTGGGGGAGGGGGTCAATTCTTGTAGGTTTCTACAAGAGCTGCAACTGGAAGTCTGCACACCGTCTGCAAAACAGGCATGTACAATATTTTTGGTCCAAGAGCTGCAGGTGGAATATGCTGGAAAGAGGACAAACACAAGCACATACAGAGATGCTATCATTCCCATTCTGAACATTTCCCCACCATGCATTCAAAGCACAGCTAAACTCTCTGCATGTCTACTCAGAAGCAGATATGGGAGTCAAACAGGGCCAAGTTATATTTATCATTTGTGGGGATATTTCAGTAGTCCTTATACTATTTTTTAAGCCATCAATAGAATTTCTAAGTTAAGCTACTATCACACACATGTTTTTTCCAATGCTATTTTTAGGCACCTCTTCTATTATATCTTCCTCTTACCTTTTTGATGGCTTGTCCAGATGCCTTTTTGGTAATAAAACTCTCTGGCACTCCGACAATGTTAGCTACCTGTTGTTCTACTGGACTTAGCTGACTGTACTGAAAAAAACAGAATTAGATCTATAGCTAAACACTCTCTCTCATTCTCTCTCTTCATATGAATATATGGAATGCAAACAGAAAAGAACAGGGCACAACCCATCTCTTATAGAAACATGATATGGGACTGGCAGTGGGCCTAATGATGCTAAGGCCCCCCCTCCCCCTCACACTGATGTGAGTTTATAGGTCCATGGTAACTTAGCCCAGGGAGTTGCTTGGAACATGAAGCTCATACAGGCACACAAAGCCTCTAATGCCATCCAGCACCCCCCCATCCCCTGCTTGGGTATAAGCTGTTTAAACAGTGCATGTGCTGAGGTTAGGGCTGTACAGAACTGTCTGAGGTTCTATATCTTTCAAACTTTTTGAAGGACACTTTTTTTCTGTTCCATTTCCAGATCAGTTTGTGAATTTTTTGGTAAAATGTCAGCACAAAAAATAATACACCCTTCATACTTTTTCTAACTCAATTCAGAGAAATGCCTAGGGATACTTTCCCTAATACAATAGGAAAAACTGCACAAGCAAATGCATAAATCGGTGTACAAATGTGCACATATATTTGCATATTTCACCTCCTGCTATGAAACTCAGAGGATGGAAAACACAAGAATATACTCCTTTTTTTGGTGGGGGGGGTGAGGAGGAATTACCTGTCTAAAATAGATCATCCAATTGGGGCTGCACTGAGGAATCATATCATACGGTGTTGTCAGGTAGAGCAAGTGAAGGCAGCTTTCCAGGATCAGCCCCTGAAGCCCTTTCTTCAGGTCGGCATACAGTGTGTTGCAATGTGCCAGATCGACAGACCCTAAGATGCATATAATGGTAAACATCAATGACTGCCCCAAACTTTCTTCTGATGGCGATCAGATATTAATTGATGTGACTTTTTAGTATGTCAGCATGATGGGAGACACCCAAATCTTCACCACTCAAACATTTATGTCCAGGTCATCGAAACACGGCTTCTCTTAGAAGTGCGCACTGCCAAGCGCCCTACTTTATATCCACAGGCCAGTGACAACTCAGCCCTTTATGATTCGGGGGAGTAACTTCTATCAAACTTGGGACTCTTTTTATCATTGGCTAGAGAAACGGGACTTCGCACAGATTTAAATATGTTTTTAAGTTATCATAACTGGAAAAAGAAGGGTGTGGGGGCTGACCCAGCGGGCCCGATGTTTTTGATGATGGATGTTGTTTTAAGGTTTTTTTAGGATTATAATTTCAAATAAAACTTATTCAAAAAAAATGATTCGAGGGAACAGAAACTGCAGACCATCTGGCCTTTTCTTATGTGAATAACATTCCACTGAGATTCACCATCATAATGGACTCGCTAAGTAAGCATTATCATTATGAGCGACTTACTTTAGTGCTTTGAATATGACTATGTTTTGAAGTACTCCAACAGCACCTTTGAGTGGCTACCCATGGTTCAAAACCACATTTTGTAGTGCACACATGTGCTGGTCAAAATATGGGCAGCCTTGTCTGGCCAATGAGCAGCAGGTATCAACCATGAACAATGATTCAGAGTGGCTTCAATAAAGGGTTTTTCACACTGTTTTCTTTTGACATCAAAGGAAAGCAAAGGCATGAGGCGCTTTGCTTCTGAAAGGGGGTGGTCAGATTTATATTCCTTTTGCAGTAAGATTCTTATGTTTTTCCTTTTTCCTGACTGTGCTCAGGATCTTGAGCATTTTGCACTTTTCTCCAAGACTCTGTTTGGGAAAGTACAAAAGTGCAACATGCCCCATTTTTGATAGCTAGCTGTCAAAACTCTGGGTATCTTTAAAAGGGCATGGGTGTTTCTTAACAGGGAAATATGGCTGTGCATATGCCTGTCAAAAACAGCCATAGCCCTCTCAAGACCTTGCTTTAAAAAGGACCCAGAATTTTGCCAGGGTAGCATGAATGCAAATGTCCCTTCTAAAAAAAAGGTGAAATCCTGCCAACCTCTCCTCTCTTAAAGAGGCAGAGTTTTAACAGCTTTCACACAAACACAAAGCAAAAATAAAGGTCTTGAAAGCAACCCAGTGTGGCTTACTGAAAGTGGCAGATTAGTGTGCGATGTGTGAATGTGCCTGTATACCCAATCCTGCTGCTGTGATCAGTAGGATTTCTCCCTGCTTTGTACTCCTGGAAAAGTCCTGGGAGAAGGGAGGCGACTTACTTTACAGAACACAAAATGCCTCTGCATTTGGAAATGCACAAGTGATAAAGAAAGGAGGGCCTTCTACTTTGCCTCAGTTGCACACAAATATATATTTTAGCAGAAAGATCTTTTACCTTTGTAAGCGGCTTGGCCCAATGGAGTGATCTCTAGCTTACAGTGAACATTTTGCTCAGTGTCTGAGCTTGCTCTCTCTTTTATGAGCCCGCTTTGTTTCACCCATTGTAACACTTCCATGGTTACATCCCGGAGGCTTTTTCCTTCAGGCAAAAGTTGTGGCTGGATGCTGAACAGGGTAGTACACATGAACTGATAAATCTCTTCAGAACTGGTTGCTATCTGGAACAGAATAAACAGGACAAATACTGCACTAAAACACTTTGGAGTGACATGTAATGTCATGAAACAATGAAGACTGGCTATCTGACCCCACATCTGAAACTTTCTTTCTATCAATTTCTTTCATGTGTTCTTCCACTAGCTGACTTTATTAATATTGCAGGATTACCTTTAATCCAACCAATGATAAAAGAAGGCTTCGGATACCCTTATTCCACTCAAGCAGGAGGTTACTGCAGCAGCTTTCTATGGGGCTGGACACCAGGTTTTGAACCTTAAAAAATATTTACGTGTATCAGTGAAACATCATAACTAAGGGAAAGAAAAGGTTGTGAAAGACAAATCAGTATCCAAGTTTCCCAAAAGAAGCTCTTGCCTGTGTTATTTCTCTTCACATTCTCCCTGATCTTACCTAAACATATCATCTATGCATCATTACCATATATTGCCTTAATGCAAGTCAGGAGTAGCTTTTCTGAGAAGGCCAAGGGCTTATGGAAGGACCTCCCCAAGAGTGTGATTTCTCCGGGCTTTGAGTGGTAGAAACTGTACACTTAAAACTGCTTTTCAGTTTTTCTCCTTTAGGATACCCTGGCCTGCTTTTTGCTGTAGAATTTGTTCAGGAAAAAATGTGTTGTTGCATCAATTCTATTTTTAAATGCTGTCTGTAAACTGTTTTGCATTCTTTTAGAAAAGCAAGGAATAAAAGTTGCAAATAAAAACAAGAGAACGCACAAAAGAGCTCCTCTTGGAGGATGTTTCCCAGTTCTGCTTCCCAATTCCTCTCCAAGTTTATTCAAACCTGAGTCTTTTTTTCAGGGTGACTTAAGACAATTTTAGTTAGGCATATTTTTTATTGAATAGAGTAGAATAAAATAATTTAGTAGAATACACCATTTAAAATGAATGCATAAGAAGTTTCCTCTTTTAAATATAAGGACATATAATCAGTATGCTATGGTTTCTTTATTACATTATTCCCAGTGGATGGTACCCCACCTTAAGCCCATGTAAATTGGACAGGACATCAACCACAAAAATAATATCCTGAATTTACAAAATATTTTATGTGGTAATGTGTTTTACCAATGAAACTCCACTGGTTTTCAAAGAGAGGAAACAGACCTTGGTGCCCTTACAATCAAAGAAAAAGGAGTCTTAAATATACTTACTAAAAGGAGAATCAAACTATTTCAGAGCAAGCTTGTTTAAAACATTTGAGCTCCTCCCTATACTACATAATCGCCTTATCCTGATGACTCAGAAGCCTCAAAATCGCCATTCTTTTCACTTATGTTACCAGTTGTCTGTCCTTCTCTTGCACTATAAGAATGCTTTCACCAGCTTCATCAATACCAGCACGACCAGCTCTGCCAATCATCTGCTTATACTGGTTCTTCTTCAAGAATTCTGTACCAACATATGGAGCTCTTAAAATAACCCTAAGGAAACAATGAAAATTTATTTTATTTAAATTATACCTGCACATATCAGAAAATTTGAAAACTATTTTCTTCCCAAGATGAAAAACAAATTGAAGATACCAGTAAGCCTTTCACATGCATGTCATGTAAAGAGTGTTTAACTTGACATGCTTGTGTCATGTATAAAGGATGCATTTTTTAAAATCTTTTAATTACTGGAATGTAGAAAATAAAATGCATCCAATGGTTAGGAACCAATGGTCTTTGAAGTTATTAAAGCGCTTTGTTGTTGTTAGTCGCGAAGTCATGTCCGATCCATTGCCACCCCATGGACAACACTCCTCCAAGCCTTCCTGTCCTCCACCATCCCCCGGAGTCCACTCAAGCTCATGCCGACTGCTTCAGTGACTCCATCCAGCCACCTCATTCTCTGCCGTCCCCTTCTTCTTTTGCCATCTATTGTTCCCAGCATTAGGCTCTTCTCCAGGGAGTCCTTCTTTCTCATTAGGTGGCCAAAGTATTTGAGTTTCATCTTCAGGATCTGGCCTTCTAAAGAGCAGTCAGGGTTGATCCCGTCTTAAGACTGACTGGTTTGATCTCCTTGTGGTCCAAGGGACTTGCACGAGTCTCCTCCAGCACCACAATTCAAAGGCCTCAATCCTTTGGCACTCAGCCTTCCTCAGCTTTCACAGCCATACATTGCAACTGGGAAAACCATAGCCTTGGCTATACGCACTTTTGTTGGCAGGGTGATGTCTGCTTTTTAGTATGCTGTTTAGATTTGCCATAGCTCTCCTCCCCAGGAGCAAGCATCTTTTAATTTCTTGGCTGCAGTCCCCATCTGCGGTGATCTTGGAGCCCAGGAAAATAAACTCTGTCACTACCTCCATTTTTTCCCAGAGGCCCGGATGCCATGATCTTAGTTTTCTTAATGTTGAGTTTCAAGCCAACTTTTGCGCTCTCCTCCTTCACCCGCATCAAGAGGCTCTTTAGTTCCTCTTCAATTTCTGCCATTATTATACCACTTAATATATCATAAATAATTTGTTAATGTGTAATGCTGAGCTATCCAAAGATTAATTCAAAACAATCTTTGACTTGAGTGCACCATTTATTTCAGAAATGACTTCATAAGCTGCCTAGTGTGGTGGCTGATAGCGTGGGAGCAGCGTTCCTGACAGCCCAATTCAGGTCTCCCACTGTTATCGTTGTTTGTCACAGGGCCAAGAGGTAAGTATGCTTCACCCGTGTCATTACATGGCAGGCAGGGAATGTGAAAGGAATGAGTGGACAGCAGGTGAGCAACAATGCTTCTTGCACTGCTTGAATGCAGGTGAGCAGAAATGCTTGAATGCTTCTTCCAAGGATACCAGCATCCTTAACCAATTCTGCATGGTTCTTTTTTCACTTCTATGTCATGGCTGCCAAATATACAGTAAAGGAAGAAGCATTAAGCATCTTGATATCTTTAGCACTGACCATATCTGAGCCAAGAAAGAGAATTTCTTCAGCCCAGGAGCAGAGAGGCTGAACTGAAACCTAATATTTACTCATGTGGAAAGCAGTTTCTTGGCCTTAATGCTTCAGACTCCTGGTGGGGACACACATGACTGAATGTACCACTATGCAAAAATAATTCCCTGCATAGAGAAAACTAACATGCTAGGGGAAAGTATGGTGCTCAAGCTCTATTTTTGTGCATTTAGGAATTTGTCTTAAGACCAGGAACATTCAACCATATGAAACCCAACCTGCAGTCTGAACTGTTGCTTGTGAGCTGGACCTAGTCTGCCTCTGGCGTTTTCAGAAATCTAGCTTGCTGTTGGACCCTTCCTATAGAGTCATATAACTGAGTAAGAGAAATGTTAGAATTCTACTTCATGATTAAAAATGATTTTTTCCTGACCAATATAGGCTTTAACAATACCCAGTTTAAGCTGTTTGAAAACTAACCTTCGAGCTGGCAAGTTTACTCCAGCAGCAAGAGTAGATGTGCAGGTTAGGAGACAGAGGACGCCAGAAGAATACGCTTCTTCTATTTGTTTTCTTTCATCACTGGTAAGACCACTATGGTGATAAGCAATTCCAAAGGGAATGGTTCGCTTCAGTATTGGACAAAGTCTTCCATTGGAGATATTTGTCAAGACTATAATGAGATCCATTTTTTCTTTCTCCTTGTGCTTTCTATAGTCTCTAGGAAAGAAAAGTACAATTAGACAGTGATTGTATATCAACTAGCTTAGACCTGTGTAAGAGAAGCTTGTTTCAGGCTTTTCACATCTCTAGGTGGTCTTGTTCATCTAAGATAAACAAGGAACAGTCAACTACACAATCAATGCACACGTAGATATAATGCTTCCCATGCTCTAGCTGTCGTTAAAGGACTGGGAATGGACTACTGCTACAGCACCACAAACCCTTCCCCACAAATCATTACTTCCTTGGGGACAAGTTTGCCCATCCTTAATTATGGTGTGATGGTTAATTTGTTCTGATAGTTCTACTACCAACTGGGATTAATTAGTGTTAATTTTTATGTATTTATTACATTTTATACAGAGCAATAAGCAAAGCTCTCTGGGCCATTTAACAAAATGATTAATTCTTAAAAATGCAACATAAAGCATAATATAAAAGCAATTTATATTAAAACCAGTTTAAAACCATCAGCAATAAAAAAATTGCAAGACCAGTTAAAATCTTATGCTGTCAAAAGCTTGGAAACAGAGGAAAGATCTTAATCTGTGACAAAAGGGATGGCTGGTGCCAGGCAGACCTCAATGAGAAGAGTTCCATAATTAAGTGCCATCACTGAAAAGACCTTCCCCCTTGTTGCTCTTCTCCAAACCTTCCTCAGAGAAGGTATCTGGAGGTTGGATTCAGATTATAACAACATATGGGTAGCTTCATACCAGGAAAGGGCCTCAATCTGTTATTTTGGTCCTGAGCCATGTCCACGCAGACATAAACACTGGATAAGAGTAGCAGAAGAAGAGTGAGGAAAGTCCATTATGTTGCTGCTGAGGCTAAAAGGAGGTGAGGTAATCAGCTTATGGCAGCCAAAAAGGACCTTCCCCTTATTAAGAGTTGTTCATGGCTAGCGGTCAAAATTACACCTCCTATAAAAAGGGGTTTTCTAACAGGGATTCACATGTTGTTTTCACTGGGAGATATGTAGGTTTGAACACATCTATCTCCCTGCAAAAAAAAAACATGGAGTCCTGTCAGACCACCACCACCACCGATTTTAAAAGGAACCAGAATTTGACAATCAGCTGTCAAAATTCCAGTACCTTAGGGGGTTACCTTATAGTAATCACATCAAGGATACATACCTCTTCAAATGCTTGCATATCATTTCTGCTACATTTTCACAGTTCTTTTTAGTAGGACAGAAAACAAGACAGGAATACTTTGGAATAACTTCTGCCACCAGAGCTATAAGGTGGTCAGGGTCCGTCTTCTGCAGATTGCTAGAATACTAAAATATAACACAACTTCGTTTCTACAGTGAATTAAGTTTCGTGCCTCCATTTGTCCAAATATTCATTGAAAGCTTCAAAATATTTAAATTGTTCTGATGAAGGCAATTTATAAGCCTGTTCATAGTTGTGCAAGGGGTTTAAGCCCAGTAGAGTACAATCCTAGAATACACATTTAACAGAAAAAGTCCAACTCCCAGCATTCTTCAGCCAGCCATGTACAGTAGCACCCCTTAGACAGCAGTCCAATAGTCCTCAGGCAAGTATCCCAGGAACTCTAGGATAACTCAGAAAATCTCTTCCGAGGTTGGAGACAACATTCAGACCTTTTCACAGAACAGTGCTGGATGTCTCTCCAAGGTCAGAACGTTAACCTTGCGGAGATGAGAAAAAAGTGGGCATTCTGGTGGGCAGGGAGAGGAGGCGGCAGACGAGGCTAGGATGCACTCTGTCTCGAGCCTCCTGCATCAAAGTTCCCTTGCTAGATGAGCCAAAAGGCTGAGAAAGTCTGTCCAGCAAAACATAGGAGACTGGTAGTCAGGGAGGTAAAGAACACTTCCACTGTTTCACTCTTGGCTTCAGGGCAGAAAAATTTCCAAATGTGTGGGCTTCAAAGCAGTGAAGGACCAGTCCATAGGGTTGTGCCCTTAAGTAGTAGTAGTAATAAGGAATAGAAAATGGACACATGATTCTTTGTCACATTAGCATCTCTGACCCAAGTGTAATAGAATCAGGGCCATATACCCTTTCCTCGTAAAACATGCACATCGAGCAAAGCAAATCATCCCAGAAAATAAGCTATTTTTTTTAAACCCAAATGTTAAAAGCTAAATATATACTGATTTATGCATGGTGTTTTAGAGCAGTGGTTTTCAAACTTTCCACAGCTGGGGACTGGTGAAAACAGGAAAACCACTTTGGGGACCACTGACGCAACAAAAAGCACCATACACATAATACAGTACTCTGTGTATTAGTTTCCAAGCACAATACCAAAAAAATGAAAATTCTCCAAAGCAACCAGATACCAAACAACAAGAAATGCCAACAAAAGAACAAAATACCAAAATCGGCACAGCCTGGCTCCCAGCTGGCTTCCACTGAGCTGTCTCTCCCCTCTCCACACACCCTGGCAGCACCAGCACACCCCCAGCAAACGCAATGTCAACCAAGGAAGAGGTGGGGGAGCACAGCCAGCCCCCGTGAGGGTCTATGGCAAGTGGGATACAGCCCCCACCCCCATGGACTGGCAGGAAATCTCCTGTGGATCAGCACCGGACTGCGGACTGGCAGTTGAAAACTACACTTTTAGAGCAAGTGTTTTCTGCCTGATCCATAGAAGATACTATTGGAAAATATTACTATACAGGCTATTACAGTGTGGAATTATGCAGAGGGTAAAAAGAATAAAGCTTTGCATAATTATCTGCCTTACCTTGAAGTTAAGACGACGTGAAAATGTAAAGCCATTTTCTGCTTTGCTATCAATCTCATAGATGCTGTCTTGCATTTTAACATATTCTTTCAATTCTACCTGGATTTTGAAAAAATATGTATAATACTCAGCTTATTTTCATTATTAGACGTATATCCCACATTTTTCCAATGAACTCAAAGTGGTATACATATATCTCCTTCTACTGCTGCTCTCAAACTTATCCCCACAACAACAACTCTATGAGGTAAGTTGGGCTGGGAGTCTGTGACCTACCCAAAGTCATTCAGCTGGGTCCACATCTCAGTAGAACCCAGACTGCCTTAGTCCCAGGACCACACTCTTAACCATTAAACATTACATACTGGCTCACAAGCTTATGACATGTATGGATACAAAGTCTGAACTGGAGAAAGGCAGGGAAGAATGAGAGAAGAGTAAGAGTATAATGATAAAATCAGTCACATTCAATAACTGTTTTTCTCTTAATTATATAAATAGTTCTTGTTTACTTCTTTAAAAATGGGAGCTAGATTGGGATATTTCTTAAATGATGGTGCTGTTTTTACATTTTTATACTCGTCTCCTTATACCTTGCTTTACTAAGAAAAAATTAATAAAGACTTCTCTCTTTACCTCAACGTTGAATAGAAGGTAACCTCAGTTTAGCATCTTTAGCTAGGTAATGCTAAACATCTGAAATATTAATAACAGGTGGTATCTTCATTTTCAAGTAATAAATATCTTCATTTTTTGCAAAAGAGATAATCACTGTATTACACCAGTGATTAGCCAAGAATCTCCAAGAGAAAAATGTGTTCTGATTCCCCATAGGGTCAGCTACTTCAACACACAACATTTACTTCTCATACTGTTCTGCTCATTGTCTCTAGTTAAATACATACTGGTCTGAAATTACTTGTGTAGTATTCTGCTTTCAGGAACTGCTGCAAGTCTTCAACGTTGCTTAAAGTTGCACTCATTCCAATGATTTGAGTAGTTTCTGTAAAAAACATAAGATAATGATAGATATTTAGCATGTCAAACTAAGAATGATGGTGAAACAGTAGAGTATCAAATATCAAACAAAAACTGTGAAGGAAAGTCATGGTATCTCATAATGTATATAAAACAATATAACTACTTTCTTCAGTAGATTAATACCAAGTGCATAGTATCAAGAGCATCAGCCATCTCCGAATCAGTCTCACACAATGTTTCACCAACTGTAGTGAATATTGCTTAGACTGAAGCAAGACAAAATATGGTCCTGAAAGACCTTACACTGAGGTAGAAAGAGTTCTATGCAGACACAGCTCCTAGCCCTACTAAATAAAAGGCATTGTACAGTTACTCTGCCTTTATTTCCTTAATGGATTTTTTTCTGGAAATAAAAAGAAGCAATGGGAAAACATAGAAAGAGTACCAAAGGCTACTTGCAGGATTCCAGTAAAATTCTATGAATGAGGCATGCACAAATCAAGGCTTGTCTGGAAGAACCCATTTTTTAAAATGCACATGACAAAAACCATTGTATATCCGAGGCTGCAATCCTATGTACACTTCTTATCGGGGATTAAGTTCTCTTCAAATCAGTGAGACTAACTTTCAAGTAAACAGAAGTAGGATTAAGTGAGAGCGAGAGCTCTAAAATAAACTCACCATTTCTGTTTCTCTCCCCCAACAGAGCCACCACAAAGCTATGTAAGCTCTCTTTGCCCACCGACAATCCTCTCTTCCTTTTCATTCCCAGCTCCTCCTGTCTAGCAAGGCAACTGTGCTCTTGCCTCCCATGCCCCCCACACCTAAGAGTACAGCTTGTAAAGAAGATGGGGAACAAAACAAATCTCAATGTGCACAAACATACTAGCTGATTAACTAGCTGGTCTGAGTATCAGAGCAGACCAAGGCAGGGGAGTCATGAAGCTTGCTGGATGATCTTAGGATAGTCACTGTCTCTCAGTCTATCAACAGGGTTATTGTGAGGATGAAGTGGAGATGGCTGTAAAAAACCTGCCTGACTTCTTTGGAAGAAAGGACGGATATATATGTAGTAAGTTTTTTTAATCCCCTTTATTTTCTAGCTATAATTCTAAATTACATACAGTTGTGAAGCCAGAGTATGGCCAATTTTCTTTTTACAAGACTTTACACAATCATTATACTATTAATAATATTTTAAAGACTTTAGAACTGCTGAACTTGCATTCGCCATTTTGTATGAGCACTAGACATTATGCAGAAATTACTTACTGCTTGCATAGAGAATCTTTGTGAGTGTCATTTCTAGAACAGCTCCACGACTTCCTTCTCCAAGCATGTGCAACTTTGAATTAGAAAAAAAGTGAGAAGAAATTAGGAGAGTGAGAAACATCAGAATGAATCTTCAAGAACTTCCCAGGGTCTCATCCATTATGAAATCACAGATAGGGGAGGTGTTGTTTTGGACTGATTTGACATTCAAAGGCAGCATCTAGAGATCTGAAGGCAGGCTGACAGGCCAACCACCAGACCTGTAGATGCGAAGAAGACCAGAATGCAGCACCACTGCTAAACTGGCTGCGCCATGTTCTCCTTACCAACTCTGTATCTCCCTCCACCTGATACCTTAACATGAATATATTTTTCTGAAAGCTATGGCACCTTAACTCATGCTGACATTAATTAGCACCCAACAAGAGTCTTACAGTACAGTGCAACTTTTGAAAGAAGCATGCATGAAAAAATGTAAAACATTTTAGAAAGGAAACACATGTTCTGCAACAAACCTCATCGACTACAACTAGACCCAGGTTGCTGATTCGTCCTGTTTCTATCAATGAATTCACCAGGCTGTGTCCTTTCTCAATAGTTGCAATGTAAAGGGATTTCTTCAGCCTTCTTTTGATTGGAGGAAATCTTCCTTTACTTCCTGCATATTCTTCAACAAGAAATCCTAGCTGCATTCCAAAATTTGACAAACCCCCAACCTATAATATAATAAATGAAAAGCAATATTTTTACAGGCCATGTTTAACTGCAATGATAATAAATAGTTTATAGCAAAAGACACTTCCTGTATATTAACTGGATTTCAGAGCTAAACTCAAAGAAACTCATGGATGTTTGTCAATCCAATATAGTACAAGGGCACTGAATTTTAAAACAACGTTCTTATAATGAACAGCTCAGTACTGTACTTGCTCACAAAATCTTAAGTTCCACAGAGTCCAATGGTATTTATTCCTTATTTAATCTTAACAAAACCGTGATGTGTTTACATTGGTAACCCATGGGAAAAAGGTTCCAATAAAATACAAGGATACTTATGGATATAAAACTGCATTGTCTTCATACCTTCTCCTGAACTATAGCCACATAAGGAAGGATCATTAAAACATCCATTTGCTTGCAGAGTAATTCTTGAAGAATTAAAATTTCAGCAACAAGTGTTTTTCCACCACTGGTTGGCAAGCAGTATATTAAATTCTTTCTTTGTTGCAGTGATTCTAATGTCAAGCAAGCATGCTGCCAGTCTGTCAAGTTAAAGAAAAGATATTACTTGCATACTTCCACTTCTCATGTATCCTTTACAGTACTTCAAGATCAAAATAAAGTTTCCTTTTAGAGTTCTACAAAGCTTGATAAGAAATGGAATGTGACACTTAAGGAAAACATACTTTAAAGCTATATAATTAAACTTTAAAGCTGTAACAATGAAAAGACAATTTGTACAATCTCTGCCTGACATTCCAGACATTATCTTAGTAAAACTGAATATCATGCAACATTTCCCATTTGTTCTTCATCCTACAAGAAAATTATTCATTTTTGTCTTGCATTTATCACAAATAAATATAACTCCACTTCAACAGTATGTACAAACACACAAAACAATTCGGTTTCACAGAGGTATGAAACACAAAAGCAGTAGTGAAGGAGAACCTGAGTGCAAAATTTAGCAATACAATAAAAATATGCTAGCATTACCATAAAGTTTCTCAATTCCTCTGAACTGTAGTAGCAGCTCCTTGACTTTAGTGGGTAAGCCATAAAAAGGACCAATATCCACAATTGAGGTTTGGCAGTTTTTCTCAGCGACACTAGCCTCTTCAGAGACAACAGCTTCTTTGAGCTGTTTACTTTTAGACATCAGTGGAGTTGAAGTTCTGGCATTTTCCGTCATTGCACTTTTGAGATGATCTTTGAGACTCTTTCTCCTACTTGGTTCAGACAATGCACCTGCAGCTTGTTTGCTATGGTCAATAGCATACTCTGTATCATGGCAATAAGGTAGATCAGATACCTTATCGGTACTCAGATTCATGCAAGAGGCTCTTTCTTTCACATTTTCTGCTTTGTTAGGACAAACTAAACATTCGTCTAATTTTTCAAGACATAAAAGTTGTGATGATGGCAAGTTTTCTAGACTATCCTCTTGAGGGCTCAGGCTGCTATTCTGCTGTCCTTTCTTAGTCCTTGAGGAATCACTTTCTCCTCCGTTGGAAGCTGAAAATGTCTGTATCTTATTCTTGGCATTCTGTAGCTGAACATCTAGGTTTTTAGATTCCAGACCATCATCAATGGACTGCATGCATTTTTGCTCTATATCATTTACTTCATCTAGCAACATGTTGCCAAGAATGCTATCGTAGTCCCCAAACATGTCATTTTCACTATCAATGTCCTGGAAAAGAAAAGAATCTACGTTACTTTTTTATACAGAACTTTCAAGAGTTCAAAGCAACTGAAAGTGCAATCTTATGTCTGTTTAGGCAGAAAAAGGGCCTACAACTTCCAGCATTCCTCAGCTAGCTATGCTGCAAATTGTATGTCTTTTTTTCTTTCTAAAGAGGCATAGGAATGTACACTAAAACGATTAAGGGAATGGAACAATTCCACCATGAATAAAGTTACATCGGCTAGGATTGCTTAGAAAAAAGATGAGTAAGGGGAGAGATGATAAAAATGTACAAAACGAAGCATGATATTGAAGAAGCACATAGAGTGGCATCTTCCTCCGTCTTTCCTAATACGAGAACCCAAAGGAGTTCATCCCATTAGGGGGACGTCCCAGCCAAGACAGATCAAAGGAAGGACTTCATCCAGCACACAGATACACTTCGCATTTCACAAGAGATCGTGATGACTACCAGTCTGGATGAATGCATGAGGGGACTGGACAAATTCCTGGAGACGGCTAACCAGGCCACTGGTCCTTGTGGTTACATGCTACTTCCAGCATCAAAGGCAGAATGCCTATATGCACCAGTTGCTGGGGAACATGGGTCAGAGGATGCTGTTGTACTCATGTCCTGCTTGTGGCATCCTGCGGGCATCTGGCTGGCCAATATGGGAGCAGAATGCTAGTCGAGATGGATTTCAGTCCGGCCAGCACGGCTTTTCTCACGTCCTAAGGGGCTGGGCGGAGCAGGCCGCCAGCCAGAGCTCCATGTCAGTACCTCAGCCACCGGTCCCTCCTGAACGCCCCCATCTCCGCCGGAGCTCAGTTTCTTGCGGGCGGGCGGCGACCGGGAGCAGGCCCGGTCGCGGCTCCTTTTGCCAAACGAACAGGACCGTCGTCGTGGCCGCCGCTCCCGCGTCCTCCGCACAGCGATCCCATCGCCTTCCATGAGGCAGCAGCATAGCCTGCGCCTGGCTCCCGTCAGGGCCTGCCAATTCTGCGCCGGCCGCAAAGGCAGCAGAGGAAGCTTCTTCTCAGGAAAAGCAGCGGAGGAGCCGGTCCCCCATCCCTATATAATGGAACCGCCCAGCTCTCGTCAAGGTAGCACTCTAGCCCGTGCGAGGACTGTACCAACTACAAGAAAAGAGGAAGCGAAAAGATTATAGTTAAATCCCGCCCCCTTCTCTGAACAGTCATCCTATAACGTGAGCATTGATGCATGACGTCATTTCCCGTTCTCGGACAAGGAGAAAAGCGGGAAAACGAAACAGAGAGAGCGAGAGCAAGAAAAACGAATAAAGCACGTGACCTCCCGATAAACTGATAGGTGGGGCCAGAAAGAGAACTTTGTGCGGTGATTGGATATTGGAGTTTGTTGACAGTACGAGCGGAATTTCCGCGCCTCCCTCCTTTAGTCGAGCACGGCGCCTGCGCTAAACTTTGTCACCGAACGGAAATATTGCGAGGGGGAATTGATTGGGTGTTACTCCGCCACTCTTCGGTAGCGGAAGTTCGAAAGGCGGAAAACATGGCCGGCATGGCTTGTCTGATAGCCCCTTCCAGGGGCTCGGGGAGGCTTTGCTATATCCTTTCCGGTGTAAGGAAGGCTGCTCGTACTTCTGGTACAGGTACAAGAAAAGAGATCCTACCCAGATCGGGGAGAGAACTGATCTTCATCCCTTTAACTTGGGCGGTCATCTTCTGTGGACTGCGAGAGGCATGCCTTGGAGATAAAAGTTCGAAAGCGCAGTAATATGAGAAGCTTCATTTTTTTGTTTAAGGAAATGCCTTTTTCTGTAGCTGCTAAAGTTAGGGAGCCTTTGCCTATTATCTGAAAAGTGGCAGCACTAGTTGAGATGGCTATGGATTTTCCGCATGACCTTTCGTAGAGCGGAAAACAGCAAATATATGCGCATACAGAAAGGGAAATGGGGTATTCAGAGCACTATTGTGGATTTTGTAGAAATTAAAGATAGTTCTTGTGTAGTCTTGATGTCGTGGTACCCACCAACCGAAGCCCACAGAAATTAGGAGTTTACAGTTGTTTCAGCTTTGTTTTCTTATCAATCCTGATTTGCATGTGCAGCCTGGCATTAGTGCACAGTACCAAATACAATGCTGTCAAATCCTCGGTGTTTAACAATGGCCATGCAGGTAGTAATAGATTACACAAACAGCATGAATGCAAATAAACCATGGAAAATCTAGCCAATAATGTGTACACCTGGATAATAGACAGCAATTGCTGAGACATTCCTGGGTATGTATTATCCTGTTAGAGCTCACTCCTCCCCTCCTCAACTTCTGGATAGCCCTGACCCCAGCACTGGCTCTGAAGTTGTTCTTGGGAGTTTGGAGTTGCAGTTGGTGTTGAAGGAGCTGGAGGGAAGGCATTCCAAAGCCGCTCCAAAGGCACCTTGCCATTGGAATGTGTTTCTACTCTGATTTTTCCTATAGCTGTCTAGCAGCCATAAGATTGTGTCCTAAAGAAATGAAATATTTAAGAGTAATTATACCAGTTGACCTGTTGAGTGATAAATTGAATTAGCAAACAGTGATCAAAAGTATGGGAAAAAATGGTACACATTGAACTTTAAATGATTGAGAAAGAAATTGTGATTAAAATTCAAAATTCACAAAAATTCAACAGCAAAATGAACGTATTTATTTCATATATTACCTCTGAGTGATCAAAAAGCTTAGTTGCTTAAGCTAATTTATGTGTACTTTTACATGATTTTGTGTGTATTTTCTTTTCAGCTACATCATGGACACGGGAATGTAGTTCACACACTGATCAGGTGTCCAGTAAGACAGATATGGTAAGAGATTTTGTGCTTGGTAACTTGTATGTTTGTACAAAGCTTATGAGTTTAAATGTAGGATTAAAACAAAATACCTGTGTTTGAATGGCACCTTATCCGGTCCTAAAACTGCATATGAGCGAAGAAGTGCAGTCCTACGGAGGTAAACATAAGCTGCCATAGTGCACTGGAACCCTGGAGCCAGAGGTAATGGAGAGCTAGTGAAAACCAAATGCTTACACAAGCAAAGGTGAGAAACTGGGAAAGCATAGCAGGACCAGAGGCAGAAGTGGTGTCAGAAACAGGCAAGAGTCTTCTCACTGTGCAGGCCTGGTCTGAGGTGCCCTATTTTAGCTTTGAGGATACTTGGGAAGATACATAACCACTGTGTAAAATATGGTGTATAGCTTATTAATACAATAATAGAATAGAGATGCAGAAGATCAATAAATAAGTAAAGAAAGCTTACACTCCCTTTATCTGGCTTATTGGTTCCCTGAATAGGCCAGGGCTGCTCATGTGGCTCTCCAAGGTACTTTTGTGGAACGGGCCTTTTTTGCTCATCAAAATAGCTGCTTCTGCGGCTCCTTCTGCTCTGTGTTGGATGACTGTAAGCCTCTGAATTGGTGGTTTATGGCTATTACCATAGGATTGTGCCCTAATTAAAACAAGAAGAGTACTTCCTGACAGCTAGGACCTCTAGGGTATGGAATGGGCTCCCATGGGCGGTGGTTGAAGCCCCATCGGTGAGGGTGTTCAAGGACAAGCTGGACATGTACATGGTAGGCATGCCATGCGTGGAGCTGGCTGGAGCCAGGGTCAGACTAGATGGTCCAGGAGGTCCCTTCTGACTCGCTCTGTTTCTCTGTTTCTGCTTTACTTTTATGACTGTTGTTGTTAGGGTGGACCAGCTCCTAATTGGAAGCCACAGTTGGTGGTTGCTTCATCTGCCAGGTGCTTACAACAATATCTTGTATACTTGTAGTACAGAGTCTGATCTGGCCCAGGTTTTGATGCTACATATTGCAAGCAGCTTGCCCTGTGCAGGATGGTGGTTTTGTGCTTGTATAAACAGCACATAAACAAGGCAGGATGAAAGGACTACCTCTAAGACTGTTTCTGTTTCAGCCTGTACCAATGGAAAATCCCTATAAGGAGCCTCCTAAAAGGTGTATCTTGTGTGGGATAACTGTTGACTACAAGAATATTCAGGTAAATTCCTTTATATTTTGTGTGCTGTTGAGTTATATTAAACAGAGTAAAACTACCCTTAAAGAGTCATCAGGGTAAATACCATGAAAGTTCATTTGTCTGCTCTCTTGCTAGTTACCATAAATAGGCACCTGCTCCATTCATATGTCTTCATTCATCTCCTAGGAATGCTGGAAAGAATACTAGTTTCATTCCCAGAAAAGATATATCAGAAATACACCTATGAGACACTTCCACAGACCAGCATTTTATAATGCAGCAGAAAGGCCAATTCACAGGATTGGAAATGTAAAGTGCGCATTGGACATGCACCAGATTCCCATGGCCTTTCATTTAAAATTGGATGGGTTCAGGATTGCAGGAATCCAGCATATTTTACATGCGCTTGAATATTGCCTGTGCACCACACAAGTTATGTTGATAGGGCCAGAGCCACTGTCATCTCTCAAGTACAAAGAGTTGCATCCATTTCCATATTTCACTATGTAAACTCTTTCAAGTGTAGGTGAAATGAAGACAGGTAGAAGCAGCAGTGCATTCTGAAAGCAAGGTGCTTCTCGGTGCTCCACTCCACATTGCAATGACCTGGGCTGCATGATGCAGCCTTCTAATGAGTGAATTTACCTGTGGGGGCTGTCACATTGTGCCAGGCACCTGAGGACACCAGTTTTGCATGGTGTCCATCTTGCACTGTTGTGTTGCAGGTGGTAGAAGCTGTTTGAGGGCTAGGCACCTCTCAGATAATATGATTATTTAATGGTTGCCTAATGCTCAGAACAGTTCAATACAAGGAAACTGAGTACCTGTGGGTGCCATAGAATAATGGCTTCTGTGAGCATCTGGCATGATGCAACAGCCCCATGGATAAATTAAGCCATGTAGGCTGTTGTAACATGTGAACAGCCTTATTGCTCTATTTCCCAACCATGAGCAGAAGTTTCTTGCAGGCTTATTTGCTGATTGTCCTTTTGCATGCAGTGTCCCTGCCCGTTGCAGAATAATGCCTGCCCAAGTCTTTTTTCTAACCATGATTAGCTCAGAGTACAGGTTGGGCATCCACTTCTAACGAGCCAATGTGGTGTAGTTGTTAGTGTTGGACTGGGACATAAGAGTTCTGAGCCTCTCAACTTAACCTCATAGGTATGTTGCTGTGAGGATAAAATGGAAAGAACCTTGCAAGCTGCAAGAGGAAGAAAGTAGGGTATACATTTAATGTAACATTAAATCATGGCTGCAAACAGTGGAGTGTATTTACTATAATATTCTACTTATTATATTTCTGTACTGCCCAATAGCCAAAGCTTTCTGGCTGGTTTTCAAAAATTTACAAAGATAGTCAAATATGCCACCATATGTAGAAAGCTGCAAAACAAGGATGGTGGAATTTGTATCCAAGTAGTGGTGAGTCAGCTCATGAGGGTACTCGCAATAGTTGACTCTAAAAAAGAAGTATCTGCAGTGGGCCTTTAATTCAGTACCTCCTACAACCAAATCTCCCCCACCCACTCAGCTCAAGCTGATTTATTAGATCTTATTTCTGTCTTATTTTCTCCCAGAAAATATCTGGATTTTAAACTCTTGTATTAGTTGGTAATACTATTTTGCTTTAAAGAATAAACACTTAAATCTGATTGATTGAACTGCAAGAGATGTTACAGACTTAGGACATGTAGAAGGTATCCAATGTATTTTGTTTAATAAAGATCTACGTACTTTTCTCCCACAGCTTTTGTCGCAGTTTATCTCACCATACACTGGTCGCATCTTTGGTATGCATATCACAGGTATGTAACAAAAAATAAACTTTCCACTCAATGCTAATTTTTCACCACTTTTAATTTAAAACTATTAAATTTGCTGGCGACTCATGAGGTGTGGCATTCTAAGCTATGTTGACTCAGAGGCACACCTTCAAACTGAAATGGAAATACAATTTTTATTTAGGGTATCCTTTTATGGCCTGTTGATGTCATCTGGGTCAGTGCAGGCAAATAGGATTCTTTGAAGTCCTTGCTCTGAGATCCTGAAGTCCTGCAGCTGGGACTCTGAAGGGCAAGCCCCTACCCTGCCACCCTTGCAGCTGGCACAGAACGAAGCATGCTGGCTGCCACCCTAGCAAGGTTACAACTGAGATTTGGAGGGGAGAAAAGGGTGTGCAGGGGAAAGAAAGGAAACAGGCCACAGGCTCAAGCAGTTTCTACTGGCATCCCAGCTCCCTCCCGCCCCATCCCAGCACTTTACTTAAATGGTCAGAAAGAGCCGTCTGCCCATTGCAATGTGTGGCATCCATGGCTGCTGTCTTTTCTTCCAGGCATAGGACGGATCCTTTTAAAGTATAATCCCTTACTTTTTAAAAACCCCCTTAGGGTCCACTGATACATATGTTTAACAGAAAAAGTCCTACATGCTGTGGAGAATGCTGAGAGTTGTCTTTTCTGTCTCATCATTTCACCCTTAGTTGCTTAATTTGGGTTCAAGTAGGCATTGAACATTTACTATTGCCAGAATACCTTTCAGAAGGACTGTTCGATTTCATAGGTTTATGTGAGAAGAAACAGAAGGAAATTGGAAAAGCTATTAAAAGAGCCCGATTTGCAGGTATGTACCTTTCAAAATACAAATATCAAGGATATTTTTAAGGCTTTATTTTTTTAACATTTTAATTGTTATGTTGCAGGATTCATGTCGGTTACATATAAGGACCCAACCTTCCTCAGTGACCCTAAAATATGTAATATAAAATATCCAGATCGTCTTGATTAAACTATGTTCATAAAGTTGTTTTTATAATTGGCCTGTGCTCATTACTAGTAGAACCTTAATAAAGAAGTCACTTGACACAACAATAAGCCTGCTGCTATTTCCTGTTGTCTAGCGTACAGAAATTGTTCAGGATACAAGCCCTGTTAAGGAGCATACATTATCACATGAATGACAAAATGCTGCACCAGGTGTTAGGAAAATGCTGCTGTTTCATATGTAGGATACATCACATGCTATTATACCTGGTTGTAGATCGTATCTTTATGGGAGTAAGGTTCACTTTGCATAGTGGGACTTACTCACAGAGTTAAGTTCAGGTTTAGCTGCAAATCTTGGATCCCGTTTACTACTTTAATAATAAACACTGGTGTGAACAACTGAACTATTAGAACACAATCTAAAGTGAAATTGTGATTGGAATCTTTATAATAAGTTTTGGTCTTTTTCCTTGTCAGCTGCCTCAGAACAGAATTTGGTCTTCAGTGTAACTCCTTCAGCTTTAGTACAGCAAGTTGCTTAAAAGACAAGACATCCTGTTGTGTTTTGAGTCCAATATTTATAGAAAACAAATATGCACAATATGTTTGGTGCTGCCTTCCTGTTAGTGATAAGCCAAGGATGGGGAATTTTTGATTTGCAGGCGTTTCCTTCACAGACCCGCTCTTCTTCTGGTAGAGAAGGGCAGCTTTGCTCTAGTGTGAGGAGTCCGTTTCTCAATGCAAAGAGAACTATGGAGCAACTGCTCTCTTTCTGCGGGACCATCTATGCCTCCATAGAATAAGAAAATAGACCCCTATGAGGTGGCAGGGGAGTTCATAAGGGAAGGGAATGTTTCATTGCCTCATCCCACTCTAGGGGTGGCTGAGAAAAAGATCCAGTCTCTGGGGTCAGAACAATTCCCCGCTGTTGGGATAAGCAATGCATAATTTACTGAGAAGGAGCTATCTGGACAAGTTTGTTTCCCCTGAATTTGTAGGCATAGCACTTGTTTAAACTTTTAATGGCTAAATTGCCACATTTTAAGGATTTGTTCAAATACCATGAATGAATGGGGAAGGATAATTATGTACGAAACAGCTGATGGGGAAGGATGGCAGAAAAAATCCTCATCTTGAAGGATTAGATAGCTGGAGATAATGCAGGTTCATCTGGCTCTTTTGTTATATCCTCATCTGCATCTGTGTTAGCATTTCTTTCTTGGTCGCTGTTATCTTGGTCTTCTTGAAATAGCTTTCTACGAAGATGGAATGAACGAAGCCTTTTGAATGGCTTTGGTCCGCTTGTACCCACAGTAGGTTTGCGCTTAATTACCTGCCTCGTTTCAGCTTCGGGAAAATTACTTTCTTTGAGCATTAAGGTCAGCTGATCCATTACTTTGATGTTATGGTCAATGTTGCAGCAGTACTTAGATACCTGTCTTCCTTTTAAAGTAACAATGCTTGTTTGCAGCCCAGAATTTGGAAAAAGGGTTTGCAAAGCTTGACAAAGGAAAATATTCTCTTTGGGTTCATCTTCATGGCTTTTATTCTTTCCTGAAATTGATAGAAAAAACTGAGAGAAAGCTTCAGGATATTTTCCTAAGATATGGCAACTGTTACAGACTAAAAACTTCAACTGTATAGAAAGTCAACTGCTTGTCCTAGAAAACTTTACTGTTTATTTCCTACTAAAATGATAAATCAAAAGCACTAGATAATTGAACAAGGTTTTTTTTTATAGAACACAGCTTTCTTATCTTCTCACTTACTTGACTTGGCAGGGGAAACTGGAGGCATGGATACCTCTGCATATTTACATGCTCTGTACTCACTGATGGTTCTGCCTTTTTTGTGGAAACAAGTGTAGAGTCACTGGAAAATAACCTTACCTGTCAAATAATCTAGAACTGAATTTATGCATTTTACAATATTAATTAGCCTTTTACAGAGTTTCTACATTGCAACATCTGTTCACTGAAACTTAAACTTGCCACCTCATTGTCCTTTTAATGCAAAAAGCACATTAAGGATACAGTCCTATGGTCTGTGCTCTCAACACATGGGAGGGAGGGGAGGGCTCTAAAATCCAGAACCCTGTTGGCAAGACACAGGCAGGGCAGGAGAAATGACACACAATTTTGTTCCCTGCTCCTCTTTAAAAGGAGCAATTTAGCTTGACAGACCTCCAAGCCCATCTAACTACTCAGCAGTGGTGGATGATTATGGAAATGGAGAAGCTACAGGATCCTGCAAATCTAGGCCTCTTCCCTCCCAGAACCCTGCCCCTTTCTGCCCTCCCCAAACAGCAGTTTCTCTGGTGCTTTCCATGTTAAAGGGGGCTGGGAATGGTCTTGGCTTTCCTGTCCTGTGTTTGTAGCAGAGTTTATGGCCTCAAGGGTGGGAATCCCCATATCTTATAGTCTCTGGGATGACTGCTACTATTTTAGGGTGCCAGAGGGCCTTTGGTTGCTTTCTTCCAGTGAGCTGGAAGTAAAATGAAGGTTATGTAACCTTACCTGCAGTTTGCATCTGCTCTCTTTTCCTTCTTACTGTTTGTTTTAGTTGATCTACTTCTGTCAGCAGATTCTCTACTGATCTTTCACTATCTACTACTTTACTGCACAAATTCTAGAAGAGAAGAAAATCTGTGAAATACTGGATCCTTGCCAGTACCTGCATTTTTTTATATAATAAGCTTTGCATTCATCATTTGAAAGCGCTTTTCAGATCAGCTACAGAACTGGTATACAATCATAAGCAAAAAGCTACATTACTAAGACTGGCTAACTGTCCTGTACTCCATATCTGACTATTGGATGAGCGGAACTTTATGGAAAAGCCTTTAGAAAAGCAAAATGTCTGGCCCTGTACTCCATAACGGACGACTGGATTTTCATTTGGATAAAAGAAAATGCAGAAACTGACTCTTATATTGTGAACCTTACACTTGGCATGTCCACCCAGTGCTCACAACAGCAGGAATACTGGAAATACACACGTTCCCTTTCTTCTCTTTTGGCCTAGGAATATTCCTGTATTGAGAGCACTTAGCCATTCACGGAGATCTCACAGTCCATACGAATCCCACAGTTGTCTTTCTGTCTTATTTATTGTATTTATATCCTGCCTTTTCTTCCTTTCAAGGAACTCAAGGCAGCTTGCATAATTTTCCTCCTCCTCTAAATTTTATCCTCACAACAGCAGCCCTGTGAGGTATGTTGGACTGAGAGTCTGTGACTGGCCCAGTCATCCATTGAGCTCCATAGCTGGGTGGGAACTAGAACTTGGATCTCCCAGGTTCCCAGTCCCGCACTCTTAACCACTACAGTGGCGAGCAGCCAAGGTGAACCATGCTCAAGTCACTGCGGGCTTAGGATTAGCCTGGGGCTCCTGCTGTGCCTGACAAACATTCAGGCACAATGGGGGACCTCCTTTCCCGCTCTTTCCACTGGTAGCCCAGGAGACACTACAGGAGCACAAAGAGGAGTGAAGCAGAGATGACAGCCACTCAAAAATGTCATGGTGTCTTAGTGTGTAACCATTGAGATGAGATGTGCTGATAAGGTGCATTTCATCATCTGCATGGATGTGCTTGACAGAAATTGGAAAATTTGCCTACAGATGATTTCAAGAGTGCCTATCCTGACATAAGTGATAATCGTACTTATTTCTGAAATGCATAATGTACCATGTGAATGGGGTCCTAGTTAATGGGGCTAGGTCTTTTCTAATTTATCACATCCAACTTCAGGATGCTTTCCCTAAACATTTCTTTATTCTGGGATTTGGCACAGTTATTTTGCATTGCTGGATAAACCTCCAAGACACAGGGTTTCTAAAAAATGTATAACTTACCTTCAGTTCCTCCTGCAAAGTAGCATACATTTCATTAATCTTATGAACCTCTTTTAGAGACCCATCTTCATTAAAAAATGCTGACCTTTTGATACAAAAAGAAACCTAGAATGTACTATTTGCATCTGACATTTTTAATAAAGTGGATTTTGAAATATCTACATTTCAGTATATTAAATAAGGACACTGTAATACAACCTTAACTGACACAAAACTATAAAAACAAATGGTAGACCTCAAGTGCTGAAACACTACACTGGATGAAGATGGCTCTCCTTAAAATATTAGGTAAGATTATTTCAAATCATGTTAGAAGCAAATGGCAGTGTAGTTACTAGAGCTTATAGCTGTTTAAAAGTGTGCAAGTGTATAAATTCCCTTGGAAAGATTACACAGCCTCTGTCTTTCTGTGCTAAAGCCTTTCTGTGTTCTGTACTTGTGCCTTCCAACTGTGAACTTGGAGTCCTACAATGAAGCTAAATTGAGAAATAAAAGGGAGTTACCAGCACATTCAGGAGAGCCCTGATGTTAAAAAAATATAAACACAAAACCAAGAAGCAGCAACACCTCACCCTGGGGTGGACAGGACCAGACCAGTGAGGACTGAGCCCTGGAATGCTGATTGTCAACAGGGGGAAAAATAAAATGAATAGCGGGGGGTAGATTGGCTTGCTTGAGTTCCTAATTGAAGAATAGAAAACTTGCAGTCCTTCAGATGTTTGGGCCTACAGCTCCCACCAACAGCCAGTTGGGATGGGTACTGCAAGCTGTAACCTTTAGAACTAATCTGAAGGACTAATGTTGCCATCCCTGCCCTGACAATCTGTAATATTCTGTAGGAAGGCATAGCTAGAATCCTAAGCAGCAGCAGTTGTTAACGGGTGGGGGTGCGTAACCACATGTTGTCAAGTCCTATTTGTGATTCTGGATGAACTATAAAGGGATGCTTCATTTCTACTAGTTGGGGAACATTTGAAGTCTGCACAAAGTGTTACTGGAGATGTCATACAAGAATGCTCTTTTCCTACCTGTGTTTTGCAATTGTTCTACGAAAGCCAGAAGAAATACAAGAGCCAGACACAGTTCGGTAACCTTGCTGTTCAGCCATTCCCAGATTGGCAACGATAAGTGGAACTTTCTGGAAAAGCCTTTAGAAAAGCAAAAAGATTAATATTATAACAAGTTCTATGAAATGCTTTTGTCAATGCATAAGATCAAGACCATTCCCTGATTAAGTTTTAATGCAACTAAGAAGCCATATGAGGGCCATCCTTGGGACTGCAGTGTTTCGCAGATCTCCCTCTCCACCCATGGAGAAGGGATACTGCCCTCAGGACCCTCTTTGCAGTAGTCATGGAAAACAATCCTCCTGCTCTGCAGCAGCAAATGCAAAAATTCCTAGACCACCAGAACAAAAGATGGGTGGGGAGAAGTCAGCTGACAGGTATCCTCACTTCTGCTTCCAGTTGGGACCATTGCGAATGATTATTAAATTGTAAGAGACAGAATGACCAAATTAGGGTTGGGGGGGAAATGTTACGCTGTCTGTTCTATTAGCACAGCCCCATCAAGGTTTCGATTTAGTATAACCCTGCCATGGGTTCTTTTTGCCCCACTGAACTGCCCTCCAGCTCTCTAAAGTTCAACACTGCTCATCCAGAAATAAGAGATCTTAAGCCTTTTAGATATATCTTATTTCTATAAGAAAATATGGCAGAAACCAGAAATGCAATGCTACATACATCACCTTATTAAAAACTCCCTTCAAATACCTCTGATACTAGCCATGTAACTATGGCTTGGCAACCTACAAACTAGCACCAACTTTTATAGTTCTAGACAGTGGTGCATAATTGTGTCCAGTCTCTGGTGTTAAGAATATAATGACAATCTAAAACATGGCAAAGAAGGTAGATCCATTCCAACAGTCTTGTTGGATCTCCAGATTTGAAGAGTCAGAGTTGCTTTCAAGGTTTATCAGTGCTTATTCTGTGCTAGCAGGAGAAGGCTCAGCATATATCTGATGTCCCACCAGTGCATTCACAGAAACCTCCTCCGTCCCCTGCCAGCCTCCATGTCTCTCACAATTTCATTTTAGAAAATCAAGTATACAAGGAGTCTAAGGAAATGAAAACGGTAAGTGGCTACAGCCAGTATTCGTCTTGAAACATGGTCACAAAGGTAAACAAGCAGGGTGGGGTTGGGGGACAACAACCAGAAGAGCTAGATGGGTGTTTAGCCTTTCTGTGCTGCCTTTTTCGGTCGGCTTGGATTTAGAGGTGGGGCCGTTAACTGGTTTGTTTTGGTGTAGTGTATGCTTTTGCCTGGTGTGTGTAGTTTGCCAGTTTGTAGGTGTGCAATGTTTTGTCAATATGTTTTTCTGAGCATCACCAGTCTGTCTGCTGTGAAATGAGAAGTTGTGGGAGGGGGGTTGTTTTTGCTTTATGGAACAAATATATGATTAAACAGACACCATCTCTGTTTTCTGTTCAGTGTCTTGGAGAAATTACTTCTCTTAGAGCCTCACCAGACCATCCTAAGTGAAATGGGCGTTCAATCAGATAACAGGTTACACAAGACTGGGTTTGTGTTTTGGACCCAAGGCTCCACATATACCTCACAGTTATGTCCTTTTCTTCATTTACTTTTGCTATATTCTCACTACTGTTCCTTCTGGGAAATGGGTATGTTGTGATTGGCCAAGCCCAACATGGTAAAATTTTTGTGAGAATACTGATAACACACTCAAATTTAAAAATGTGCTCACCAGTCTGAAAAGATTGAGACTCCCAATATTTATCATCTAGTAGCTTAAGCACCTGAGTTATGGCAACTTACATGATCTGGACTATGTTTTGAAGCAGGAAGGATGACATAGGGTCACAGCTGAGATCTGTGAAACCAGCTTACATGATGTGTCATTCATGCAAATATAGAGGCCAGAAAGCCTTCCATCATTTCAGAACATTATGTGCAAACCAACAATCCTAAGCAGGACTTCTAAAGGACCGTAATAAGCCTAATTATGGCCAGTTATAGCCTGAGATGGCAAAAGCACGAAAGTGAAACTTTAGCTGCACAAAGCCAATTTCCATTACAAAACTCCCCCTGACAGGAGTATATAACTTGGAAGGCAACACCACCTCTTGCACTTTCTCCTGAAAACCGGAAATTCTGTCCACAGCACTCACATTCTGTAATTATCACCCCGGGGGGGGGGGGTGCTATTTCATCACTGACAAAGGCAGATGATGATGTGATTGACAGAAAGGAAAAAATATTCATCCATCTGCATTTTGCCAGTTGCTTTACTTATATGCACATGCTTTGATGGAAGGGCAACCTATTTAATTATGAACTTCATGGCACAAGGATGCAGAATGTAGAACCCTTCAGATGTTACTGGACTGCAACTCAATCAGTCCCAGCCAGCACCATCAATGGTTAAGGATGATGGGGCCTGCAGTCCAGCAACATATAGAAGGGCACACATCCCCTATCCCTGCCTTATAGCCAGAATTGCTATTGCTATGGAAGTAAACAGATAAGTTCACTGGAGTTACTTACCCCTCTTGTGGTTTATACAAGGCATATTCAAGTTTGTAAGTGGATGAACTTGCAGAAGTGACACTGGAAGTTAGTAACAGAAAAACAAGGCCCTGATTCGACAAGTATGTCTGTAAATGCTTATGAAGGAGTCGCTCCCTGAATGTCATGGACTGGTCAGTGTTACGCCTGAGTTTGTACCAGCCTACCACAGTCTGGAAAAGAAACAGCAATCTGAAAATTAGATATAGCTTCCTGATTAGAAAAATTGGCTGCAAAGAAAAATAAATCACAAGGGCCTTAATTACTGATAGGTGCTCTTTCACCAGCATCTGGTATCTAACCCGGTCTTGCAAAAAAGGCCACAAAAGTTAGTAGCTCTTAAACATATTTGCTGCCCCGTGTGCCTATACATATTTTTGCCTCTCATTCAGTTTCAGAACTAGTTTACTGTGTGGGTTACAGTGTGGGGAACCGCTCAAGCAAAAATAAGTCTGAAGTGCTCTTGGGTTCAAACAACTAACTTCATAAGTTCTTTGGATGCTGGCTTTTAAACACTGCTCTGATTCCTAAATTTAGAACTATAGTTTTAATTTATGTGGGACAAAAATGCAGGGCAAGAAAGTAGGGTGGAGAGGGGAAAAGTAATGAAGTTATGATGCTTTTTAAACTGGACATGGATTGATTCAGACCATGTACTTTTCACTCTAAAATTTCAAGAGCTGTTAAATATGCTCCATTACATAATCAACATAAAAAAGCACTAGTAACTGGGGTAAACTTTCATTTATTTCAAATAAGCTTGTGCAAGAAGAGTTTCTGGGCCATTAATGTGAAAGGTTTTCATACACTGAGAAGGCAGTGACTGCAAATGCAGTCATTGCATTTATAGGCGGCCTATAAATACATGTAAATAAATAAAATTCCCAGGCATGTTAATTCAGGAGTAAGTTCCACAGCACTCAACTGAACTTCCTTGTATATTAGCATGTACTGACTACAGTTGAAGTCTGCAAAATTTACTGGAACTTTTAGGTAAACATGGCTAGACTTACTTATAGGATTAACATGAATCAGGCTAAGGGAACTGATATAGGTCTTTAAATAAAATTATTGCTTATTATATCCATACATTTCCTTGAATCAATTCCAGTGAAGAGGTTAATGCTCAACACAAAGTACCTTTTTACATCCTGATAATAGTTTCTTCAGCATTGGCTCATTCAATTCTCCAATTGAGTTGTAAAAGCTGGAAAAGATGAATAAGAGGGCAATACTGAGTCAAATTGCTTTTACCCAGCTAAATGGTCATTTTCTAGAGTATTACTGGAACGAACAGCAAATCAATCACAAAAGGACGGTGATGGTGATGATGATGCCTGAAAAATAATGTATAACCCCAATCTTTGAACCTGGGGGTGGGCAAGTAGAAGGAATCAAAGGAAAAAAACATGTACCCCATCCTACCCAGAAATGATCACCACTGTGTTTGAGTCAGTGGGTCTTCATCTATATGCAGCTCTGTAAGGGGTTAAGTGGCAACATTTTAGTTCAGTCAGGTGTGTGGTGTGGCAGGCCAGTTTGCATATGTTTCATGGAATTCAAAGCAAGCTATTTGCATCCCGCTTGCATCTCAAAGGGTTTTACTGCATCCACAAATATACCTCTTGCCATGCTGTATTAGACAGATGACAAAATAAGTTTTAAAGCTTACGTTTGAGATCCTCTTAAAATGTGCATGGAATCCACTGTGCAATCCTATACATGGTGACTCAGAAATAAGTACAGCTCAGTTCATTGGGGCTGTTTCTAAAGAGGTGGACATAGACCTGGGAATAACACAGAACTCAGTGGGGTTTAGTTCTGAACAGAAATGCATACAGCCATTCTTTTAAGGTTCCGTTTGTGACAAGACATATTCTGTTGTTGTAATGCAAGGCTTGGAGTGGCTCCAGTGCGCACAGCTCTCCATACGTTGCCATTCGTTTTAGCATTAAATATGTGAAGTAGCCCTGCTTGCATGTGTCACCCAAACAGTATAATCACAGTGAGTATTGCCAGTTTTAAAGAACTGATATCTTCCATAATCAATTATTTCATATTCTTATAAAGGCAGATGCAACAAAATCCAAGCTTATGTTTAAAAGTAGGTGTAATATTTACTAACCTGAAGGGATGGTAACATGGAATGTGTTTTTGTATATCTGAAACAAAAGAACATTCTATTTGTCTTGAAAGTTTGGTACAGACATCTGCTACTTCTTTCATTTAAAATATTTAAAATGGATATTTAAAAACCAAGGATTCACAGAAAACTTGTAAATTATTATACATCACAACTTCATTTACTATAATCATGTCAGAAATGTCTGTTGTTCTATTATTTAATTTTTTGCAAGGTTGGATTTAGTGTTCAGTCATAACTTTGCATGAAATGTTCTATTTTAACCCTAAAATCATGGACAAGCAAAATCTGATAATATTGAAGACCTCGAAATACACAGGTCTAGTTCTAGTTATACTCAGAACTATATATAATAAACCTTGCAGACCGACCAACTGACTGATCTACTTTTCTGGGAGACAGGGTAATATCAAAGATATGGACATTTTTTTCTTCTGTGGAAACCAGTGGTGGGCGACTTTCTCTCCTGTATTTGTTAGAATTGTAGTGAGATGAAGGTTAAAGATCATTATCAGCAGTGGGAAAACCAAGGTCTTTATCAGGACCACTGGGAGGAGGCTTTAACTACACTCCCCATTGCAGTCATCTTGATCAACACTGCCTGAGGAAAAATATAGCAATCAGTTCCCAGTCATCCAGCTGATTGCCCTTACATCACAGGGCCACAGCTGTACCTTCCCTGTCTGCTGATTTGAAGAGAAAGGAAAGCAGGGGACCATTGTGAGGATCTTTAACTGCTTTAAAAGGACAGACTCATGGAGGAGAAGGCTATCCTTGGCTGCTAGTCCTGAAGGTTATATGCTACCCAGTTGCACAGAACTTGGGCAGGATGATGCTATTGCACGCACAGACTGCTTGTGCAATCCTGTGAGCAGCTGTGAACTGAATGGTGGACAAGATGGCCCACTGGTCTGATCTAGCACATCTCCCCAGAAACGATATATTCATAAACCTTTTGAGAAGGCTCATTCCACTGACTTACCAATTGTATAAATAACTTCGACATCATCCATTTGAGAGTCAGTAATGCTGTTCTTAGCTTCACCCTTCACATCTCCAAGGAGGAAGCCTTCCTTTGTAAGCAGAGAAGGAAGACACATCAAAACAACATAGGTGCAGGGGGATGGCCAATGCAATTCAAATTTAAACCTACTTTCTGCAAAATGATGAGAAGACCCTTTAAAATGAACACAATTCTGTTATAGCAATATAAGTGCTAGCTTGCAGATAGGGGACTCTGCATTTTCTAAACAAAACAAATACATTGCTCTGTCCCTATCTTAACATGAGTGCACAGCAATTTGCTTTAAATGTTTTGGAATAGTACTGAGTAATAATGTTCTATGTCTGTCTTTTTATTGCAGCCCCCAGTGAAGAAAAGTATAATTTCTGAAATGCACTAGGCAATAATAAAAGGCTTTCCACAACTACCAGAGACTTTTAACTCTCTCCCATTGATTCTTGTTCCAGACACACAGGGTACAGCTGAGGATGAGATTTCATTATTAGTGGAATGTAATGAGAGGAAGAATTTGTTTTAAAAAGCACAATCTTCAATAAGGTAAAACAAAGGGATGATGACTGCTCGATCTATATCTTAAAAAAATAATTCAAAACCTTCAATAATTTCCAATCACCTAATAAAAATTGCCATCACAACCCCTACCTATTCAGATACATGAAAATTTCTCATTTGAATTTCCACATAGGAACATTTTTCACAGGTAATCCTCTGCTTATTTTCAGGAGTTTATTCTGCCTTACATGATTGTAAGGGCAGCACATGGCAGATTGTAATGATAAAGACATTCACACATGTACCAGCTGCCCTTGTTCCGTAGGCCAATAGTGTACTCATATTTCCACAGTGCAGTTCACAGAGCAGCTAGTTTTTCTGGCAGGAAACATGTGGTCCTCCCATGGCCACAGCAGCCATGACACCATGTTCTTTCGGGATAGTAATGGCTACAGCCTCCCAGAAGTCTTTGGACCCAAGTGTGATTCTTCTTCACTTCTCCAGTGACACATATGGTAGGACCAGTCTTAGGGGTTTCTAGGGCCAGAGAGGAGTGTTTGGCTTCCAACAGAGACATGGGGAATGTATTACTTTTCAACATCAACATCAGTATCAATAGCTGAGTTCCACATGAGTTCACAATACTGAATGAAACATTCAACATACATCAGTGCCAGCAAAAGACCTACAGCTGATAACCATTTAATAAGTCTGTCGAGATTGGATCAAAACAGGTGAAAACAGTCTGTATCCAGGCAATCTTCCTTAATTATACTTGAGACTGAATTCACACATACTCTGTGGCAAGACAGGAGCCAATTTGTTTAGGTGTGTTAAACTTTAGGAGATGGGCATAGGGATAGGTACAGTCTTGACATAACAAAAGGATCTGAATTGCAATGCTTTGCTTGCACATGGTGTTTAAAGATAGTGAAGCTTTATATGGTTAGATGTTGATGCCGCTGCTTTTTTTCTAAGGAGGGGGAAAAGGTGAAGTACTTAGAGGGCTTGCAAGATAAGCCTCCAAAGGAAAGTTGTGAACAAGCAGCAAAAAATCCAGTGTGTGTATTAAATGGCAGTACTGGGTGGGTAATAGTATAATTTGTTTCTAGTCTAAATATGCATAAAATTGCACTCTAAGTGTGAGTTTACACATACATGCATGCTAGGTCAGAAATTTCAAAATGGAGATTTTCTCCAAAGTGCAAGGAAACATATGTATCCTTCTAGTTCTGTATGCTAACTGAATGGTTTGCACAGTTTAATTGTGTTTATTCTGTTATAGGTTACTTTGGGATCCATCTGGAACAAGTGATGGGAACCATGTTCAGGGAGCTTTCAGATAGGGGACAGAGGTTCTTGTCACTACTGATCCATATATATATTGCAGCAATTATGTCTTTTCTTTCTTAATAACCCAATCTTCCCTCCCCCAAGGTGGGAAATAAGAAACGGGAGTTCAGGGGAGAATTACAAACTGAAGACCCGTATGTCCAGACCGCTATAGAATTCTATGAATGAGAAAGCAATTGCCCAATAAAAATCTTGTCAGTGAGCAAGGAATTGAGTAAGAAGGGCTCTTCAGTCTGTGCAGCATAGCTCCACAAGCTGAGGAGGGAAATTTGAAATAAACCTCCAATGCAGACAGATACAGTGGAGACGCAAGCCAGCAGCGGTGCAAAATCTTTGCTCAGGCAGGGAGTGCAAGATAATTTTAAGCATAGCTTTTAACATGAAATCGGAAAGTATAGTCTCTTTCACGCACATGCGCGCACAAAGTCACTTCCTACCACCACACAAGCTTGCACTTGCTTCTAGAGAAGTGATTCACACGCTAAACGTGTGTGCCCGTGCCTTCCTGCTATCAGTTTATCGCTGTATGCAATGGGACGCCCATATGTGCGCGCGCGCACATTCGAGGATAAGACGAAACTGAAATTAAGGCAGTAGGTGGCAGCCAGGACAGGAGATGTGCACCCTTTCTATTTACTATTGCTTAGGTCTTCCCGCAGGAGAGGAAAGGGGTCTCTGCACATGCTCAGGTGCTCCCTTTCCATGTCTCGACGGCTTATTGAAAACACGTCCGAGGGCTTCAGCAGGGGATGAAAGAACCCCCCGGAGAGAGGGAAAGAGACACGCATCCTCTTTTCAGGTCCAGCTCGGCACCTCCGCTGGACTTGTGAAACTGAAGCGGCGCTTCACGCCGCGGCAGTGCACGTGTGCACGGGCGCATCCGTGTCCACCCATCCACGCATCTCTGCGATTCCCCCCTCCAGAAGTAGCAGCGAAGCGACCGCCGCGGGGCTCCTGACGTACCGTGTCCGAGTCCGTGCTGAGGTGGTGGAAGGCGAGGGCGCCGAAGACGAAGCCCGGCAGGAGGGCCGTGGTGCTCTCCCCTTCCATGCCCCGCGCGGCGCCCAACTGTCGCGGGCCTGGCGGTCGGGCAGGCGAGGGAGCGAGGGCCGGCCGCGGCGCGATTCCCAGCGGGGAAGGAGCGGGGCGGTGCGGCCTTGAGGCCCGCCCTGGCGGAGGAGGCGGGGCCGGGGCCTCGCCGCGCTCGGAGGCAGCGCTGAGGTGCTTCCGCCGGCCGGCCGGCCTTGGGCACGGCGGGCGGGCGAGGCGGCGCTGGCGACCGGCCGCCCACGAGGCCCGGAGGCCGCGGCTGTGGGAGTCACTGGGCTTCTTCTGGGGAAGGGATCATAGCTATACCTTATTATTGTTGATGAGATGCATTGTGTTATATTGTACTATGTATTGATACTGGACATTGCATTATGTATTGTGCAATTGTACTAAGGTCTATTTTGATTCTGAATTGCTTACACTTAAATATTGTTTTGCTTAATTGTATTGCTCTAATGTATTATTGCATTTGTTTGGAATATGTTTTTGTTGTATTGTAAGCCACCCAGAGAGCCCTATGGGCTATGGGGCGGCTTACGAATGTAATAATAAATGAAAGGAAATGGAGGCCATCTGCCCCAGCACCCTGCAGCGCATGGGCGCTTGCCGAACCAAAGGGCCTGGGTGGTCTCCGCTGCATCGGGTCCCCCGGAGGAGCCAGCCTTTGGCCCCCATGTGCTTCACTTCCTCCTGCCCCCTCAGACCTTTCTCGTATCAGATGCGCTCTCTCCCATCCGCGCACCCCTTTTAACAAAGAAGGGAGGCCTCAGGGTTATGGGGCTACCCTCTAAGGATTGGCATCCCAAAACCTAGAGGCTACCTTCTCCCAGAACTAGCATAAACTACCTAAATTTCAAACTGAGGTTGACCTTTGTGTAGTTCCTGGGATTGCCGAGTCAGTATTTATTCCTCCTGTTGTCATGGTAAGCAAAGCACAACTGAGGAGAATTGCTGTTTCTTTTTCAGTTTATGTAGCAATTCCAGCTCCAAATTAGGAAGCGTACTTTTTAAAGCAATATTCTTACACTATTCTCTCTTACCTCATAAAGAGACACAGTCACAAAAGAAACATTCTGAGCAAACTAGTGAAACCAGTTTATCATTTGCATAATCTAAACTGAGCAACATTTTTTAGGATCTTTGATCTAATCTTTTTAGCAGCTACTGTAAATCTGCTTGATTAGTTACATAAGGATTCCTTTCAACAAAGGTGATAGAAATCTTTACCAGTTCACAGAAAAATATATAATGACAATAACCTGTATTTCTGGAATTATACATATATAAGGTCGTGGAAATACGGGAAAATCTATATACCTTCCCTTCACATGCATAAAGCATAGTCTGAGAGCCTAATTCTGTAAATGCCCTCCTTAGCTCTGAGTGAGTCAAGAAATTAAGAGAATAAGATCACACATCCTTAATTTGTGATGAATATAGCCCAGACGCTCAGGGATAGGTAGCAACAATTCTCACATCAAGAACACTCTCCGTCTTTCGTTCTATAAAACATTAATGCAATGTGAGCCAGTTGGAGGTTGATTTCAACTAATACTAATTAACTGATACCCTCCACTTCCCAGTAACTGAAATCCTGAAAACCAAACCCTTAAGACAGTTCATGACTTCTTAGAGCAATATGCTTGGAACGTCACACTGCTCGTTCTTGGTCTCTCTCTAATGGATTTCTTACCCTTGGATCTCTGCCATGCTTCCAGCTCCTCTTCAGAAAGGCTCTGTCTTCCCATGGTTTCAGGAATTGCACAACTCTTTCCTCTTCCCATATCTCTATTCTTCTCTGTTTTGCTCTGCAATCTCTTCAGTCGAGTTCTCCCCCTTTCTTTTCATTTGGATCAGAATCTACTCCCATGTCCTTTTGAAGTCCTTCTGCACAACTCAGGATCCGATCTCTAGCCTCCCATCCTAAAGTGCCTAATTTTTCTTCACACATTTTAGACCAGCCTTATCTAGCTCAGCATCCTTCAGGTGTATTGGACTACAGTTCCCATTATCCCTTGCCATCACAGGCACGCTGGCAGGGAATGATAGGAGTTGCAACTGAAAGCATCTGGTGGCCATCGCATTGGGGAATCAGATCAAATGTAAGATATACTTAACCTTAGAATTATTTAATAGGATTTAATAATATCCATTTAAACATAAAACTGATTAAAAAGCTAGGCAAAATAACTAAAAAAATCATATCATAGGATAAACCAATCATTTTTCTTAATAGTAGGTTTCCTTTTCATGAATTAGCATAAATTATAAATATATATAAAATGGAAGCAATAAATAAAATGTGTTATTCACAAAGGATGCAAGATACTAATTATATCTATAAAAAATCATGCTTTGGGCTGAGAGAGGCTTTGTTGAAACAGCATGTTTCTCACACAACAAACCATCTGTAAGTAGCTGAAATTGGAACTTTCCCATGTGGTGATTCACTGAATTGCAGGAGGCAGCCTTCGTAGAAGAACCTTCAAGATCCACGTTGCCCATCCAAGCTGAGCATTGGAACCTTCTGGGCAGAAAGGCGTTGGAAGAACTTCTTGCTTATCCTTGCTTGAGCCAACAAAGCTCTGGTATATCTTGGATTTCTGGGTTTGCTCTTGTTTTGGGTACTGGTTAGTCAATTCCTGGCTTGATCTTCAGTTCTGTTCTTGATTTGCCCTCCAAATGCTGACTCCCCTCTGGCTCTACTCTGGGTCCACTTGCTAGGGCCCTGATTGCTCTTTGGTCCTGTCTGTGGTTTCTGACTCTGTCCTTGGCCGAGTCCTGACACCATAATTGATTGGTTGGAAATGTGTCGTGTGCCCTTGGGCTCTCTTCCTGTTCCCTTTCCTCTTTGCCTCCTGCACCAGGCTTAACACAGAGCTTCCTGGTTAGTCAGTCTACACTTTGCTGTGACTTTCTGAGAAACTGTGGTTTGAACACTCTATAGAAAGCAGGATTGTAAACCAGGAACCAACTGTAGTTTGTTTAATCTGGTCTGCAGGGACCCCTCAAATCATAGCTTCCCATTTCGATGCCATGGCAAACTGTGTTCTAACTAGGATGTTTTTTGTTAGACCAGGTGCATAAGGAAAGGATAAAAAAACAAAAACATGTTTTGCTCATCTGGAATGTGATATCTAAACTGGCTTCAGAAGCAATGTTATTGTGAGATTAATTCAACTGCAGTTCACATCTACACAACTAAAAGCTTCCCAGTGGGCCATATTCCCTTTGGGAATTGATGCATGTGCAGAAAAACTCAAATTCTTCAAAATGACACTAAACATACAACTAAATCTATTCACACTCGACAAATGGAGCCTTCATCCTGCAACCTGGGGATAACTGACTTCCCCTGATCTTATATTCTGTACTGTAATTTACACATAAGTCCTATGAACTAGTCACAAAGTGCCTAGTTTTAAGAAAGTCCTCAAATTTTAGCCTCCTGTCTTTTATGTTTTTTCCCTGTAAGCCAAAACATGAATCTGCTAGCCATTTTCCTCTGTTGGCTGGCAAAGGTGTATATGTCACACAGCTCTCCTGAACTCCCCAAAGTAGCATACTGCCCTCAGGTGTGATGAAATTAATTTCCATTTAGAAGTTAAAATATAACTGTTAGTCCAGTTGGTTGCTGTGCTTGGAATTGAGGAGGGGGCATCTTGTCCTTCACCTCAGAGGAAAGTGTGTGCTGTAATTATTCTAGAAAATAAGATGAAGAAGTTCTTCATACTCTAAATGTGGTAGGAAACCCAAGGTTTAGCTTGCCCGTCTATAGACAGGTCAGTCAGTCATGGTACATATTTACTTTAAAAACAAATACATATCATTTTTTCTGCATAAAGTGTGTCAAGCAGTGTGTATTTTAAAAAATGAAAACACAGAATATTTAATATCACTGAGGAAAATATTTTCAACATCGCCAGCCCAATGATAAAACTCGCACAACCAACCATAGAGCATAGTATATTGCATATTTACAGGGAAAACAAGCAACCAGGAGCTCCTGCCATTCCCCATGGTTTAGGAAACAAAATGTGAAAAATCTGGTGGAATGAGAACATTTTAACAAGCTGTACCAATGGGGTGAAGTAAGGAAGGAAGGAGTGAATTTTGACTAGTGTGTATTGCTGGCTCTAAACCGGTGAGGCCTTCTCTCTATCCGTGCCAGTCCTTGGCATCATCTCCTGTGTGGCAAAAAGACCAGGTGGGCCGTGACCACACATTGATATTCCCTGTGGAGGGGGCAGGAGTGAAGCAGAGTCCTCTGAGAAATGTAGATGTATTACTGGACGGCATTTATTTATTAAGAGCCTCTTTATCCTACTCCTCAGCCAAAAAGTCTTCCAGAGTAGCTTGCAAATAGTAAGAAAAGGCAGTCACATCCCATAGGCCTACACTGCAAAACTATGTAACACATAAGGAAAAAAGAATAGGGAGGGAAAAGGGGAAGGTATTAAATGGAACCATCCTGCTTCCTTGTCTCATCTCTCTCGGTGCAGCCAACTGGAATGGCTGCCAGAGGTCAGTTAAGGCCGTCTAAATCTTTTTCCTCCCCTCGTGAGGAAGAGAGGCTGGGGGACTGCCAGGATTCCTTGGAGGATGGCCATGCCTTGCTCCTGCCTGCAATGCCATCTCCACGTCAGTTCCAAAGATGATCTTCCGTCTTCAGAGGCCAGCTGGTGTGGAAAGAATTACGCAGCTGCAAGAATGGAGTTCTACTATCAAAATCCTGCTGTGACCTCAGGAGTGTTTTTTCCAAAGTTACAGCTGGGCTTTGATGTAACCTACAGCTCTAAGTTTCTCACTGGAGCTGCCTACCTCACATATAAACCCCCCCCCCCATGCTGAAAACTCTAAACTGACTGCCGATGAGCTTCCAAGCCATGTTCAAGGTTGCTTTATAAGCTTTAAATGAGCCCAGGAGCAGATTATTTAAGGCATCACCTTCCGTACAGGTGACCCTGATCTTTACAGTCTGAAGGTGAAGCCAGAATAAGAATTGAATTCTGTTTGGTTTTTAATCTGAATTTGCACTGTCCACAACTC